GACCTCAAAATCCCTCGTATAAAACAAGGATTCAAAGAAAACCTACAAAAATACATGTTAAAAAAGAGTAATAGGGGATGGAGGAGATATACCTTGTATTACGCATTTCTAGTGGTTGGAGAAGGTATTCCTGTTATATGAGAGACGATATATGCTGTATAATCATTTATAAAAATTCCCACATTCATCCGAAATGTATTGGAAGAGATATAAGCAAATCATTCTGCAAATGATGAGGAGCACATCCCCAATTTCAATATTCTGATCATTCTATAGCTTGGGGAATGTCAGAATCGGATTCCTTGACCAAAAAAATGGTAGTATCACCAATCATCCATGGGAACTCAAGTGTCAACACTCCGAAGTACAATATGGACTGTCCTTGGCAATTGCTGCAGTCTGATTTGTTCTTACCACTAGATGTTTTCTTCATGAAATGACCATGGATGATGGATGATACTACCATTTTTTTGGTCAAGGAATCCGATTCTGACATTCCCCAAGCTATAGAATGATCAGAATATTGAAATTGGGGATGTGCTCCTCATCATTTGCAGAATGATTTGCTTATATCTCTTCCAATACATTTCGGATGAATGTGGGAATTTTTATAAATGATTATACAGCATATATCGTCTCTCATATAACAGGAATACCTTCTCCAACCACTAGAAATGCGTAATACAAGGTATATCTCCTCCATCCCCTATTACTCTTTTTTAACATGTATTTTTGTAGGTTTTCTTTGAATCCTTGTTTTATACGAGGGATTTTGAGGTCAAGGAGTAAACTGGTAGAAGTTCTGAAGTATTCCGAGGTACAGAAAAGTGATTTTCCATATGTGCTCCTCCTAAACTGTGATATTGTTATTACCATTGTTTATGGATCCCAATAAAAGGTTCCTATAGTCTTTTTAGGGTTTTAAATGTCAAGGAATCTATTGGAAATAATCCCAGACTCATCCGAAGCACAGAAAACAAAATAAACCATATGTGCACCCCAATCCCCACTTTTTTACAGTATTATACAGGTCAAATATTATAGAAGACAATGTATTATAAGATTTTCATAGTGTACAAATTGACTGGTATAGTTTTCAGAGCAATCCAAAGCATGCTGCACCCTAAAAATCCAATATGCTCGTCTAATCCTAGTAATAAAATGTGCCACAAGTGCTATAGAGGGATCGTTTGGGGGTTTTCAAGGTCAGGAAATTCATTGGTGAAGTCCCCCGGTCGATCCAATGCATGTATCACCCTAAAAACCCCCCAAAAAGCAAATATTGTAGCCATTTTTGCGAAAATACCTATATTACATGCTCTCCAGAGCCTCCATACCTCATCAGTAGGTCCGCTTTTATGTTATTTAGGTTTATTAATATTCCAGTGCCATTCCCTGACCCACCGAGCACCCAGAAACCAGCCTAAATCCTATTCTGACCGGAAAATAGCCCCTATGATGCCATCATTTGGCCGCATCCAGCCGATTTCGGCCAGATATTGATGGGCTGACTTTACAGGCTAATTATAGATTTTTATGAAAGGCCCCACAGAAGATTCTAGCCCATCCCGATGGAAAATGAGCCTAATATTTGGGAAAATGCTGATTTAGGCCATTACATATCAGCAGTCATGTAAGTATACAACTCAGGCCTCACAGAATTGTATACAATTTAATTCCTGTGCTTACAGGGCAATTGTACACAATATTGGCTATATGGCCTCCATTGCAAGAAGGACTGCTCGACAACGTCAACGTGACGCGAGACAAGATGGGAAAAGATCATGATATGTTCATACATAGGCAGGCTATTATATGATCGGATGCTTATTTCTGACATGAACAACAGATTACAAAAAAAAACATAGGACTCGGACCTGCCGCGCGGATGCGTCGGCCCTCACCCCACTGGTCCTATATTCATAGGACTCGGAATCTACTATAATTCGTACTTGCAATTCAGCAGCTGCCAAATCTACAGTGAGTGGTGCCTCTGAGGATAAAGCGAACTTGAACAAGAACGGCAACGTACAACTCAGTAATACCATGTCAGTAGCGCAAGCATCTGGGTGCCCAGCCCAGAAAGTTAACCCTACGGCGATAAGGCACTCTTGTTCGCCACATCCGCCCTAAGGCACTACATCATCGCGACCCCAGATAGAGAGATCAAAAAGAAAAGGTGCAACGCTTCTCTCAACGATAGAAAATCGATCACCGGGGGTATTACAGGATAACCTTCATGCTCGACATCCTAAGTGACATAAACCTTGAAGCTTGAAGTTTGATCAGTACTGGTCTCGACGTAGTCCTGATCTCTTACAAGGTCACACGACTATGACCACTTTCACTGTGTAGGTCAATGTATGCATGCATTTCCTGACACTTCCTTGTAAGCATGCATGTCTCGCCACGACAGTCAAGAGTCCCGTCGTAAACGGCTGCATTGACATCACCGGATCTCCTCGTTGCAGTGAAAAAAAATGTGTCAAAAATGAGGATGATGAGGAACCTGAGTCAGAGGTGAACCGCAAAGTAAACTGAACCCTCAGTATTCGTGGACAATGAGTCTGCATTTCGATGTATTGCATCATGAATAGTTGAACTCATCGCCGTTGAGGGTAGTGGCGCCGCGTAGGGATGCCCACCGTACCCGTATACGGGTACGGCCGTAAAGTTTACGGACACTTGACGGGTACGGGTGACCCGTAACCGTACCGTAATGGTCTTGCCAGGACCGCTCGACGGTACGGCCGTAAAACGGTAATACGGGTGTTACGGGAACTATTTACACTGGTCTGATATGATAACCGTACTATGTGAGGTATAATCAGTGCAATGCCTCCCAAAACAGCGCGCTCATGTTAATCACCTTTCAGAACAACATCTGACATTAAAATACTTCGAATCTGTACCAGACGGATGTGCATGTTCAAAATTACAGCAGAATCTGCAAGTATCGTTTTCGCTGATCAATAGCAGCTATTAGTACAGCGTAAGGTCACTTACCAGAGATGAAAACACTGGCAGGTGCACAGTGCAAGGCGTAGATAAAATCCTACCAAGAATCTTGGTTATGTATGGCTAGGCACCAAGACAATATAGAGCTGACTAGAAGGATCCTGCAAAGGTTAGAGGTAAAATTTGAAGAGATTCATTTATACCTGAATTAAAGCTCGAACGTGGTAAGCAATAGCTTGAAGAAAGGAGCCAATATTTGGGCAGCAGAATGCAGTAAGGGCAGGCTCAGATCTGAGATGGATGAAGTTTGCCTGAAACCGAAGCAGGAGCTGAGGAAAAGTTAATATTCTTGAAGTACAAGCCTTGGAGAATTTATCGGACGGCATTGGGCATCAGGACAAGCCGAAATCGCATTAATCATTGTACATGCTGGGGGCCAGGCTTCGGAGAAGTCATTGGAAAGATATAAATGAAGTAAACAACATCTACGGGACCGAACATGGTGGTAGGAAAGAGAATCGTACGTGGCAGCACAGCCACTTCTATTGCTACCGTATTTACGGCCGTAAAACCGTATGACGCTACGGGTTTTACGGGCCATAGCCATACCGTACACCGTACCGTAAACCAGGAGTCTGAAGGCCTGACGGTACGGGTACGGTCCCGTATATACGGTACCCGTATCCGCCGTATATACGGGGACGGTGGGCATCCCTAGTGGCGCGTTGGTCGCACCGGTGATGAAGGGAGCAAGAGCATAATTCGCGGAGAATAGCGGAGCCTATAATTACAGGTGGGTTGAACGGCCGGGTTGTCGGAGTTTGAAATAAAATTCGACATGTATATGTTAATCGCTGGTAGTCGAGAAGCTACTTACACTAACAAGGGTCCGCCGCGGTGCCGGCGCACGGGACCTTGCTGGCTGAATATTTGCCCGATCTCACGCTACTTGGATCTACTTGGATAAGTGTCGATTAATAGTCAGCGCAAACAATCTTTCCTTGAAATATTAGGGGTGTTCGTGCAGTTGCTCAATGTGTTTTGTAAAATAGAAGAATGTTGATGTCGACTTTTGATAGACTGAAGTAAGCGGCATGCACGCGTTTAACAACAGTCTGACTAAGTTCTCTGTGCAACGCTCTTAGTGACTCACAAGGCCCGGCCCAGCTCGGCTTAGCTCGGAAGGGCTCCGGCTCTCCAAATCGCAAGCTCGGGCCTTGAGCCCAAGCCCGTTGAGGCTCAGGCTCAGCTTGGGTTCAGGCCCGGGCTTGTATACAAGAAAATATTTTCAGCTTGAACGACCTCTAGGAAGGCAAGAGAATGAGAAACGAAGTTGCTATTCACTTCACAGGGTATTCTATTAGTAAGAGAGTAAGTTTATACTATAAAGACCACGCATGAAAACATGAGAAATAGACACAGCCAAGGAAAACCATGGTATACCAAGTTTTGGTTTTGTCAGCCCAACACAAAGTCTGTACCTTCCTCAATTCTCCCCTTCCTCCAAATAATCTTCTGCTGTACTGGCCGGAGTCGTATCATGAGTATCGGCGATGGTTGCGATGAGTGCGTCGATGAATTGCGATGATAGCAAGCAGAAAAGCGATCTCGGCAACTTCCATAGTCCGATCGGACTTCCAAAATTAATCCCAAATGATAGAAAATGACGTGCTCCCCTCGCCTGAACGCCTGTGGTTGTAGGGTATTTAGAGCCTGGGCTTGAGCCTGAGACTTGAGCTTGAGCTTTCAAAAAATGAAGCCTGAACCTGAGCCTTTTCAACGTTCAACAAGCCTACCCATAGGGCCCGGCTCAGCTTGGGGCTTGAGCTTGCCGCTTCAGGCCGGGCTTTGTAAACACTCTGCGGCTCGTCGGCGCCACCGGTTATTTGGCTATATTTACATTTGGCAGGTTTCGGAGTAAATTGCATAAGGAAAAAGTCGTAGTGGGTAGACCTAGCTTTCCAGCAAGGTAACTGAAACAAATATTATCACGGAAAATTCTTTTCAGCCTCAGATTAGGAGGTAATGTAGGTAGCTCAGACTTAGAAGTAAATGTTGATGGGTACGCAGCCAATGGCAATGATACCGTTCTGAGAAATCTTCGTCAGCACAAGGTGTCGCCAACACCCAACTGAGAGAACACATACGAAGGTGTTATTCTGGCAGCACACCGTCTGCTGGTTGCAACCAGTGCTGCCGACGCCGACAATGGTGATAGGAGTGCAAGAGATACCACTACAAAAGATCCTCATGAGAACATGCCAGACATGCATTTGAACAGCGAGCATACACCAAGGCGGTCACGTCGCTGAGAACAACGCCAAGAAGGCCCAGAAGCATGCCTACAGCGTTGCTATTGCCCTAAGTATTCTGTACTTTAGTCCGGCAACCGTAAAACAAAATACACATGAATCTCACCGATTGGACACTATTGCAGCACTGCAGATTAGCAGAATCGCAAGAACTGGCAAGCTCAGTAACAGTGGTGGTCGCCTATCGTACAATCATATCAGTATCGAGGACGGCCACTCCGAGAACCAAAAAAACGCGTACTCCAGAGGCGGTGACGGTGGTAGTCACAGTCTGGGTGCTTAGAAGGGGGGGATCAGCATCACAAGTTCAGCGCGCGCCGCACGACTCACGTCGTAGTTGGGTTCGAACCCAAAGGCGTGGCGGCAGCAAGGAGAGTGAGCGTCGTAAAGACGTAGAAGAGGGTAACAAGAATGCGACGAGATAACATGGCTTTTAGAACAAGGCGAACACTGAAGACAACAAGCAGTAGATCACCGAATTAACCTTTTCTCTTGCTAGGCCTTTATACTCCAGACGCACATGCTTTGACTAATAATGTCTGATGAAAAAACTGGGAAAAGGTACGCGGGGAAAAATTTAAACCAGCGCTATTGTCGTAAGGCTTGCAAAGACAAGGGCAGCATCAGAGCGGAGCTTGGCACGCTTTCTGGGTTGTACGAGAGCATACGCCAGGAAACTCTGTCGCCGAGACGTACGTGTCAAGGTTCCTGTGTCGGACCAAAAAAACCGCCAAAATGCAAATGAATAATACCTTCATTATGAAGACAAACGGAGATATCTCACCCTTTAATCTGTGATGCACAGTCACGGTCCCGGGGCTAAAAGGTTTTCTCCTTCGCGCAGTTGAGCATGCCGTAATTGTTTTAGTTAGGCGAAGAATTCCCTGATATCGTGCGTGCGATAACGAATGACGGTCCTCAAAATCAGAACAGAAGCTTGTTGATATTTCCACCAGAGATTAGTATCAGAGGTGGAGGATAACATTGCGGGCAGCAAATCATCCACGTCATCACTTACAATTCCTTCCTTGAAACGGAAGCATTTTTGGTTCGCTTGCATGTTCACAAGCCAGCAAAGGCTTGATTGAGGTTCAAAGGAGGGGTGCGAGTGGTGTTCTGTGACAGCACGATCAGAACTAGCACGACCAGAATGGGGTATAGACTAACAACGAACCGAAATACTTGATGAAATCATTCTCACCGAGTCCTGGCATCCCAACTCAGTCCGAGTCAACCGAAAAAAATTCATTCAATTCATGATTCCACTAGAAGTAAGCGAAAAAAGCGTAACAGACGATCAAAGACGTGCTAATGTAATAGGGTAACCTGGAAAGTAGGAAAGCAAGGAGAACAGAAGAGACACCAAGAGGTATATGCCTGTTTTGAGGAGAAACGATCATGCACAAAAGGCCCTTCCATTTACTCTTCCTCAACAGGAAGTTCTTCCTCGTACTCGCCGTCTTCTTCCACACTATGACGCTATCATCAGGATACTGACTGCAGTAAGAATCCCCGAAGTACTCACGTAGCATCCTGGTATTGCTGGTACTCAGCAACCAAATCTTGCATGTTTGATTCAGCTTCTGTGAACTACGTAACAAAGGAAGCATCAGCACTTGTAGGAGTGTGAGAGACCAGATACTGACCTCCATCTCGTCCATACCCTCCTGAGTGTACCAATGCAAGAATGCCTTTCGCTTGAACATGGCCGTGAACTGGTCGCTCACACGCTTGAACAGCTCTTGGATAGCAGTGGAGTTGCCCAAAAATGTAACAGCCATCTTAAGACCTCTTGGTGCGATGTCACATTGAGCAGTAAGAACGTTGTTGGGAATCCACTCGACGAAATACGCTGAGTTCTTGTTCTGGACGTTCTGCATCTGCTCCTCAACCTCCTTCATGGAGACCTTGCCACGGAAGACAGCAGCCACCTGTTATCACAAAGAGATCCATAAGCCTAGAGAATCTTCAATACACCAGTTAGTCTCACCGTGAGGTAACGACCGTGCCTAGGGTCTGAGGCCGCCATCATGTTCTTCGCATCGAACATCTGTTGCGTGAGCTCAGGAACTGTCACGGCGCGGTATTGCTGACTTCCGCGAGCAGTCAAAGGCGCGAAACCGGTCATGAAGAAGTGCAGACGAGGGAAAGGAACTAGTTGGCATACACTCAGTCAGCATTGGCAAATCACAGTTGAAGTGAGGTCGCACCCATGTTCACAGCCAACTTCCTCAAATCAGAGTTTAGTTGACCGGGGAACCGCAGACAAGTAGTTATGCCGGACATGACGATAGAGACGAGGTGGTTCAAATCGCCGTAGGTGGGTGTAGAGAGCTTGAGCGTCCGGAAGCAGATATCATACAAAGCTTCGTTATCAATACAGAACGTCTCATCAGAGTTCTCAACGAGTTGATGTACTGAGAGAGTGGCATTGTAGGGCTAAGGTTCGGGTGTCATTACGTATACAATGGGATTTAAAATAGCGTACCTCGACGACAGTGTCCGAGACTTTAGGACTGGGCACGACAGAGTACGTGCACATCATTCTGTCTGGGTACTCTTCCCTGATCTTCGAGATCAAAAGAGTACCCATACCAGCACCGGTTCCACCACCAAGGGAGTGGGTAATTTGGAATCCTATGACGACATGAGAAGAGGAACAAGTGAGTTGTTGCCATGCTGACCTTGTAGGCAGTCGGTTCCCTCTGCCTCCTTACGCACGACGTCCAGAACGGAGTCGACGAGTTCAGCACCCTCGGTATAGTCTAGACGCAAAAAAATCAAATGTGAACAAGTGACAGGGGGGTAAAGGAAGAAAGGGGCATTGAAAAGAGGCGAAAACATGAACAGTTCTATGATACACAGGAAAGAGAGTAAACAAAGACTCACGCCCTTTCGCCCAGTTGTTACCAGCACCGCTCTGCCCAAAGACAAAGTTGTCGGGGCGGAAAAGTCCACCAAGAGGTCCAGAGCGAACAGAGTCCATAGTTCCGGGCTCTAGATCCACAAGGACGGCACGAGGAACATACTTGTTGGCCCCAATCTCGTTGTAGTAGACAGAGATACGCTCGAGCTGAAGGTCATTGGTGCCCTTGTAGAGACCATCGCGCTCGATACCGTGCTCATCAGACACAACCTCCCAAAACTTGGCACCTAAACACGAGATAATCTGTTAGTTGAAAGAGCAATGCCAGATCGCAGTACGAACCGATTTGGTTACCACACTAATGGATTCACCGTGGCCATCAGCATCGAAGTACTTGGACAATCCAAAAGAACGTTACCTGGCCAGTTTGGAGGTGGACAATTTCACGCATGCTGGAAGGTAATGGTCAGACCACGGAAGTTGAAGGTGGGCGTTCAAAAATGATACGATACCAACACGCGATTAAAAACCGCGTAGATGGTAAAGGCAATGGCCCGAAGACGCACGATAAATGCGCGAGGCCCTATCAAATCAAGGAGAATGAACCTACATGAAGGATTATCGTGGATAAGGACGAGGATGAGTGGACAGGAGGGGGCGACGAGGGACGCCTAACCGACACGAAATTTGGGGAATTCAAACTCAGTTCAGACTCCGAAAGTGGCTCGATCGTTCCACCGTCACGTGTACTTTTCAAACGCGTCTTTAACTCTAAAGTCTTTAACTTTACTTATGTTGGCCCAGCTTCAAGCCCTGGACTCGGATGGGAGCTATTACTTAACCATTACTTGTTGTGGCTTTATGTCTGTTCTAACTATCTTTGCTTTTTTTAGAGCTCCAGGTAGCAAAAACTTCTCTCCATACGTGTGTCGGCTCACTGACAAGGAAAGGCTCAAAAATTAGCCCATCTGTTAACTGGATGCTATACATGACGCATATCCCCCTATGTGTAATCGAAATACTATTCACTTAGAGGAATAAGATTTCATCTAACGAGACCCCGCTGCCTTGGACTCTAGAGCCTGTCGTATGGCCTCGCTCAAATGTTCTGCTATGATGCATCACTCCCGTTGAACAAGTTAATTGCGTCCATTCATCACATTTATTGCTTCTACATGGGTAAATTCATCAGCTCGAACACCCAGATTGCAGTAGTACTCAATTTTCGTTCGCTCGCCCGCTGTATCTCTAAGTGGCCTTCTCCGCATTTTCCCGGTCCATAGCAACCATACTATAAGCTCCACTACCGCGAGGAGTTCGTCCGTTACTCATAAGATAAGTATATTCGGCACCGTGTCCTCTACACCCTACCCGTTCTTCCTTCTTCCTCAAAGTTCCCACTGCATGCACACCGTGCTACAGTGCCTGAAACCTGTCCATGTGAAATCTGAACTCGATGGAACATCCTCCGCACGTCACTCTTTAGCAGGAACTCCACCTAGGGAATGTACGGTCACCTGTTCAGAACCACGAGTGAGTACCTTCTGAACCTCACGCCATGAACAAAGTTGGAAATAATTGCGATTGCAGATGAATTCATAGAGCTACCCATAAGAACAAAAACACAAGTCCACGGGTATAAACTAGAAATAAGGTTCTTAACAATCTGGCCTGTAAGGACCGAATTAAAGCTGGATGATGATGGGCACGCAGCCAATGGCAATGAGGCCATTCTATCGAGAAGTGAGTATGATTCTCTACTAGGCGTGGTAGATCACGTACGAAGGTGTTGTTCTGACAACAGACAGCTTGATTGGCACATTGTGCTCCCTGGCCTATAAAATATATCGATCAGTTTGCGAAGGATGCGGGATATGGAAAGCGAGACGTACCAATTCCAATAATGTCGATAGGGGAGCAGGTGATACCACTGTGAAGCCAGAATTCAACACTCAGAAGCCCGTTCGACAGGCTGGAGATCATCTAGAACGTACATGAGAGCCTCGAGGTCCTGAAGAACAACGCCTAGCAGCCCTAAGATGACACCCACAGGGGTAGAATCCGCCTAAAAGACTCAATGAGCAATATTCAGGTGTACAGTAGCAGTCTTGAATTCATGTACACGCTCAAGTGCATCACAGCATTGCATATTCGCGGTGCTGCACTGGGAAGCAGGGATCGGTGTAGCGGTGATAGTAGCCTGTTCAACAGAGATCAAGGATCGACAAGGGACATTAGAGACACGTGCTCGTACCGTAGTAGACACCGTAGAGGTTACGGTCTTCGTTGTGGTCGTCGGCGTGCAACCGGCAGCCACAAAAGTCGCGAAGACAGCGAACACGAAAATAATGGAAGTGAATGTGCGAGCAAACATATTCGAAAAGATATCAAAAGATTGATAGCTGGAAACATTTTTGAGCAGGCTTTTAAGTGAATCCTCGCGCCTCGCCCGGCAGTTACTTCAAAGTCAAACAATCATGAGCAGGTGGACAGAACGGCGACACATTGGTTAGACGCGTGAAGCATCACATCCGCTGTTTCGGATGGTAATTTAGGGGCAAATAGGCGGTTCAGAAAGTCCGGCGTGAGTCAGGGCATATTGGAATGATGCCCACAAGATGATGCCAGAGAACCGAAGAACGAAAATTTCTGGAAGTTCTGAACAGCATGCCAGGTAGGAGTTTCGTATTGTCAAATCAAAGATTCATTGGAAGCGATCCACCTATGGGATGCCAAGAGACAGTTCTCGCACACAAATGCAATTGGAGAGCGGTGACAAGGCGGGTGAAATGACGCGACGATCCGTAGAATCCTATTTTTCCCACGCTCAGGCTTGGATTGACTGCATTTTCATGTTTTTCTGCCAGGGTTCACTTTCGGTTCCGATATGCTCAGCCCTTGAAAAAATCATAGCCAATTGTTTTGCAGCTCTTTTGACTTATCACATGGGTCGTACGAGCAGGAAAAAACACGACTTGCGGAATGTTAATCGTTTTAATTTACCTCGGATCATTGGCGACTCATGGCTAACGTTACCAGAACCCCTTTTTTTTGAAGGTCCACATTAGTCGAATTCAGACATGTGCTTAGAGTGTGCGGCTGAAGATACACCGAAAGCCGGGGAACGGAGAGCGGGACCCTGCTCCTTCCTGGAATGTTTAGAGAGCTCACTGCAATGTTTACTGGCTCTGACGAACGTCGCACGTTTCTGCGAGGCACGCCGCTCTTCTGTCCCCCGCTACTCGCAGATGGTGACTCTGAATAGTATGTACGACCACTGATCGGCTTATAGGCTACATGCGTCAGTGCATCGATCCATGTCGGTGATAATGGTTAGATACTGACTAGCCGCCGTTTCCAGACTTCTGTGCCTGTATCCATGCTATTGCGAACAGGCGGTGCGAAGCGCATCAAATGCTTCAAGTTCATGACATAGACAAAATATCTCCAACTTGCTATGCATGGCGTATGTCGGCTCGAATATTGGGTTCAGGCCACAATCATGTATAGCTTCTTGTCTCAAGGTCGCAGAAGACTTGTATGCTCACAGGAATGCCATCTTTTTCCAAGAAAATAGTCCGTTGATGCATTAGGAAATTGCACAGCAGAGCGCTAACTAACTGGTCATGCTTCGGTACGTGTTTTTGTCCATATCCCAATGAAACGACTATGAAACCCTAAATTCTCTACTAGAGACCAATGTTAATGGGAGTGCAACCAAGGGCGATGAGACCGTTCTGGCAAACCAGAAGTCAGGCCTTAAAGATAAAAAAAGGCATTGCGCGTCAACTTACGAAGGAATTTCCCGAGCAGCAGACGGTCTGAGCAGAGCAACTGTTGCCTCCAATACCGATGACGCTGATGGGGGAGCAGGTAATACCACTGCAGTTTCCTGTAAGTAACGTTCTTGATTCCCAACGGACGATACTCACACGTCGAGACCTAGAGCTCCCAGAGCGATACCTAAAAGGCCGGAGAGGGTCGAGACAACGTCCGAGTCAGCCTGAAGATGGATGACTACGATGGATATCTGAGAAAGCAGTAGATAACAAAAGCGCTTACGCTCTGGACTTGTTGGCAACACTGGAGTTCGCCTGTGGTGCAACCAGTTTCGCCGGCGGAGGCAAGGAGAGGCAGGGCCAAGAGAAAGGCAGGGATGACACGGGGGAACAACATGGCTGTCTGAGAGAAGTATAGGGTAGAAGAGGTGAGAAAAATGGGATTGTTGTGTCAATGAAGAAAAGTGGGTTTACTGACGCGCTTTTATATCTTTTAGACTCTTTGCAACGGCCATAAGCGGTCATATTTCTGTGCATTGGAAAAAGGGTATTTTCTACGAATATCCCCAAAACAAAAAACCGCGTGCAAGACCTGGTTCTGACTGACGGCGCTTCGAAGGGACTCCGAAACCCGGGCAGCGCCAGAACAGCTTCGATCACCTGTTTTCCAAACGCGCATCAATATTGGGAGGTCTAGGTTTGTTCGCGTCCTGAAAGTGAAAGGTCGGAACGACGGCGAACAAGTGCGGGATATGCGGGTGGTAGTGAGGCTGATAATCTTCCATTTTTTGACTTATTGGAAGCACGCTAAATATCTTCCTCATCAGGAACCTCCTCTTCAGCTAAACAAACAGCAGGGTTTGCGGTAGGGGCCAACGCTCCAGGTTTTTAATCACTGAATATTGGCGCTTGTTACTTCCTAGTCATTCACACCATGTTGAAAAGAACCGCGCGGTATATTTATTATAAAGGAGGATGCAAGAACCAATATGAAAGAAAGAGGTATAAAACGAGTATCCTGATATCTTGCCCGGAACGTTACGTGATTTTGTCGCCCCTCAATGATACAACCATGAAAGACTGTAACGCCTCTTCAGCTCTTTACAGACCCACGTTAATGGGAGTGCAGCCAATAGCAATGACACCGTTCTTCAAATTGCAAGTCAGCTGCCGAAGATCAAGTACGAATTAGGTTACTTACAAAGCTGTTGTTCTCGCAGCACACGGTCTGGGCAGAGCAGCTGTTTCCTCCGACACCGATGACGCTGATAGGAGAGCAGGTAAGACCACTGACGTCCAGGTTAGCAATAACACCATAGCCGCGACATCCATTGACACTTACACATCCACACCAACGCCGCCAACGACGACACCGAGGAGTCCCAAAAGGGTAGAGACGACGCTGCTAGAGCCGGACTTTACAACCGTCAATATTTGCGGGACCGAAGATATCCGCAGCACGCTTACATTCTGAACAGAATCACAGCATTGCACCTCTCCAGTGGTACAAGAATCGCCACCGCGGGGGATAGCCGAGGCGGACGCAAGGAGGGGAATTGCGAAGAAAAGAGCGACGAAGAGAGTGTAGAGGCGGGCGAACATGGCGATTGTTGAATAAGTAAGTTGAAGGATTTCGACTTGGGGAGATAGATGGCTCAATTACCTGGCCTTTATAATTTTTCAGCCTCGCTTCAACCGCCGAACAGGATAATATTTTTGGCTTGGGAATTATGATCTTGCAGGCTGCTTTGTTGAATCATTCAACCTGGTCCAGGGATGTAAAATCACAATCACATCTGCGCTTCCATCCGATTGCTTCTTTCCAGATCTTTGTGATGCACCTATGTAATGTTCCCATCTAGGCCGGGTCCTCCCAACCCCCACTTGCTGAGACCCATACCCTGGACCAGAAGCTGTATTCTACCTCCTCTAACCAGAACATGACGTGACGATCAGATTTTTCCCTCCAGGCGATCCAAGTTTGTGCGTTATTTTTAGCTCGTGTCTATACATGTGTACCTTGCTGATTCGAATTTACCTAGTCGTGTGATCTTGACGGTGTTTCATGGCCGTCCATGTCCCAGATGCATATGTCATTTGTGTTATTTTCGAATACCCAATAAGTCCCCAGCGCTAATCCTCAACCGGCACGAAGAATTAATAACTCGAAGGATCAATACGCGTGTGCGGCACTCCCGCGAGTTTGACATTTCATCAGACTCTTGGTTAACAAATTTCGGCCATTGTTCATCATTGACCCGGACTATGATATTCCATACTCAGCGACCACGAAGAAATTGTACGCTAACCAAAAAAAAAAAAAGAACTACTCTAGAACGTGCAGCTAAGCAATGTCTTTCTTGTTACAATCCTTAACGGCGTCTTTCCGAGGTCACGGTTAGAGGCCAATGTTGATAGGAGTGCATCCAAGTGCAATAAGGCCGTTCTGCCCGGAATTTGAATCAGTGCTGTCGTCTTCCCTCACTTATTATGCACTCACGAAGTTATTTCCCGTGCAGCAAACGGGCTGGTTCACGCACTGGGTGGTTCCTAAACCGATGAGGGTGATGGGGCTGCAGGTAAGACCGCTATGAACACGGTATTAGCATCGGCATCATTTTCTCTCCGTGAAACACCTACACTTGAGCGGCGATGTCCCCGATGGGAATATTAAGGAGACCCAAGACTGACTGGATCGGAGAGGACGTAGGCTAATTGCTTGTGAGTATCTTCGTTCTTCTAGACACGAAATGAGATGGCTTACGTCCTGTACAGACTTGCAACACTGAATGGATCCCGTGTTGCACGAACCTCCGTCGACGGTAGTGGTAGTCGCGGGAAGGGCGCTCGCGACAGCAAGGAAAAGAAGAGCCAAGACGGTGTAGGTGGAGATACGAGCGATCATTTCTTTGGTGATTCCAGTAAGCTGTACAACTGTAGGTGCTGTTCGACTTGATAAAACTCTTGTCTACCCCGTCGTCTCTTTTATATTCCCAGATTGTGCACTCTTCTTGCCGATGCAGCCCTTTCATCCTGTAATAAACCCAGGGGAAGACAGAACGGTGAAACGTTGAAGGGCATCCTGGAGTACGCCGCAGTGACGAGAGAGCGACTGGCACTCATTCTCTCGCATACGTTCCCTAGTGCGTAGCAATAATGCTCCACAATGTTTTGATGTCCCTTGAATGGACGACATGGAATCGAAAAGAGACATACACCGACGCCACCTTGTTGGTTCTGGCGCAGTTAGGCGCGTCTCGTTGTCCTCGAAATAAAATCACTGCGTTTCCTAGGCTTGACTCTCTTATTCACTCGAAGCGACTCTAGAGAGCACTGGGCCGGAAAGATATTGAATTTGATACCTACCGACGATTCTAGCTAAAACGGCGGGAGATGCCGTAACACGACTACTGCAGGGGCTTACTCTGAGAGTACGGCATTCAATATTCATCTGTCGGTCTAACGCGCCAAGCCCCGTCCAAATGCCCCTCGATCATTCTCGATCATGCTTGCAGTGATGATGTTAACTCCTAAAGATTTTTCCCGCTCCCGTCACTCTTCTCTCCGCTGAGGACTGCTGGTGGGTTTGTAGAGCTCCGCTCGAGGCTCAGAATGCTGTAATACCGTCTTCTTTGTGACAAAAAAAGAAGTGGAACGCTCAAGTTCTTAGAAGATGCAGATGGATGGATCGTACCTCTCAATACATTTTGGCGGTCTTTTCGGCGCTGTACCCTCTCGGCTTCTTTAATTAGTTGGAATCAATACCTAAGAAAACGCCACAGCAGAATCAAAGAGCACAAGGTTTTTTTCCCCAACCCATCATGCGAGTTAAAGGATATGTGATCCCGAAGGTTAAAATAAGTCATTGCGGTTAGTGGTGCTATGAAACTCTAGTGATATGCAAAATGTCCATAAAAAAAGTCCGATAATAACGAATGGTATCATCCCTCATAGCGGGTCATAAGGAGTTCTCAACGGCTTCGAAGAGCCTTTCCACGATGGATATCCTGAGGTCGCGCCTTGAGAAGGTGGCGACATCGGCAACGAGGAATTCCGCGAGTGACCTTTCGACACTCCTAACAACGCAACACCATCCTCATCAGCTTCATAGTCTCCTGTGTCATCATCCTCTGCTACAATAGCACCTGTCCGCTTATCCAGCCGGAACCGCAGTCCCGTCAACTTACGCTCAATACTCTCCTCACTGTCATACGGCACCAATAACTGGCCGAAGCCTGAATGACTGGTCATCGATACGATCCCTCCGATTGACCCTGGAGGCGAAGCGATGAACAGGTGGCGACGCTGTCGTCGATTGATGATGTGAAGGAATGTTCCGATGAACCCGATGACGAAAAGCAACAAAGCGAGCACATGGCCAGGAAGTGAACTTTGAGCAAGAGTCATCAACAACAGTAGGAACCAAGAAAGACACGAACGTACTTGATGACCAGCCGCGGAACGTAAGATTCAAGTTGAGCTGATATCGTCCTGTTCTCAGCAACGAAGTAGATGTTTTTTGCTGTCAAAGCTAGATGTTGCGTCTGTTGATCATTACCATCAAAACAATGTCAATTCTCAGGAGATTGCCACGCCGTACATAGACGTTGTGTGTTATATCTAAGAACCCATTTGGAAGATCAAATATTGACTGGGGTCCATTTTCGAGCTGAGAAGCAAATCTAAAAACGGTTCCCGGGATGGCGATGTTGGTAGCATTTGCTCTGGCCTGGATGAACGGATTCGAGCTGCTATTAAAGACGACGCTACACATGCGTCAGACTCATGACACATGCGGCTGCAGCAAAGGACGCACGCATTGAATGGATGTCCAAAGAGAGGGGCACCAGTAACGTTATTAGGCTGCATGTAATTCTCAGTGGGGTTACACTCCGCAATCGTACGGTCTTGCAGGTATGCTTGGGCTGTCACATTAAAGGTTTGGATGGAGGGAGCACAGAATACAGTCCTCGCTTCAAATTCTGCATTGTCAGAGCGCTGATGAAAGTACCTTGTATCCGATATAATGAGCACTTCAAATTACGACATCAGAGAATGAACGCATACCAAAACATGACCGGTTGAAATTCAACACTTAGATTTGCCCCGCTGCCACATTCAAGGCTTACAACGCCGTACTGTATACCCATCTGAAAGATATGATTGGCTCAGCCAGCTTTGCCTTCAATCAATTACGTACCGACGTATTGACTGGCACCGATTGAGCGCAATCAGATATAGATATAGATTCAATGGTCGAAGTTGTTTCATTAAAAGTCGTGTTCCGTGCATTTTCACAATTTGGATTCGTTTGGATTCCTGTAGTATCCACACTGATTGTGGCGTTCAGGCCGTTGCTACTAGGAATGGCAAACTCGGCGGTAGCCCACCCGGCCTGGACGAATGGAGGATCTGTAAGGTTATTGAAGGCGGCTGCGTCCGCGAACTGGACGATATGTCAGCAAATAGATATTGATGAAGAATTTAACGCACCCCGGCGGCGGCAACAAATGCGTTCAGCTGGTTGACATCTGGTGTCAATCCAATGGTCCGCGTACTCGTTACCGTCGTATCTGGAAGCAGTTAGATTGAATACGCTTATCTCCGTTTTCTGGACGCACTTGAAGGCATTGAGCGTTGCTGAATCTGAAATATGGAGCTTGCTATGACCAGATGAGTGAGTATTCTACTAACAATACGCAACTTACCAAGAGGCTGTAAAAGGTATGTTGCACATGCTGTAAACGCCGACCAAAACACAACTCTGTGTTTGAACTTGGTGGAGTAGAACAAAGCGAAAAATGGCCTGAAGGACTGAATTCGAAATTCTTTCGAACATCACCATAATGGATGACATACCCAAGAGAGATCTATAGCAGGATTATTGACAGGTAAATCTGAAGGCAAATGATGACCTACATAATCTAACAATATGCCTTCCTCGACAGAAGCATTTCCTCTTGAAAGGACGACATATGGCTAAGAAAGTCAGCTGTAAAGAACACCAATCGCTGATTGACAAACACACCTGATACCACCTAAGATACCAATCTAGCTCACGCCAGAGAAATGCTACTGGTATGACAAATCTGTACACGGTCAGAAACTGCATAGATGCGCGAATCTCGCAACATTACATTGTAGGTACAAAGGACTAAAAAAGGACATCCACATGAGTAACGGGCTTGCGAAGCCTTGGCATTACAACTCACAAGCAAAAATTGCGCGGACGCAAATCCGAGCGGGTTGGTCTCGGGAACGCTGAAACCTGAGCCAATCGTTAATTGGGACCATATTCCACGAGCCACGGATCTTCCATACCCTGATTCTTGTTGGAAAGGTTGACGCCTATTTCGAGCGCCACTCCCAAAGCCAGCATGGAAAGTGGCGTTCCCACCACGACAGGCAGAGAAAGCGCAAGTGGTTTCTGCACGAATCAGCACATACAAATGGTGGGGATACCATGCACGTACATAACGTTTATCCTCGGATATTCGAGAAGGGATGAGGTGAGTCGACTCCCGAAACCGGCTCGAACCTTGACTGACGCTAAAACGAGCGCTGTCAGTCAGCGAAGGTGACTTTTGAGGCAGCATCGCGAGAAGGTGGGCAATAGTGAGAGAAAACCTCTATGCAAGAGAGGGGGTCCGGTCTATTCGTCGTCGTCGTTGGCAACAGTTCGCAACAGTAGAACAGCCTTCTCCATTGAACACGGACGTAGGCGTGGTGCAAACGGGATGGCCACGTGCGGACAATACGTCCGTGAGACTTTTTTGGTCTATAAAAGTAGATTCGACGATGAAGAAGCTGATCAAAATTTGCCCATCACGGTCTAGGTCATGTGAGGAGTATGCAGCATCTTTTTGTGAAGCTCACCATATAGTCCGCTCGCAAAGGATCCAGACGGATCGATTCCCCCCCCCCTTACGAGGATCATCCGTGAAATCGTGAAGAAACTATGTAAAGGTGAAAAGCTCCAGCTTCAGATGCCGGCGTTCCTTCAGTTTACCGTTAAAATACTGCGGTGATGCATGAGTGAGCACAGCATCATGGTAGTATCATGGTATAAAGAACGGTATATAGAACCGCAATAGAGGCATCTTGAATTGGAGCCCCAGTATGTATGGTGGTGGTTCCATTTCATGTCGAAGATTTTGAAATTGCTGCGGCGGCGGTGAGCTCTAGCACGTCAGTTGACGTCAGTCACGGACATTCCCCCTTTCATGTAAGTATATCTGTTGAACAGCTCACTGGTGTTTCACAGAACTTCTGAGCATGCTGGTGTGTTAGAGTCGTCAAATATTTTTGATCTGTCTACGGCCAGCCCTAATAGTAATACAGGCAATCGATTACATATTTTTGTACGCGCCCTGCTGAAGCAGGTGCAGCGCTGCAGACCACGTTGGGACAGGCTCGAACAACTTGCAGCGACGAAATTTACACAGATCTTTTCTTTGGCTCCCGACGAATATATCTCTATAAATTTTCTTGTCTGTTTGTCAGTCGATCCTCCCGCTCTGTAGAAAACTTGAATCCACCTGAATCGCTATAGCGAACTAGTCGACCTTCTACGGTGTCTCAAGCCTGTCTGCATGCCGGTCCCTCGTAAATACTATTTAGTACGAACGGCCAAGCTATCTTATCCGCCACCTCGTTTGGCCTGAGTTCTTGTATTTCCCTTGTGCTTCTTTATATTACATCTTCTTCCTGTCAAGTCTCGTATATTCATCAGTACCTACCATGAAATTGACTCCCACCCCTATGGAGGAGGAGAACGGATTTCAGGTCAATTATCCCCTGAGCAACAATTCAAACTACAACCTCCTATCAGCAACCGTTTCTTATAAACCACTACTATTGTGCCCTTCCTTTGGTTACCATAACGTCATTGGTACCCTGTAAATCCCTGAGACATTCGGGAGTGAACGCTCCACCTTTGCTCCATCCTCTTCACACTCACCAACATGGGGTAGGTGGTATAATAAGATTCAGATGTCGTTCCTGTACTAAGTCTTTCAAAGCTGTATTTGTTCTTGCTTAGCAGGTAACTAACTAACACCTTTCAAGCAACGTATTTTGAAGAGAAACGTACAAATCTACAGCTGTTTTTGATTGCATCGGTGAAGCCCTTAGATCGGTTGTTTTCTGCCTGGCTGCGATCATTGAGTGCATCGTAGCAGGTGTGTTTATTCCTGCTAATGGGGCCTGCTTCAGTAACTAATGCCTCGTTCCACAACGCTAGCTATCACTGGTGTTCTGGTGTTTATCTTGGATATCTTGACATGTCGATGTTGTCGGGGGTAAGTCTAATGAAATGTTACTACACGTATTTAAACTCACGGGGCTTGCTTTCAGACCCAGACATAGTACCGTTTCTTGACAACAGTAAGGCCCTTAGAAAAAACCGCCTCTAATGAACGAAAGACTACGACGAATCACGCTCGATATATTCCCTCGCCAGTTCTTTTGATATCTGCTACGTACACTCATGAATTTGGTGCTCAGTATATATATGAATTGATAATGAACACGACTATATATCATTGATGGCTGGCCACTCGGCTCCCATTATCTCCGAGCGGCGAGTCGTAAGTTTTCCGTGGTGATATTGCGCTTATCTTGCAGGGTCCAGATATCTTCGTTATCTTCTGGACACGACCTACAAAACCGCAGCCCCCTGCAGCACCAGTGATATACTCTCACTACCGATTGCATGAATACTCGGTATTGAGCAATGGGCACTAGCAACCTTAGTCACTATGTGTTGAAATTTACCTGATTGGTCATTGCCATGTGGCAAGCAAGCACATCATCAAGGCCCGGACAAATTTTTCCTCTTCTTCCTCTCCTCTCGAACACGAACCGTTGGCTCGAATCCGGGTGGAGAGGAAGACGACGACGAGAACCGCTACGTCCTGAATCCATTCTTTGCTATCAACCATGTCTACGACCCGTCCCGCGTTGTCGCGCACATCCAGCACACTGTTTCCGACGCCTCTAGCGACTGCACCCTACGCCCAAAATAATAAGTCGACGTTGTCTGGTGATGACGCTGTCCTTGAACTAGGCGATGGATCCGCTTTTAAAGGTATTAGTTTCGGTGCAGAGGGAACGAGCGTAGCAGGCGAATGCGTTTTTCAGACCGGTACGCTGTGCTCGTTTTTATGGAGAAAATTTTTCTGATTTTTCTTCTTTTAGGTATGGTAGGCTACACGGAGTCTTTAACTGACCCGTCCTACGAAGGACAGATCCTCATCCTGACTTATCCTCTCGTCGGCAACTATGGTGTGCCCAAACGGCCGAGCGCCACCTCCGACCTCCCAGCCGAGTTCGAGTCTTCTCGCATCCATGTAACCGCTGTCGTGGTCGGCAACTACTCCAAGGATTTTAGTCACTTCCTCGCGGAGTCGTCGCTGAGCGACTGGCTCAAAGAAAACGGGGTACCCGCCATTTACGGCGTCGACACCCGTGCCCTCACCAAAAAGATCCGAGAGAAAGGCTCCATGCTAGGGAAAATTCTCACCAGGAGGCCGGAAGTGCCATTGGGTCGGAGGTTATCGCTGAACCCTGTGTCTTCGCGGGCGTCCTCTCCACATACTACGGCTTCTTGGAGAGAAGATTACATCGACATTCCTTTCCAGGACCCTAACCAGATCAATCTCGTCGCAGAAGTATCAATCATAGAGCCACGGCTTTACACACCGACTGTCACTCCACATCTACACCCTTCAGGCAGACCAATCCGCGTTCTAGCCATCGATGTTGGCATGAAATACAACCAGATTCGTTGTTTCATCAACAGAGGCGTCGAGCTCAAGGTTGTTCCTTGGGACTACGATTTTCTACGTGAGTCAGAGCCATATGATGGCATCTTCATCTCGAACGGACCCGGCGACCCGTCATTACTCTCTTCGACCATTGCTAGGCTCTCGGAAGCCATGAAAAGGGCCGATAAACCTATTTTTGGCATTTGTCTTGGCCACCAGCTCCTCGCCCTTGCGACAGGCGCGAAGACCTCCAAGATGAAGTACGGAAATCGAGGTCACAACATTCCTTGTACAGACATGCTTTCGGGTCGTTGTTATATCACCAGCCAGAACCATGGTTTCCAGGTGGACACGCCAACGCTACCGGCTGGATGGAAAGAACTGTTCCGAAATGCCAACGACGGAAGCAACGAGGGTATCTATTGCGAAGACAAGCCATTCTTCTCCGTTCAGTTCCATCCGGAGTCGACTCCTGGACCGCGCGACACCGAATTCTTGTTTGACGTCTTCATTAAAAACATCGTGGACTGTGCCACCACTATCTCGCTCCCCGGTGGGAAGAAAGAGGACAACGACAAACGTGTTCCCCGTGCCAATGTCACCAAGGTCATCATTCTTGGGTCCGGAGGCCTGTCCATTGGTCAAGCGGGCGAGTTTGATTATTCTGGATCTCAGGCGATCAAGGCACTCAAGGAGGAAGGGATTTACACGATCATGGTGAATCCCAACATCGCTACCATCGCTACGTCCAAAGGTCTGGCCGACAAGGTGTATTTCCTCCCAGTCACGCCAGAGTTTGTCCGGAAAATTATCAAGTACGAGAAGCCAGATGGTATCTACGTCACATTTGGTGGCCAGACAGCTTTGAACGTTGGTATCAAGCTGAAGGACGAATTTGCGGAGCTTGGGGTGCAAGTGCTGGGAACGCCTATCGACACGATCATTACCACAGAGGATAGGCAGTTATTCGCGAGTGCCATGGCCGAGATTGGGGAGAAGTGCGCAGAGAGTTGTACTGCTGTCAACCAGGAGGAAGCTATCAATGCGGCAAGGACCATTGGGTTCCCCGTCATTGTCCGCGCTGCTTATGCATTGGGAGGACTGGGGTCCGGCTTTGCGCAGGACGAAGCCCAACTCAAGGCGCTGTGTAGCAAGGCTTTCGCTACTAGTCCTCAGGTTCTGGTGGAAAAGAGTATGAAAGGATGGAAGGAGATCGAGTACGAAGTGGTCAGAGACTGTCGCGACAACTGCATCACGGTCTGTAATATGGAGGTTAGTTGTTATTTTCTATCTTTCTAAAGCGCTAATAACACCCGCGCAGAATTTCGATCCCTTGGGAATCCATACTGGTGATTCAATCGTCGTAGCCCCTTCGCAAACGCTTTCAGACTCGGATTACAACATGCTCCGGACAACTGCCATTAATGTGATCAGACATCTTGGCGTTGTTGGTGAATGTAACATTCAGTACGCTCTCAATCCCAGCTCCCAGGAGTACTGCATCATCGAGGTCGGTTTACATCACCTTCTCATGCTCATCGTACTCATTAAAAATGTACCGCAAGGTTAATGCACGTCTGTCTCGATCATCGGCTCTTGCATCGAAAGCTACTGGCTATCCTCTTGCTTTCATTGCCGCGAAGCTCGGTCTGGGTATTCCTCTCAATGAAATCAAGAACTCGGTCACAAAGGTCACTAGCGCATGCTTTGAACCCAGCTTGGATTATGTAGTCGTCAAGATTCCACGATGGGACTTGAAGAAGTTCAACCGTGTTAGTCGCCTTCTTAGTAGTAGCATGAAGAGTGTTGGTGAGGTCATGAGCATCGGGCGAACATTTGAGGAGACGATTCAGAAGGCTATTCGAGCTATCGACGACCAGTTCTCAGGGTTTGCGAAGGTAAAATTTCTTCTTTTGACACAGGCTCGTTTCTGATGAGTATCATACAGAACGATTTCGTGGAGGATATCGACGAAGAGCTTGTTAATCCGACAGATAAGCGTATATTCGCCATCTCAACCGCTTTCCATCGTGGCTATAGCATCGACAAGATCTGGCAAATGACCAACATCGATAAATGGTTCCTGGCCAAATTGAAGTACATCTATGATATGGAAGTGCTTTTGGGGTATGTCTTCTGCTTTTTTGGTCTGTTCCTCGTTTGAATATCGCTCCTTAGTGGGTATGGTGTTTCGACTTTGACTCCGGATATTCTCCGTCAAGCGAAGCAGCTTGGATTCTCAGATAGGCAACTTGCTACTTGTGTGGGATCTACAGAACTCGCTGTACGCACGCTTCGCAAGGAGCAAGGAATAGCCCCCTTCGTGAAACAGATCGATACCGTCGCTGCTGAATTCCCGGCATTCACTAACTATCTATACACGACCTACAATGCAGTGGAGCACGACATTTCCTTCAATGATCGTGGTGTCATGGTGCTGGGGTCTGGAGTGTACCGCATTGGTTCGTCCGTCGAGTTCGATTGGTGCGCTGTCCGGGCCATCCGGACTCTTCGCGATCAAGGGCTGCCCACCATTATGGTCAATTACAATCCTGAGACCGTCAGTACCGACTACGATGAGGCCGATCGTTTGTATTTCGAGAACATCAGTTTGGAGACCATCCTCGATATCTATGACGCAGAGCAATCTAGGGGTGTCATCCTCTCAATGGGTGGACAAACACCCAATAACATCGCTCTGCCACTGTACCGCGAAAACGTCAAGATTTACGGGACGTCGCCAGAGATGATTGATACCGCTGAGAATCGGTTCAAATTCTCGCGTCTCTTGGACGAGATTGGTGTGGACCAACCGTTATGGAAAGAGCTCACGAGCTTCGATGAGGCTTACGCATTCTGCGAGAAAGTGGGTTACCCCGTCTTGGTCCGACCATCATATGTCCTGTCTGGAGCAGCTATGAACGTCGTATCTACTGGGGACGATTTGCAGAACTATCTCACGCAGGCCACTGCAGTCTCCCGTGACCACCCCGTTGTCATTACTAAGTACATCGAGCAAGCGAAGGAAATTGAGATGGACGCTGTTGCTAAGGATGGCAAGATGGTCATGCACTACATCTCCGAACATGTAGAGAATGCTGGCGTGCATTCTGGTGACGCTACTTTGATACACCCACCTCAAGATTTGGATCCCCAAACCGTGCGACAGATCGTGGATGCCACTGCAAAAATCGGGAATGCGCTCAATGTCACAGGGCCGTTCAATATCCAGTTTATCGCAAAGAACAACGAGATCAAGGTCATCGAGTGCAATCTTCGAGCTGCGAGATCCTTCCCATTCGTCTCGAAGGTGACCGGTATTGATGCTATCGAGATGGCTACCAAAGTTATGCTTGACCTTCCCGTTGAATCGTATCCGGAATCGGATCTTCCTCCCGATTATGTGGGAGTCAAGGTCCCACAATTCAGCTTCAGTCGATTGTCTGGTGCCGATCCTGTTCTCGGAGTAGAGATGGCGTCAACAGGAGAAGTCGCATGCTTTGGTCACGACAAATACGAGGCGTACCTCAAGGCTCTTATTTCCACCGGAATTGTGCCCCCGAAGAAAAACATTCTTTTCTCGATTGGTAGTTACCGAGAAAAGCTGGAACTACTTCCGTCAGTCCAAAAGTTAAGTGCCGCAGGATACAATATCTTCGCAACATCTGGTACTGCCGACTTCTTGACAGAACATAATGTTTCTTGCAAGGTAAAACGCTATGTCATGTCTTTGTTGTTCCCAACTTACATTTCCCGAAGTATCTGGAGACCCTTGGTGAAGACAACCGGGCCAAGCAAAAGTCCGAATACTCCCTCACTCAGCACCTCGCGAATAATCTTATTGATATGTATATCAATCTCCCATCTAAGAACCACTATCGGCGACCAGCTAGTTACACCAGTAAAGGCTATCATACTCGGAGGATGGCAGTGGATTTCGCTGTCCCTCTTATCACAAACGTCAAAAATGCCAAAATGCTTACTGAAGCCCTCGTCAGGAAGCTACCACTAGACGTATCGACTGTCGATTCGAAGAGCTCCCATCAAACCCACACTTTCCCCGGATTGGTTAGCATTGCGACATTTGTGCCCAGTCTTGTGGAACCAGGAAGCAAGGATCTCGAAGAAGCAACAGAAGCATCACTTAGCGCAGGATTTACAACTGCCATTGTGATTCCGATAGGTCATAGCACCCGGATTACGGATCGTGCGTCATTGGATGTAGCTAGAGCGAATCTCAAGGGCTCTGCTCATTGTAATTTTGCGCTCACGCTCGCTGCATCGGCACAGAATGTTCAGAGCTTGGACGACGAATTGCAAGCCGAAGCTAAAGCCCTCTTCATCCCCTTCAACATTGACCATGTCACCATCTCACTCTCTGCAGTCGCTGCTCACTTCACATCGTGGACGTCCGATAAGCCCGTTGTCACGAACGCAAAAGGATCCGACCTTGCGTCTGTACTGCTTTTGGCAAGCTTGCACAACAGAAGCGTTCACGTCACCGATGTTCTCACGAGCGACGACTTGCTGTTGATTTCTCTCAGCAAGGCTAAGCAGCTGAAGGTCACATGCGATGTGTCTGTATACTCGTTGTTCTTCAACCGTTCCCAATTTCCCAAGTCAACATGTCTGCCAACTATAGAAGATCAAAAGGCGATATGGTCGAAGCTCGAAACGATCGATGCCTTCTCTGTTGGTGCAACCCCTTATCTTTTGGCCACAGAAGAGGGAGAAACGACTTCGTCGTGGTCAGGCATGGAGGAAACGCTGCCCCTTCTGCTCACTGCAGTAGCAGACGGGCGTCTCACACTCGAGGATATCCGTCTTCGCTTGCATGATAACCCGGTTCTCATCTTCGGACTTCCTGAGCAGTCCAACACCACCGTTGAAGTGGTTGTTGGCCGTAAAGCTCCATTCGGAAAACGGGAAACATGCTGGTCACCAGCAGAGAAAGGTTTCGTTACGGGTGCTATCCATAGAGTCATTGTGCACGGCCAGACGGCTTTCCTAGATGGCGCCTTGACTTCATCGCCCAACGGTAAAGATATTTCGAGCGCGACAATTACCCACCCTTCCGCAGCAGCTTTGGTGTCTCCAGCACTGAAGGCAGCGGAGCCCGCCTCCTTGGGAGCTATCGCAACGCTTCCTATGGGCCCGCCTATGGCTCCGCCGGGGCACCCTACGATACAAGGCTCGGCTGTATGGAATATCTCTTCCCATCTCCTTCCCCATCCGTCGTTCCATCGTCGGCACATCCTCTCCGTAAAGCAATTCACCCATCGGGACATGTATGACTTGTTCTCTCTTGCTCATGAGATGCGTCTGCAGGTCGAGCGTAACGGGACTCTCGACGTCCTGAAAGGAAAAGTGCTATGCACCGCATTCTATGAACCCTCGACACGGACTAGCTCGTCGTTTGATGCTGCCATGAAACGGTGCGGTGGACAGGTTGTCCAGATCAGTGCGGATAACTCTTCCGTCATGAAGGGCGAGACGTTACCGGACACGATCAGGACTCTTGCTTGCTACGGTGATGCTATTGTGATACGGCATCCGGATGTTGGCAGTGCACAGTTGGCCGCAAAGTTCTCTCCGGTTCCTATCATTAATGCAGGGGATGGAATTGGGGAACACCCTACACAGGTACGGCGTTCAACTAATATTGAAAGCATAGTTCTTACCTTCTTTGATAGGCGCTATTAGATGTGTACACCATTCGATCGGAACTGGGGACTGTCAATGGACGCACCATCACTCTTTTGGGTGATCTCAAGAACGGGCGTACAGTCCACAGTCTCGTCACCCTGCTTAGTCTATATTCTGTCCAGCTCAACTTCGTATCACCTCCGTCGCTTGCTATGCCTGCCAACGTGGTTTCTGCTGCTCGGAAAGCTGGCATACCAGTCACGATATGCGAGTCCCTAGAGGAAGTTTTACACGACACTGATGTGCTATACGTGACGCGCGTTCAAAAGGAAAGATTTGAAACCGAGGCAGAGTGGTTGCAAGTGAAAGATGCTTACCGTGTAGACCATGCCGTTCTGTCAAGAGCCAAAGAAGATATGATTGTCATGCATCCATTGCCGAGGGTGAATGGTAAGTCATCTATGACTTTGCTGTGTAAACCTGTTCGCTGACTCTGAACCATAGAAATTGATCCTGAAGTTGACTTTGACTCCCGCCGTGCTGTCTACTTTAGACAGATGCGCTACGGTCTTTTCGTGAGTACCTCTTTGCTTAGTTGAATATGAAATCATTGACCCACCCCGTCTAGATTCGTATGGCCCTTCTCATGAGTGTCCTTCTGTAGATTGCGGACGCCCAAAAGTAATATAATATTTAGAATGTCAACATGCTTTGTACTACATAGAAAACAATTCGCTAGAGGCACAGGGGTTTACTCATCTCCGGATGGGAATGAAAATGAATGAGCACATCAACTATATGCAACTAAGAGAAGCTTACCAATGTATCCACATAACATTCCGCCCGTCACCGTCAACGGCCAACACTCGGATATATTTGATGCGCTCTTCAATTCTTCAAATTTTCTAATACTCGCACGTCCCTAATTTACAGCGTCGTGATGAAACCTAGGATAGCATAGTCCCAAAACTTAAGGTTCGTCGGGAAAGGTTCTCATCATTGGGCGCTTTTATGTGCTTCTTTGAATCAGCTCCATCTGCAACATGCGGACGCAACGAACTTTCGTCTCTGTGTCCGAATTATAGATATAAGTATGCTGCCGTACGCATGTAACTGTTGAACTTCGGCACACGCACACTCGCTTAGGAGACTCTAAATACCCTTTCATCTGTCACTCTTTCGCTATGGATCACTCTCAGACTCCCGACCGTGCTGGAAACTCTCATTCTCAGGCCCAGGGTGGCTCCTCCCTGGCTCTCAATTCTGGCCCTGGACCTACGATCGCAGCCCCAGTCCCAATAATCAGTCAAGAGAGGAATCCCTCGACATACACTTCCATCAGACACAGCTCACCTCTATCCGACCCGGGCGACGCGCCTACTGGCAGATCGGACACGTCGTACGCGCCTCTCCACAGCAGCCTCTCGAACAACCCCTTGCCTCCCCTGCCAGCTCAAGACTCGATCTCACCTGGGCGGAGGGCCTCACGAAGATCCGACATTGACTGGATCATCCCCGTCGACACCAGGTCGGAAAAAGTGCGTCTTTGCTGCCTCATGGAAGAGTGCGTGTGGCTAAACCCACGCTTTACTCATAGCCTCCACGTCTTAAAACAGTAGGCGAGCGTTTACAGCCCACCCTGAGCACTGCGGAAACGTCGAGGGAAAAGTACCTTTTGAAAGCGAGGATGTCAGGTTATGCGCTTAACATCGCGATAGGTGGGTTATTATTCCAGACGTAACTAGTCGTGCTGAAGTCGTTCAGGTCTGCAGGTCCTATTGGGTGCACTTACGACGGGGCTATCGGCTGCGACGTCCGGGAAACAGGTCAGATTTGAGCTCTTTCTATGACAAATTTCTCAAGCTCAACGCTTTCCTAGACCTCGATCGCTATATCAATCATTGGTGGGAACGAAAGAACTCATTCCATTCCATCCCTCATGCTCATTTTCTTCCAGGAGGTATCTCAACCATGGTAGCGTCTTACCTCGCTCGAGCTCGCGGTTCCAACGAGCCTGAACTATCGATAACACGCGTGAAAGATCTCGAGCAGTTCATCCGAGAGTGTCAGGCATTTCAAATGGACCACGGGCACAATACCGGACACGAGTTTGATTCGCAACTGGAGAATTTCAGGCGACGATTTGAGGAGCTACTGGGGAATGCGAATGGGTAAGTTTATTGTTAGCTGTCGGATTTGAAACGCGAAGGAACCAACTGATGTTTTTCTGTGCAGGGAGCGAAAACTGTCACCACCGGTATGAAGATACCCGTTGTAATTTATTTGGGCTGTACAATCATAGTGTAATACCATCACTAATGCTTGGCAAGAAAATCTATGAAGATCTGATCTGCACGCTATATCAAGAGAACATTCACCTTGTCTTTGTCTAATCATTCCTACCCATGATACAGTGCCTCTTTTTTCAATCTGCGCGTTGCGTTGATTCGCCAATTATTATAAAAATCACCAGGGGGGCACCACTCGCGTTTTCTGCTATTATCAGCCGAGTTTGGATTTCTGCATCGGTGGTGATGAGTCGCGCGTAGTTCACAGTCTACCTCGCGCGTTCAGTCCCTTGAACCAATTGTTCTAGAAAGTTGCTGCATCTTATAGAGACGTGTCCAGATATATGAGTGCACACCGATGAATTTGACACGTTCCACCCCTATCTGGACGACCATAATTCGGATGTGCTCTTCTTCCGAGAAGGGTCGCTACCAAGGTCGACCGACAAACCAAGGAGTTGTTCCTGCACTGCAAGGATCGTCGGCGCGTGTCGTTCATTCATCCGGTGCCGGATGAGGTCAGAGAGTGACGTCTCAGCTTCTGTCGAGGCTGGTGCATCGAGATTGAGAAGGTCGAGAGCCTTTGGACGAGGTGGTGTGCTCACCGTCCCAAGGGAGGTAGGTGGGCGTACCGTATAATGATAATGGAAGGTGTAACGTGGTTGAAGTTGAAGTTTATGGACATGTCGCCTTAGAACACATCCCGACGATTGAGAATAGAGATAGATTCAGCAATGACAATGTAATTCTCTTGAACATTCCAATAACATAACATTGCATGTACAAGTAACTTCATACCACCGGAACGATAGCATGTCTAAGTTAGACCAACTTCTCCTTCTCAAGGAGGGTCGACTTATGCTTCCTAGGACGATTTTTCGCCCTGGGTAACGATGACTGCAGGCGTTTAAATTCTCGACTATAGAAGGCGGTAGCAAGACACCTCGACCCTACAAGTGGGAATGTTAGACCAGCTAACTAGGTGGAAGTGGCTCTAATCATATACCAAGTACCGTCCTCTGCCGCCCCTCGGAAACCATCCACAAGTGCTGATTGATATCCCTTGGATCCCAGGATCCAAGCTGCCTCTCATATATGGTCGTAGTGTGACGGAGGCTTCGGACACCATGGTGTACCGTCTCACGATACGACCCTGGTGATACTGCAGTGGTAAAGAAGGACGGAGGGACACCGACGTTGCGCAAATCCGACAACGCATATGACCAGTACACCGATCCGCGGGACCAATAGCCTTGGTCCTTCATAGAAATACGAATACGCATTTGTGTCTTCCCAGAGTAAGAGGAGGAGTCATTAGAAAGGAACCGGTCGTAGCGGGCTCGAATGGGAATACCACGGAACGGTGATATTATATCCCTGCCAAAACCAATCCAAACAATCTGGAAAGATATATAATCAACATGTTTGAACAAAACCTGGAAACCACGGATATTGGGTAGATGAATGAGATAACGATAGGCCCCTTTTGCTGCTCTTTCTCCATTTTCGCGGAGGTCGACGAAGCAGGTAATGAAACAGGTAAGTCGGGGGATAAAGTCATGGTAGATGATGGATTTTTGGGCCTGTAATATGTCGCATAGGTAATCCAGAAATGCGAGGTTGGTGATGTACAAATCCTGAGAAGCAATAGGAGCATAAGCAGCTTTCCACGTTCGGTTAACAAGGGGACAAGTGGTCATGAAGGATGTTCGGGCCGAGGATGGCATTTCAGAGCGCCAGGCCTCGTATATGACACACTCTACAAGCTCTAGAGGAAACGTAGTCATGGTGAAAGGACAAGGTGAGAGTAGTCCAGGAGCACGGGCCGTGAATGTCGATGAAAACAAGTTCTGCCTGCTTGAAATTCGGCTGTAGTGCCAAGGGTACTTTCCCAGTAAACCTTTATGGCTCCTAGCCCCGATAAGTGACTCGGGGGGGCCCGTATCGATTCAAAGTGGAGGTGAAATTGATATTCAAACTACGGTAACTTACCGTAGCAAAACCAAACCCCCCTGGGGAAGGGCCAGTAACAAAAAGTCACTTACAACTCCCCTGGAGCTTTCGTACGCAACGGTCGCAACCTTAGGACTCCAGAGTCCAGACTCCAAGCAGCAAAATTTAAATGGTCTAGAAACATGCCCACGGGCCTGACTGGGAATTGAACCCAGGACCTCCTCGATGAGGATGCTTTCACCCTAACAAGGAATCATACTACTAGACCATCAGGCCGTCAATTTAGTGTTATCCCTTGGCCCAGCAATCTCCGCGGACGTGATCCTGTTTACCCATCTGGACTTTCCTTCAACTTGAACGCATCTGATTCTCCCTGCTGTTGTCCCACGATGAAGAACAAGAACCGACAAACGAAATTTCCTGTTGTGAGTTCGCGCACCCTGTATGGCAATATCCTACTAACTAGGTTGAGTAATAGGCCCGGATAAAGAAGATAATGCAGAAAGACGAAGAAGTTGGCAAGGTAGCACAGGCGACACCCATCGTGATATGTACGCCTCTCAGGCTCGAAACATCAGATAACTTCTGACGCATCCACTCCAGCGAAAGCCCTGGAGATGTTCCTCGGTCTCATCATCGAAGAAGCTCACAAAGTCACGTCGGAACGGGGGTCGAAAAAGGTGGAAGCGTATCATCTGTGCGTGTCACATCCCGCCTGCTGTGACCATCTATGCTGATGCTGATGTAGAAAACATGCTGTGGAGACGACGGAGATGCTGGATTTCTTGAAGGAGATTGTGGAGGGTGTGCCGGACCCTTCGGCTGGTGGAACGATTGATATGGATGTAGAGCCGGCGGAGGGTGGGAAGAGGAAGAGAGGAAAAGCCAAAAAGGAGGGTGCTGCACCGAAGGATGGGAACGCTGAAGGGGCACCGACGAAGAGAAGGAGGAAGAAGAAGGGCGAGGAGGAGCCGGTCGTCGTGAAGGAGCAGGAGGAGGCTAAAGACGTGGTGATGGAGCAGGAGCCAGAGCAGGAGCAGGAGCAGGAGCAGGAAGAGCAAGACGAAGGGGAAGATCAGGCAATGAATGGCCATGGGAATGACGATGAATGGGACGGAGACGACAAGCCGTTCATGCCTAGACGGTAGCATTAATGTTATATGGTACAGTACACAGATATTCTACATTCAGACGAGTTCTGCATCCCCTCGTTCTACTAGATGCTCTACGACGTAGAATGGGACGAGCGTGAGCTGATCTTTCTCCAAGGACAGAGTCGTGCCGCTGCAACATGATTAGAACAAGCAAACAAGGGATCGACAACACGTACTCTGGCAAACGAACAGGTGGGCATTCTTTGAGTGCATAGGCGAAAACTGCTCGAGATTTGTTGGGCTGTGTCACTAGAGAGAGGACTGAGAACAGTCAGGTAGTAACCCCAAATGACATACCCATAGACGGGACAAATATGGGCTGGTCGTCGAGATGCGCCTGAGCCGGTGGAAGACTCTGCAGTACCGAATAATGTAAATGCCGATCCGTATGTTGTGCTTGGCTGACATCGATAAGTACCGCATACAACCCAAGCAAAAGCCAACCCACCTGCTCGCATACGCCTTTTCTGCTGTTGTCAGCCGCGTTTGGATCTCCGCATCGGTAGTGATAAACCGCGCGTATCTCTCAATCTACCTGGCGTTTAGTCTCAGCCAGTTGTTCTCGAAAGCTGATGCACCTTGTACAGCCGCGTCCTAATGTATGAGCGTACAATAAACTTGACGCGTTCTACTTCTGTCTGCACTAGCATAATCCGAATATGCTCTTCTTCCGAGGTGGAGGGGTCGCCACGAAGGGCCTGCACCGTGTCTGTCTGCACGGAAGTCAAATAAACTAGTAAGCTGACAACGCGTAAGCGCACCTGCCGCCGTATGTGGTCGAGCAACAAGCCAAGGAGCTGTTCCTGTGCTGCAAGGATCGTCGGCGCGTGTCGTTCGTTCATCCAGTGCCGAATGAGCTCGGAGAGTGGCGTCTCAGCTTCTGTCGAGGCTGGCGCATCGAGATTGAGAAAGTCGAGAGCGTCACCTTTGGACGAGGTGGCTAGCAGAGTGTACTCGTCATCCCAGTCCATCAAGGGAGGCAGGGTGTTGCCGAGCTACGTTCTGGGGTAAAACCTTCCGCGATTATTCGAATTGTTACGTCGTATTAGTAGATTACAAGGGACTGAGGTAGAGTATAAGGCAATCGACAGCGCGGGGCTTGGAGAGCCAGAGATAGAATGAATAAGAGTGGCTTGATGGTCTAGTAGTATGATTCCTTGTTAGGGTGACCACCGCATGTCGTGTTTATCGAGGAGGTCCTGGGTTCAATTCCCAGTCAAGCTCATTTTCTAGTGAGATTCGTTTTTTTGTTACCTATAGTGAACTTTGATTTGAACTTTGAAGTCTGACGCCTCGGACGCCGGACGGTTACTCGTTACTTGTATAATAGTCACCGGTCTAGCTAGTATCTGTATGTAATTCAATTCGTGAAAAGAGGTTTCTTTAACTTCGAATTCTTACAGGTGTCCATCGGACATCCATATAGGAGCATACAAAGGAGCCGTCCTGCAACGTGGAAGCTTATAACGACCCTCCTTTGTCATAGCGTAGTAATATGAACATAATGAAATATAAAAGGGAGTCATAGTAGGAAGCTTTGCAACAACGCTCCTTCATCGTAGCATAGTACTTAGACTCATGAAAGAATGATATGTTTGTACAGACCAACGTCCGAAATTCAGTCTTACATACAGTACGGTACTGTGAACAGAGCGCCTCTAGCAAAGGAGATCAAGTTGCACCATAAGGATCATATCTTATGGGTAAAGACCACTGCACCCGTTTGTATTCCAACCAATGGAAGAGTGTGTTAAGACACCCTAACTCTAGATAAATTGTTAGATCATGCAGACAGCGGAGGTCCCACTGCCCACGTACTGCATTGCCTTTTGGAAGCCATCCACAAGTTCCGATTTATATCTTTAATATCCCCTCGATATTGGTATACCTTTGCGGTTCGATGGAGGTTGCGGATGCCATCAGCTGTTGTCCCATGATAAAGCGCGAATCTTGGGTATAGGAACCATGGCACGCCTCCAATGACTCTGACTTTGCGCAATTTCCACATTGTATCCGTCCAGGTTGAGGAGTGTATACACCTCAGAGGGTCCGTATCTGTCATGGAAATACCAACGTCCAATCGTATCTTCCCTTCCTCGTCAATAGTAGACAGGTACCGGTGCCAGTAGGCTCGGACGTAAATAGGAATATCACAGGACTCCGGGAAAAGTGGATTTCGCCCCAAACTGACCCAACCGAGCTCGAAAGAAAGGTATGGAACGAGCGGAAAGAGATTTTTAAAGCCAGCGTCATTGGGTAGGTTGATGAGATGGTGGTACACTCTTTCCACAGCTGCTTCGTCTGTTTGGTCTCCGAGGTAGACATAGCAGGTAATAGTACGGGTAAGCTGGGGGATGAAGTCATAGTAGATGATGGATTTTTGGAGCCGGGCTATCTTGCATAGGTAGTATATGTATGCACGGTTGGTGATGTAGATATCCCGAGAAGCAATAGGGGCATAGACGGCTTTCCACGTTCGGTTAACAAGGGGACAAGTGGTCATGAAGGATGTTCGCATTGAGGATGGCATTACAGAGTGCCAGGCCTCATATATGACTGTCTCTACAATCTCTGGTGGAAGTGTAGTCATGGCGAAAGGGTGAAACGGTTCACGCCCTACGGTGGTTCAACTGGTTGATCGGTCATTTTCTGTTTCGGCGCATCACATGGCCTGTCTCGCTCTCGCCAAAGAGCTCCAAAACCGGAATGTCGTGGCCACCGTACGTAGCACTACTCCACTCGAAGGCATCGATACCCTCACCGACGTCGACATCACCTCTGACGCCTCCATCGCCAAAGCTGTTCAACATCCCCTCGTCCAAGAACTAGACATCATCATCATCAACGCTGCCGTAGGTGGGCTCGATTCTCTCCTCGCTTCCTCTCCCTCCACTCTAGAATCCCACCTCGTCACCAACATCATCAGCCTACACCACATCATCTCTGCTTGCCTCCCCGCCCTCCGCCAAGGCAGAGAGAAGAAGATTATCTTCATGTCCTCTTCTTCAGGGTTTTTCCAAATCGTAGCGTCCCCTACACGGAGGGTGCGTTCAGGGGTCTATTCAGTAAGCAAGGCAGCGTTGAACATGTTGACGGCGCAATATGCTGATGAGATGAAAGAAGAGGGATATGTGATCATGCCGGTGCATCCGGGGTCGGTTGCGACGGATATGGGGTCCTCGGCTGGGAAGGGAGGTATGGAGCCAAGTGTCAGCGCGAGGAGGGTCGTCGACGTTGTCGAAGCGCTGAAGAAGGAAGACAACGCCAATTCTTTTCCAGTTCGATAGAACTCCGATGCCTTGGTGAATAATAGATACGTCCCGCTACTGGGTGTATTATGTGCCTAGGAGAGCGTGAATTGCATTAAGAGTCTAGGAATCAATCCATTTATTTGTGGGCCAACGAGCCGTAAGCAGCAAAACCTGACACGTTCGTCTTGACGCCAAAGTAAGACTGATGTGAGAAAGGTGCACTGCGGGAGGAAGCAAGATACGCTCGATGGAAGAGGGAGGATTCGTCGTCAAATTTCAGAATAGATATGTTGTTGACACAGGAAAGATATCACTAAAGTCATTCCGTCTGATAGTAGGTGGTAGAGCATGAGAAAAAGCAATACTTCAACAGAGAGTACTAGCACAACACACGTCGAATCCAGGAGCCAACGCGGTGTACGAAGAGGTCAACTGCTAGAAGGATATAAAGAGAGGAAGAAAGTGTGCTGATGTTCATGAATATGCAGCTCGTTCATACTTCAAGTTCAAGCTAGCAGGATGGGGAAGAGGCCTTGATAAGCTTCAGGTCTTGGTCCGAATACAGACGCACCCCCCTAAATTGGCTGGTTCTATTGACGGGCACCCTAAGCCCTTGATTGCGACGTAGGAGATAGTGCGCTGTCAGACGAGGCCGAGTACGCAAAGTATATCCCACATGTAATCCGATTGAATGGAACCAAGTGGCAGGATTCATATTAGTTTGGGATGGGGTCAATGGGAGCTACGGCATGCTGACTTTCACTCTATACAGGTACAAAAATTCGCACCAGAATTATACGTTCGGTATCGATTTGCAGCCTTCTTTAGCATGAATTGAACTCGAAAGATCTGCCCGCCGTCCAAACGAGGCACATATCCGTAGCACCTTGTATATATTAGTATCATGCACCCCAAAGCTTAAAAACACCTTACTCTGCACACCTGTCATGCCCAAAGTCCTAGTCGTAGGCGCATCACGAGGATTAGGCTTGGCCATTGTCGAAGAGCTCCAAAACCACCCCTCGACCACCGTCATTGCCACCGTGCGCGGCTCCATTCCTCTCGAAGGCATCGATACCCTCACCGACGTCGACATTTCCTCCGATGATTCAATTGCTAAGGCAGCGCAGCACCCTCTCGTCCAGGTCCTCGATATGATCATCGTCAACGCTGCCATGGGTACACCTGGAAGACTCTTATCCACTTCCACAGATACCCTATCCGAGTACCTCTCCACGAACGTCGTCGGTCCACACCGAGTCGTATCCGCCTTCATCCCGGCGCTCAGAAGAGGCAGAGACAAAAAGATTGTTTTCATATCCTCCCGGGCCGGGTCGATGCACACTCAGATTGGCAACTCGTTTGGTCTGATGGGGCCATACACCGTCACCAAGGCGGGGTGCAATATGCTAGCAGTGCAGTACCATAATGAGTTGGAAAAGGAAGGATTCATTGTGGTGCCGGTGAATCCGGGATGGGTCGCAACTGACATGGGCAACCTTGTAGGAAATGGAGGAATGGAACCGAAAGACAGTGCAAAGGGAATCGTGCGTGTCGTGGAAGGATTAAAGAGAGAGGATAGCGCAAAATTTTTCCAGTTTGATGGGACGCTGGTGCCGTGGTAGCGAACGACGACCTAGAAGCATGTACTAGGCCACTAAAATTGGCCGACACTGTAGGCCCACAGTCGTCAACACTGAAAAAATTCCTCATACGAAACCATTCACGACGCATAATACAAGACAAATAAGTGTCATATTTGGCTTCACAACCACAGAGTCAAGGTCATTTGCGTGACCGGCGACCTTGACCTCGGCTCAAGGTCGGGTGACCGTACAACACTGGTCGGACTCCCAAGGATATGAAGATAATTTGTAGGCAAAGGTCGCAGACGCGACAGACGCTGAATCAAGAGTTAGAGTCTGGGTTGGAGGTCCATGAAAACTTAAATTTCAATGGATCATGATGAACTAAGAAGGGCGGAGTTAGATCTGCAATGTGGTGTTTCTGCGGCAATATGCCTCAAGAGCGCACCAACAGTTCACTTCCCGCTGTGTGCTTTCAGCTAACCACAGCTTCAACGATCCAGACGAATAGTTGAGTGTAAGAACGATAAAGACTGCGGCCGAAAATCCCGATGTGCTCAATATTAAGGTCCGTCAGAAAAGCCGATCTGCCGAAGTGCCGGGTTGCACCCCACAATCATGATGAGGCTGTTAATGTTATCGCACAACTCTCGCCTGTACAGTCGTCTGTGCGGATCTATCACAGATTGAGCGGCTCGTCCGATTCGACGGGGTTGGGCCCCATTTTTTTCTTCGCATGATGACAACCTCAAGTTCAAACGACGGCTATATCCTGCTAAACGGGCCACGCGATAGCTTGGCAGTGGACTACCCTAAATCCAGATGGTGCCGTGTAGTCGAAAAAGCACAGAAGATTACGCGTGATAATCTTGGCCTTCTACTTGTGACCTTGTCGCAGCTTCTTCTCTCGGGCGTCAATGTTGCGGTGAAAACGTTGAATGGAATAGATCCACCTGTAGGAACTTTTGAGGTAGGCGCAATACAACTTCAAAATTCCTGAATCTAAATATCATCCCACAGCTGATCGTCGTCCGAATGGTCCGTTCCACGCCCTCTCATTTCTCGATTTTTGTGACGAGATTTTGACAGGCGATAACCTACCTCTGCAGCGTTGGTTATATGTAAGGCGCGATTTTATACACACTCTAGAAAATATCTATAGCCATCTCCAAAGGATCTCTGCAGGTGTGAACGATCCATTTCTTGGGCCAAAAGGAGTACGACTATTACTCGTCTTCCGGGGGTTTTCCGGGTATAGTACCTGTTATTTCAAAAGAAGCGTATCCCTCTAACAGACACGATTCCAGTTTCTTTGGGCTGTTTGGCACATATTTCTGTCTGAAATACCTCTCGCTCTCAGATGTTACAGTCTTGTCGTTCCTCGCTCCTTTTTGCACTGGGATATCCGGAGCCATATTCCTAAAGGAAAAGTATAACTACCGAGAAGCCTTAGCAGGATGTGCGTTTTGTTCTTATGACATACCATCGGTTACTAAACTTAATTTACTATTCAGTAAGCAGCTTGGTTGGCGTTGTTCTCATTGCGAGGCCGACCTTCATTTTCGGGCACTTGGGAGAAGACTCCGATCTGGGTCCCATCAGTGAAGGGGTACCCTTATCAGAAGAGCTGCAAACAGTCGTAACATCTCATGAGAGACTCATAGCTGTAGGGTATGAGGAACTCTGCTATCATTAACAGTTTGCCATGACTAATACAAAATTTAGTGTCGCCCTTATTGGGGTACTAGGCTCCACGGGCGCTTGTGAGTACAATAAATGTCGCTCTGTTCAGTATTGGTTAAGCTGAAGGCACAGATACATCCTTATGTGCAATCGGTAAACGTGCCCATCCTCTACACGCCTTGGCATCATTTTCCGCCCAAAGTGTCATCGTCGGGTCTATTGGGTAGGCCGTTCAATCTCACGAACAGGCATGCACTCTGATACATTCTCTCTCCAGTATGATATTAATGCGCGCGCCGGTGGTCATCCCCACTCGACTCTCATGGGGAGCGTTGCTGGCCGTGATAGGTTTTCTGGGTTTCTTTGCGCAGGTCGGATGATTTTTCGTTATGCAGCATTTACATTAACTGACGTCCGACAGGTTGCCTTGACCATGGGACTCCAACGAGAGACAGCGGGGCGTGGTACGATAGCCATCTATACACAGGTATAACTGCTTTTGTCTTGGGTTCATGTTTTTTTTTTATCTCACAACCTACCCAGATTATCTTTGCATCGTTCGCAGAGAGGATATTCTTTCATTCTACACCGCAGGTGCTTTCTGTGTTGGGGACCATCATTATCCTTTCTTCTGCTTTATACGTTGCTGTGCGTCTTTTGTTTCTTCTCCTCCTGCGTAGAGATTTGATCTTGTCTGTTTATAGGTTACGAAGAGGAAGTGCAAGCAGGTTTGCCATACTTCAAATGATGACATCGCCCTTGAGGAAGGACTTCTCAGCGGTTCAAATGACGATAAGGATACGCTTGAATCGGCCGTCCCTGTTGATTTGAAACGGCAGTCTTCGAGTGAGGGAACGAATTATGAATCAGCTGAGGAATTGACAAGTCCTACGGCATCCGGTTCTGATTCTCAAGAAGTGATCAATCAGAAGCCCGCAGTATAGACTGTCCCCCGGTAGATGTTCACGTTTTAGAAATATTTTATTCACACTCTCAAATCGATATGTTGTACTTCATGATTCCAAAGTCCAAGCAAAGCTGTCGGTCCTTTTGCTTTTCCGGGATCAATGGCGCCGTGTTTAAGCTGCTTAATGTATGTATCTCTTTTCTCTTTTGGCTTCAAGTTCTGCTATTACAGCCTCGCTTTCGGAAAACGATGGTCTTGACGGTCATTGAAAAGAATATTCAGATTGGTGATTTAGTCTGTTCTTGTTCCACCGCGTAGCTCCTGCCGCTGCTCCGCTTTAAAAATCTACACATAGAAGAAATAGCATATAGCGTATAGTCGATAAGGCCTTTGTAATGTATCGTGCGATGTGTGAATTCATCCATCGAGGGAAACCCCCAACTTGTTTTTAGCCCTAACCCTAAGCGTGATCGGACACGTCTTTACTTATACCGTCACCACCGCCCCGAATTCTTGGTATTCACAGTAGGGAATCCATTGTTACCCTGCTGAAGAAATGGTACGAACGTCCTCAGCATTCTTGGGCATCTCTCACTCTGCAATAGGTCGTCCTAGCAGCCTCAATATGCACAAAAGGCGGTAAAGGTATGCGCTTAGCACCATCACATCCTGGTTTCGCATTTATACCTTTCCAGCCGTCGTCTCCCGCCAATTCCGTGACATGACGCGAGCCCGAATCGAATCTCTCCTCGCCTCGTTCCCAAAACTCATACCCACAAATACGCAGCACACCACCGTCGAAACCTCCGAAGTCCGTTATGTCTACCAGCCGCTCGAGGACCTGTACATACTTCTCATCACAAACAAAGCCTCCAATATTTTACAAGATATCGAGACGCTGCACCTCTTTGCTCGAGTGGTGTCGGATTTATGCAGGACGGCCGATGAGAGGGAGATCCTCATCAAGGCTTTTGATATCCTGGGTGCATTTGACGAGATAGTGAGCTTGGGATACAAGGAGAATGTCAACCTCATGCAAGTCCGGAGTGTGCTGGAGATGGAAAGTCACGAAGAGAAGATACAGGAGATCATTGCTAGGGTGCGTACGCCGAAATCCTTTCCTGGCTCATCGTGGTTATCTTTCCATACCAGAACAAAGAGGCGGAAGCCAAGGAAGAGCTCAAGAGACGTGCCAAGCAGCTTGAAATGCAACGCCGTGAGCAGCAACGTCGTGCAGCTTCTACCGGTGGTATGAACGCGTATCTCGGTGGTGGGTCCACTGGGTACTCTCAGGTGCCAAGATTCGAGGTCTCGGAGACTACACCGTCAAGAATTACAACCTCGTCTCCTGCACCGATTTCGTCGCGCGTGCCGGCATTCAAGAGCTCTGGTATGAAACTCGGTAGCAAAAAGACGAAACAGGCCGAGCTACTTGACGCACTGGGCGGTGAGGTTCTGGCACCGCCTACGCCTGAGGTATCTGCGCCATCGACACCTACAGTATCCTCTGAGTCTGCCCACCAAAGTGCTGGGAGGGGGAGCCTGCCGGAAGTGGAGGCTGAGAGGTGCGTTTATTCTGATCTTTATCTTTGCAGTCGGTGTTGACGTTAGTATAGTGTTCATATCGTTATCAAAGAACAGCTCACTCTTGCGTTGCATCGTGATGGAGGCGTACAGTCTATGGAGCTCAAAGGCGATATGAACCTTCAAATTTCCGACGCCGAGTTTTCCCATATCAAAATTTTGTTGGCGAACCCACAGACGGACTTTGGCGGGCATCATCTGCAGTTCAAGCACCATCCTAATGTCCTCAAGTTTTCTCCGGGACAACAGGAGCGTGTGGTCGCGTTGAAGGATTCCAGCAGGGCTTTCCCCTTGCACCAGAGCATTGGTGTGCTCAAGTGGAGATATGCAGGTACCGACGAGAGCAACGTCCCTCTATCTAGTATGTTCTTCTCTTTGCATGGCATGTGCTATTTGTATTCATTTTACGCCTCCTTCAGTCAACTGCTGGCCCTCACCGAACAATGATGGAACATGCGAAGTTAGTATCGAGTATGATCTCGAAAATGAAAACGTCTCGCTGTACGATGTGGTCATTTCGATTCCCCTTCCGTAAGGTTTTTCCCACGTTGCTAGTGAGCGTTTTGTTGAACAGCCGCTTTTTTAGTGATGGTTCATATCCTACCGTCTCATCACACTCCGGCGAGTGGTCGCTGGAGCCCTCATCTCACTCTCTGGCGTGGTCTATTCCCCTCATCTCTGGCTCAGATGATACGAAGACCGGGTCGATGATCTTTACTGTTGGGGGCGATGACACAGGCGCCTTCTTCCCTGTCCATGTCAGGTTCATTGGTGAGGGTAGCCTGGCGGGGGTTTCTGTTGCAAGTGTTTCCAAGATTTCGGGTGAGGATGTGGTATATTCAGTCGACTCGACAGTCACTGCCGATACGTATTCTGTTGTGTAGAAAAGTAGACTCTTCTTAATTTTATCGGATATTGTGCAGATGTCGTACTCCGTTTTTGGACATACCAGTTCCCTGATCCTCTTTTTGCGGTTTCCATCGTTGCTAAGGTAGCTGAAGCATACAGTATGGCAAACAACAAAAACTTGGCACGTTCATAACCTATTTTCTCGGAGAGCATAATCATACAGGCTTGCAGTCAGGTGCGTTTCCGCACAAACACCACATTACCGGTCTAACCTTGCTTTTTTGGTTCGTCCTGCAGTAAGTTACCGTGGACCTTCAACCCTTGACATAACTCTATGTTTGGCCCCTGCGACTCTGTTACCTACAATGTCACTCTCCTTGTTCTTGAGTCCCTTCAGCTTGCTATATAAAGAGATGCTGTTTTTCTACTTCATTCAGTATTGTGATGATGCTCTCACAATCCTGGATTCTAGCGCGGTACGGCGATCGCAGCAGCAATTCTTGTTATAACCTGATGGGAGCAAAGCTAGATTGACAAAGCCCAGTGCCTTTGAAGGCCAAGCTTTCTCATGAGCATCGCTTCTTCCAAAGGGTTCCAAGGTTTAATGAAGAGTTACTTCGTGAACCCGGATCTCCCTCCTTCATACGAAGTTACTGTCTCCGAAACTGCCAGGGTGCCCTCCGTCTTAGGCGCTTTATACCCTTAGACAAGGTCGTAACGTTGTCCTGTCCGTTGAATCTATGTACGATCATGATCGATTGGATCGATATAACTTCGCTAACGAAGGTCGCAGCCATAGAAAAGAAGACAAGAACATTTGGACAAGTGTCATGAACGCACCTGTGAGAGTCTTCTTTCTTGTGCCTTCCCTCTCTGATTGGTGCCCTTCCCAAGTGCTCAGTACATCCTTCCTGTCTTGCTTTGTGAGAAAAATACAACACGATGGTGAATATCTCCGTACTTCCGACTAACATCAACTGCAAGAGCCGGCCGTACACTACATAGTTGTCGGTGCCGTTGGGAATGCGATACCCCGAGTAAGCGTATGTGCGGAGGTTCCGCTCACGCTGCCACCATCACTTCAGTCAGCTGAAACTCATATGGTTCTGTGGTTCATCATCTAATTATTCAGACTATGTATCAAGAAGTATGAAGACGTTAAGGTAAGTTCAATCTCTTGCAGTTACCGCGTGCTCTGACGGTACGTGGCAGAATCCGTGACAGTGATGATCAGATGGCGGATACGTCCGTGGCATTAGAATGCCATACATTCAATCGGACTCCGACTGATCTATCCCAGTTAATGAAGAGAGAGAACTAGAATGTCTACTCATAGTATGGAGGACGTTCATTTTTAGTCTGCGCCACACTTAAAAGCTTACTTCTTCAACAGCCACAGCGCATGAAGTGTGCGCCTTCATGTGCACATCATGGACCCATATCATTGACGTCGTGGTCCTCACCGTACTCCAGACCTTTGACCGCAAATCAGCTCGATACAGCTTAGCCGTAAATCCATGAGTTTACGCTGGCAGCCACATGACATTGTTACGATGCTGATGCACATAAATGCTGAAATCCTAGAAAAGTTAATCAATAGGTTACTTGACGTTGTCGTGATTACCAATGGGGCCGTGGAGACTTAGAAGGAAAACGGCGGTATTCGCTATCACAGGTAGCTCGGATCCAAGCAGCGGTGGTGTTCCAAATAGAAAATCCGTGGTGGTACGCAGAGATGGAACGCCGGCGTGTGAAGGACACCAGCAATATGATATCAAGCCCGTAGCGCGTTGCCAATAAGCGATCTCGGACTTTTGACATTCGGATAAGTTCTGGTAAGCGGTTCGACTCGGAGGTGATGCATATGCTCAAGCCCTATGGAGGTATGTTGTAGCGTTGTACCATAACGCCACGGAAGGAAGAGAGTTGTCGAACCCGAGTGTCGTCGAATCCAACCTCCTCCCGATACTGAAGGATCAAGAACGAGTTCATAAGTCTCAATGCTTGTTACATACGTGGATTTGAATTTGACTAGGATGATTTGAGTTGTGCGGTGGCCGGTGCGCACCAGAGGTGGTAGGTATAATAGAATGATGGCTCAGGGAAACGAACGGGCCCCGACGATATGGTTAGTGACGTAGTAAGTTGTATTGAGTTGGGGTTGTCATACGAATGCGCGGATTGACTGGCGAAGTGATATATGTAATTGCTTGAGACGCGTTCAGTGGCTTGTCTTGGGCACGAGACCGAACACAGAAGTTCTTACGCGTGTGTAACAGCAATATATATATACCATGCGACCGCCAATCAGAGTGATGAAAGTCCCCAGGGTCGGCCATTTTGTCCCGAATCGCTGGTGCTTCTTATCTAAAGACTGCACAAGCGCATTTAGCTGTCTATAGTTCCTGGGTATTACATTGTAAAGGCATGTAAATCGCCGCAAACCGACGCACAATTGGAATTACGAATGAACATCGGCGGAACATCCGGTGCAACATGTGAATCGTTGTGATAGAACTCATATGCAAGCCTCGAAGAAGCAGACTGTCGACCTGGAACAACTGGGAGACGTAGATTAGGTAGATATTCATAGCCCCCCTCAACGCGCATGTGGGACTCGCAGAGAAGGGAGCAGTCACGCTACGGTCCAGTTGAGTGAACGAAAGCAGTCGTTCAGCAGAATACGCATACATCGAAAACGGATGAGCGCTACAGACGCGTAATACAATCATCGCGCTATGGCCTTCTGGACAATTACCGGACGGGGTCAATTGTGGGGAAAGAACTGACATTGCAGGAAGCTTACATCTGCTCATCCGCAGTTGTACCACATATTCGGATTGATACTAGCATTAGTGGTAACATCGCACAGATAGGCCAAGGTAGCAGTAGGATGAAAGCCCAAAATTAATGATAGATTCCAGCCGGGACCTATGGTATGCAGGGAAACCCCAAGACATCAAGGGATAGTTATTGCGTTGAATTTAACCTGAGAAGGTGGCGTCTACGAATTGATTGCTACGGACAACAAAAGTAGTACATAGATAGACGCTACCAGGTCGGCGGCGAGATCACTACTGACGTTAATGGGCTCTCTTCCGTTTGGCCTAGGTATGACGCTGATTTCCGGGACCGAAAGAGGATATAGAGAACGACAAGATGGTGTGGTTGATCCATCAGGAAGTGATTGTACTCGTGGCAGACGGAGGGGAGAAATAGAGGAGCGTGTAGAGGGCGTGGCCGCTCATCGACGGTGGAGGATTCAGAGACAGAAAGAATGTGCAAGGTCTAGAATAGAGGGACCCTGGAGAGAAGCAGTTCGCTGGCGAGATCGACGATGGACATGTTGCGAAACGTAAGCCAAGAGAGGAAAGTCCGCAAAGGCTGCGGTTTCAACGGTTCACGTGGTGAAGCTATTTGTATTTTGCTCTGACGAATTGATGAGAAAGACAGATGGAGAGAGCCAGAGAAGGTCGAGATAGAAAAGGGAGCAAAGAGAGTCGCGAGAGACAGATTATGGTTCGAAGACTTCTTTGGGTACCAGACCGCTGGAAGAGCAATAGAGAGAAGCTGGCCGATGGGGATGGTAACAAGAATTCCAAATAAGTATGCTGTGTCCTTTATACCAAGAATCCAAAAAGTGGGATCCTAGTTCACCTAGCAGAGCTGTACAGTGCTTACCGACAGATGTACGTCTTCACCGACCAAGCTTACAACAAGGGATCGGGGTCTGTGTGTACCGGGGTCGTAAACGCAATGGCTGTGCACGGGTTAGCATCCGGATTCGGCAAGTTCGGCAGTGATTCGGACCGAAGGTTTCAGGAAGGGCTGCAAACAAGGACAATGCGATTAGCCAATGGAGAGCTAAATACTCGAGGGATCTTACCACTCCGTCGTCCCCTCATCATTCCTTCCCTCTGTTGTCGCTGCCGCCGTCGTCGTCCCCCGCGTCGTCCCCGTCGTTCTCGCTGTCCCTCTCGTCGTTCTGCTTCTCCCTCCAGTCTTTGTATATCTGTATCCATAATATCTTATAGCACCTATAGCCACCATGTCTACCCAGCCAATCGCTCTCCCGTCTCGCAGCAGCCCCCGTAATCATATCTCTAATTCCAACAATGCCGACTACATTATGTCTTCAGGCTCGTACACGGGGTCCAATGGCAACGGCTCGTTCAACCCAGCTTCCTACACCAGACATTTCCTCGGCTCGCCTATATCATGGCGCTCGACGTCCTTTGGGCTGGGTGTGCGGTTCCAAGGGAGTCCTATGGAGCACTTTATTGGGTCTCCGGAGTATGTGAACGCCTTGGTTCCATGTTGGTTACCGCTGACACTCCGTATCTCACAGACAGAAACCGTCGCTCGATTCCGACGTACGGAACGCGCTTAGCGCTCTCGACCGCGAAAGTGAATTTGTAAGTTCTTCATTGGTCGTCAAGTGTCTAACCTATCTGACGGGCCCTTCTGCAGTGTCGAGACTACAGCTGCTGTGGTCTACACTTGAACGACCTGCACGCTCTGCTTGAGCACTTTGAAGAAGTCCACGTCGTTGTTATTGATCCTACAGCTCCTCAGGCGCAAGCTCAGCTTCAAATTCCTTTCAATCCTCAGGTTGTTTCGACACTCTCGTCGCCTGGCCACGCCCAGGGTCAGCAGATGCAGCAACAGCAGCAGCAGCAGCACTCTGCTCAGTCCTACGGCGTCGCCTTTGACCCCGACGAGATGGATTTGGAGGGACCCCCGTCGTCCGGAGCACCAAGTTTGAGATCGTCGCCTTCATCTGGGGCTCCCACGCCCCCGGACACCCCGATAACGACGCCTTTGTCTGCCTATCCTTCGCCTGGTATTCCTAGTCAGCAGCCTGCATACTACTTGGACAAGTCGCAAGTCCAGGTTCAGAACCAACTGCAGACCCAGCACCTCCCTCACTCACCGTATGTTTCGCAGCCCCCATCACCTAATTCCGGTGCACATCAATCCGTTGCCGCCTTCGACACCAAGACCCTGATTCGCCGTTCCTCATCAAGTGCTATATCTACCACGCCTTCTTCCCTTGCCAATGCCAATACGCCTGTCCCTCCCAGTCCCATCCACCATCAGACTCGGCCTCAGCTGAACCTTAACTTGACGGCTGCTCATGCGCAACACACGCACGGTACTCACAGTCCCCTTGTGGAAGCGTTTAATTACGGTCGATACGGCGAATCATTCGTTGGAATGCCGGGTTCAAATATGGACAGTATAGACACATATAGTTCCAGCATGCTTGATGCCCATCGTACCCACAACAGTAGCAGCAGCAGTCTAGCTGGAGCTGTTGAGGAATGCGTTCCGCCTGCTCTTCTCTTTTCCAATTCGGCTACACCAGAGAGTACACCAAGCACAAGTCGCGTTCCCTCACCCCATAGTCAGGCACAACAGTCTTCGGCTAATGGTGGTACGTCGCCTACGTCTCCTGCTACAAGTGGTTCGGTTAGCGCTGGGGTTCCTTCGGCCCCTGTTGTATCCAAGGACCCCAATGCTTTGCGGCTGTCATCTTCTGTGACGAGACCTGCTACGTCGTTGCTATTATCGAAGCCCTTCAAGTGTCCCAAGCCGAATTGCAACAAGAGTTATAAGCAAGCTAATGGTACGTCACCCTTTCAGGCTCATTCAGGCAGTCCATTTATGTCTTTTGAAATCTATCAGGTCTAAAATACCATATGACTCACGGTAGTTGCAATTTCGCACCTCCAAAAGACCTTGAACACGTCCAGGCACTTTTGGAGCGTAAACGCCGAGACAGAGCGGCGGCAGCGGCAGCCGGCGGATATCCTGAATCATCCGATGCTTCCCAGCCTTCTACACCACTCCCGTCAAATCCATCAACTCCTACATCTCCCTATCCTGATCTACAAATTTCCGATGCGGAGATGCGCGAAGTGGAGCGAGAGGCTGAACGACGTCTGAGGCCTTTCGCATGCGGTGTTGGTGATTGCCAGAGGAGGTACAAGAACATGAATGGGTTGCGATACCACTATCAACACTCGGGTGAGCACGGGGCTGTAGGATTGGCGTTATTGGCCAGTGGGGTCCACGAGTGTCTGGGCAATAACGGAGGCAGCAGCAGCGCGAGTAACAGTCGCGAGGCTAGTGCCGTCAGAGGTGACAGGGAAGGGAGGAAGATACGTGTTGGTGGCAGTGCCCCGGGCAGCCGTTCGGGTAGTCTAAGTCGTACCGGGACTCCGGTGCCTGCTGTTGGTATGGGACAACCTAACCATACACAGCAGTACGCCCCGCCGTCGCAGGCCAACCAGTTCCAGACCCAAATCGCGTACCAGCAACGATTTGCAGAACACCAGCGCGCACAGTATGCACAACAGCAGCAGTTTCAGCAACAAGGGATGATGATCCAACAGCCACAGCAGTATGCTGCCGTGCTCTATCCGCCTGCGTCTACGGTCGGGATGGATGTTGCCATGTCGGGTTGATCGCTGTTTCTAAGGACTCAGCAGAGTTGTCCAGTCATTCTTTGTGTTGTCCACGTCGACTTGGAGCCTTTGTGTGGTCGGTCGATTTGTCGGATTAAAAAGTATTAACCTATACATACCTATTTGTTTTCACTATCCCTCCTCAACGCATGAATCTCTCTTTATTGTTTCTGTTGCCGTGTTCCAGTACCTTATTTCTCACATTACTTGCTTTACTAGTATATTCTTCATTCTTTTTCTCTCCTTTTTTCCCAGCTTTCTCATCCGATACTGACCTTCCTCCCTCCCACTTTCGCCGCCTCACCAAGTTCCAACAACCAACGATAGCCCCGCAACCAGCCTCATCGCCACTGCTCGCACGACCTTCAATTCCGCACTTGCAGGGTCGATCCTTGACCACGGCGGGCATGCCCCCTACGACTCCATGTACATTATCGTACGGCCGACACTCGACAAAAGTAATTCCCTGCCCAAAAAATCGAAAAAGCTCAAAATATAGACATTCCGGCGGTGCAAGTTGGGGCGACTAGCTATGTTTCCGCGCATCCAGGGAGGACCACTCTCATTAATCCGAATACCCTCTGTCTCTCCCTGCCAATAGATGCGACCTCCATCTTCAACCGTCATACACGCACTTATTTCGGTTCTCGGTCCCCGTATGCTCGTCTCGTCCTTGTTGTCATCGTCGCTATCTATCTATCATATTTCCCTTCCCCCCATCACCATCTACATTAGTTGCCCTCACCACTTGTCTTCTATTACTTACCTCGATTAAGTACGAGGTACATCTACTGTATGCGATATACTTACTTGGCTCAAATGTAGCTTCCTGTATATTTTGTATATCTTTTTGTTCTCATGGTGGCGGCGCATACCATGTTTTCAATGAGAGAGTTGTATATAATATTGAAAGCCGTCTCGAACCCTGCATGTTCTAGAGACGAATTCTGGACCAAGGATTGCGCCTCTCCCCAGGAGGTGGCGCTTGGAGAAGCTTTCACATGGATGTCAGAATGGTTTTATTGTGTCCGGGCTGAGAAGGAATCGCACTTTGGACGCTCCGTTCTATTCCCGTGTAGTTTTTGATGGCAGGGTCGTGTTGTTCTAACGTATACATGTTGCTTGGGACAAGGAAGCGATGTGTGTGTGTGTGTTAAATTGTACCTACGTACATAGTACGTATGGAAGTCAAGTCGGCGGATTTTTTCTTCGTACAACGGAAGGAGGGGAGGGGAGGGGAGGGAGGACATGTACAGAACCGGAGTTTCAAACCTCTAGCCTAGGTAAGAAGGACGGACCTTCGCCACAAAGAAGCGAGTAGGAAATAAAACGAAATCACGAATCACGATCGGTACTCGGGCGGGCATCCTACTGGTTAGAGTTTGAGTTTACAGATAAGTAAGTAGCTTCGGAAACAGAACGTGAGAGGCGCGTCATCAGATTCATTAACATTACGCGACTCATTGAAGGGAACGTGTTCGATGGTATCGGCTAACCGTCCGATGGACGAGCGCACAAAGGCCCGGCCGGGGGGAAGAGTTGACAGATCATGAATTCGAACGCGCCACAAGAGATTAAATTGTAGCCTCGTGGGTTGAAGAAATACATAACGTGAAGGCGCTGGGACGGACGGGACTTCCGAATGTTCAAACGTCTAAACTCTTTGTTTCTAAAAGTTTATCGTAGGAATATACAGAACTGGCACTCGATTTCGTAGCGTACCCCGGAAAACGAGCTTCAGAGTCCGGCATCGACTTGGACACCTCTTTTACTCGCATCCGTCTTGTCCAAGAATACCGCCACTCACACAAGTGTTGCAGTGAATGAAGATTCAAACATTGGGAACCCTCCCATTGGCAGGAGAGAATTCGTGGCAAAAAAAAGTTAAGAAAGCTACCCACGGGCCACGAAGAAGCTGTGATTTTCAACGGTTAGGGAAAGTTTACCAGTTCGCCCGCACCACTTGCCACAAAGTTTTTGCTTTGGCATAACCACTGACCAGCCTGAATATATGTCGTTCTGCAACGTTCTCTCCCGCGAGGGGGAGGGAGTTCAGGATGATTTTTCGTTACCTTTTAAGGGGTTGAGTAAGATTACGGATGTGGCGAGGGAGCAGGTTTCGGCCTCTTGGCGTGGAGGAGTCAGGAATTTGGGGTCTGGATGGCAGGGGAGTGGGAGGTAGATGTTGTAACGGTGCAGAGAACGTATGGCAAGTTCTTGCATGTGGGGACAAGGAAATCGTTCGTCGCAGTGTATTTTTTCACGTCAGCTGCGTGTTCTGCATCTACTTCGTGCGCGCGGGAGTTGAATGTTAACGTTGATTCGTTGACAACGTTGAAGCTTGAAGATTAAATATTAAAGTCCCAGGAAAGGCCGAGTTTGATATAGCGTCACACTAGGCCTCCCTCCTTGACTAATTTCTCGTTGAACCTAAGGTACACCCCCGTCTCCTCCTCCGTGACCGGAAGACTCTACCTGGTGGGGTTGTTCTGGCCCTGTACATGTTCTCCCGCCCGATGTGATTGAAGGGATGTTTGATTATCGGCCGAATGTCCGATTGAGAAACAGATCAAGCCTCGAGGCTCGAAGAAATACACAACGTGAAGAGACTGCCCCGTGAATTCCGAATGTTCAAAGTTCATTATGGAGATGTACTTGGATTTCCAAAACTCGTTGATGCGTCTGTTCTCACATACTATTTGCCGTCCGTATTTGATCAATACCCCGGACCCGGAAAACCTACTTACCAGTTTCAATTTATCGCGCTTCGCAACCCTTGTGATAATTCTAAATCCATACCAATCCTACAAAACCCTCCCCCCTCGAAGGACATTAACCGCTCCTTCCAATTTCTGGTCCACCACCATCGTAGCTAAATACTGCTCCGTATGCGAACGCACCGCACCCAACCGATCCCACTCCGACAACTCCACACCCTGCAAGTCCTGCGCAACATTAAACCTAAAATACACCCCCGGTCGACTCCTAAACGCTCTCTCGAGCCTCTCCGCCTCCGTCTCGCAATCCGTCGTGATCCCCCTCAGCGCCTGCACAACTTCCAGCGGGAACACCCTCTGGGATTGAGATACCTCGCCTGGGGTTGTTTCGTTCCCATACTGACGAGGCACCCCACCGGCCGATCGGGGAAGATCCAGTTGGCTTCTTCCAATAGGAACCTCGCGGGTTTGTTCTGGCCCGCCCCGCCGTCGATGCACGGCTGCTCCATGTTCTCCCGCCCGATGTAGATCCGTTTGAAGACTGTAGGTGCGGCGGTCGTTGCGCGGGCGGCCTTCCAAATCGGCAGGCCGTCTTGATGTGCGATGGCGTGTCGATGCCTGTAGGTGCGGAACACGAACAAGACGGGCTCCTGCATGTTATTGGCGTCCTTAACGCAGATAAAGCTTGCATCGATCAGTCTCAGCCCCCCTAGGCGTCCTGCTCACGACGATAGATTTCAAATCTTTTCAAATCTGGTAGCCTTGAACCTTCCATCATGGTGTACTCCGCGTTTGGGATTCCCAAAGACCTTTTTGGAAAGGCTTGCATAACATGATATTGCTTCGTCAACGGACATACCTAGGCGTCCTACCATGAGCGCACATAGCCTAGGAAAAGCGCAATGAAGATTGGAGAAGAGAGATATTTTTTACCCTTACCCTCCTGTACTCGTCCCACCTATCATGTCGAAATAATCGCACGGGAGCGGAGCTCTGGGGAGTCCCTCCTCCTCTGTCTGGATCTTCCACGTCAACTGCCCCAGGATCACCAAGGACAACAGGCTCCTCCATCTAATATGCATCATCAGAAATAGCCGTAATGGTAACATCCGAACGAGAGCAATTTCACTGGTTTTCTGTCACCCACGCGAGAGAGGATGGAAGAGTTCAGCCGGAGCTCGGCATTGAGCGTGAGAACGATGACCAAGCAGCTGTATATCTTCCTCACCGACGAAGTTTTTTTTTTTTCAACGACCGCCTCAATCAATAAATTCACCTTTTTTCTTCTCCTCTCCTTCATCCCACAGACCAAGTCAAGGATCCTCGCTCGTATTCCAAGCAGGAACCTGTTACGTCCGTGGAACATCAACACATCCCAGAGACCCTGCCATAGTGCCTCGTTTTGAAGTACCTACGGACCCACAGCGTCTCTCCGATTATCGTCTGTATAGAGTTGAACGTAGCCTTTATTACTTTCGTGGCTTCTTTCTTAGTTTTAAGACATACATTCATGCGTCTCATAATAAACATGATTTACTCTATTCTATCATTGCTGAATGTTTCGAACAGCGGAGGTGTTTCGCCGTCTTGATCAGTGTGAAGACTCGCTTGCCTTGAGCCAGGACCCCACGGCAGCGGTACCCATTCTCAAAAGAAGAAAAAATTGGCATGCGAGTCCTTTCATTTGCATGGATTACGGTTTCTTGTTTTTTTTCACTCGTGTTGTCGGCTTAGTCTGATCTTTCGTTAGAAGTCATTATAAGTGTCTTTGCGCTACCTTTTGCCTTTGGGGCTTATCTGTTCATGGACTCCGCTGATAGCATTTGCATCTGCATTTCAGTGAACATTCAAACGACGACACAAAGTCACCTCGTCAGCATCGAGCTACAATGTACTAGCCTCTGCTGTGAAAGCGCTCGACTAAGTTTTCGCCAACAATAGTGTCAGCTGTAAAAGAAAAAAGCAAGCACATGTTGAAACATCACCCGTTCTAGTTGGACTTCAGTCTGAGATGTCGGGGGTCAGATGCACATCTTTTGGTTCATCTCGACATTGTGAATTCACGGCCCGTGCTCCCGGATCACTCTCAGCTTGTTCTTTCACTATGACTACGTTTCCTCCAGAGCTTATAGAGATAATTGTACACGAAGTATGGCACTCTGAAATGACGTCCTTCATCCGACAAGCGTTCATGACCACTTGTCCCCAGATCAACCGAACCTGGAAAGCTGTTTATGCTCCTATCGCTTCTCAGGATATGTACATCACCAACCTCGCATTTCTGGACTATCTATGCGACATATCCCAGGCCCCAAAATCCATCATCTACCGTGACTCTATCCCCCGACTTACCCGTACCATTACCTGCTTCGTCGACCTCCGAGTTGAAAATGAAGCCAGGGAAACAGCAGCAAAAGGGGCCTATCGCTATCTCGTTCATCTACCCAATATGCGCAGCTTCCAGGCTTTGTTCAAACATGTCGAACATATATCTTTCCAAATCGTCTGGATTGGTTCTGACTGGGATACAATCGTACCGAAAATATCGCCGCTTCGTGGGATTCCCATTCGGGCTCGCTACGACCGGTTCCTGCTGTCCCAACAACCTTCACAACTGCGTATGCACATCTCCATGAAGAACCGCGGCTTCTGGTGGCCGGGGAGCGGGCAGGCCTGGTTACGTTCGTTGTCCAAATTGCGCGACGTTGGTGTCCCTCCACACTTCTTTACCACTAGTATATCACTGGGGTCATGTCGTGAGACGATACGCCGTGGTGTCCGACATTTCCATTACATCACGCTCTTACATGAGACGTGGCTTGGATCCTGGGATATCAATCGGCATTTATGGATGGCTTCCGAGGGACGGCACCGTGACAGTACGGTACTTGATACGTACTTCCACCTAGTCGGGTCAGTGTCAGTCTAACATTCCCCACCTGTAGGGTCGGGGTGTCTTGCCAGTCTCTTCTATAGTCGAGAATTTAAACGACTACAGTCATCGTTACCCAGAGCGAAACATCGTCCTAGGAAGCACAAGTTGATCCTCCTTGAGAAGGATGAGTTGATCTAAAGAAATGCTGTGCTTCCGGAAGTATTGTACGTGCAATGTTGTGTTATTAGAATGTTCAAGAGGATAACATTCTCATTGCTTTATTCTCAAACGTCGGATATCCCAATAGATGGCGACATGTTCATAAATTTCAACTCCGACCACGTTACACCTTCCATTACGATACGTCCAACTACCTCCCTTGATAGATAGGGATAGCGAGCACACCAGCCTCGACAGAAGCTGAGACGTCACTCATCCGGCACTGGACGAATGAACGACGTGACGCCCTTGGTAGCGCAGGAACAACTTCCTCGGCTTGTTGGTCGACCACATACGGCCTTCACTCTCATCTCTTTCGCATAGATAAACACCGCACAGGCCCTTCCCTCCACATGAATCGTGGTCATCCAGACAGAGGTGGAACTCAACCATCAACAGTTGTCGTGAGTTCCAAGAATGAACCGCGGCCCCTTGGACAAGTCAATCGTTACAATCACCAGCTTTAAGGTCATGGAACACAAACCCCTTTCCTTCAGAATTCGCCAGTACTCCGGATCCCGAGCGCGACGTTCCGGACGGATTTACCAACTTTCCGCAATTCCCCAAGGGACCAATGCTTCAGGCCTTCCGGCGCCAAGAGACATTGGTTTGCATCGACATAGTGGTGGAGGTGCCATATATGGCAGGTTTAAGCCTCGTGAATAAGGGATAAAGAGGGCTCACAAGCATGCGCTCAGATCGGTTTTTGGCTGCATTTTCACCCTCAGCGACACTGGAAATCGGCACACACAAGTCCGTCAAGCAATTCCCATCTGCCACAATAACGGAGTAGGAGGATTCGGAATATATTGAATGCTCACCCTAGGCGCATTGAACGATAACACATTACAAAAGAATCATGAAAATCTCAGATCTGCCGGAGAGAGAAGAATGCAGGGTTACAGTCAACACAGAAGGGAACACAGGCTAGGTATGAAAGAACGTTCGCCTGGTCTATGTCAACCTGGTGTGAAGAACCCCATCACTCTCCGGAGAAACACTTTGTAGGTTCGTTCCAAGGATACTAGGCGTGGCAACGACGAAGATGGTGGATGGGACGAATAAGCATAACCAGTGGGAGCATCCCACATCTGTATCTTTAGTTTCATTTCTAAATTTAGGTTAAGAATCTTTCATACATCCTGAAAAAAGGCGTTGGCAAAAAGGATTTTTTCCTCCCTTCTGTAAGGAGGGTCCTGTTATATTGGACATTCACAACTTGGAGAAAGATCAGTTATGTAAATCGATGATCGGGCTTTTGTGGTTTGCGTGAGGAAGGGGGGGGGCGATATCTAGTATAGGCGACCGGTACGTCCCAAAACAGTGTCGAATCTGCGGAATTGTTACACCTCAGATGGGGAAAGGCGAGATGAAGTTGAAGTGTAGTGGCAAGCGACCTCTGAACTTGTGTCGTGTCCTAGTAGTGAATAACTGCACCTAGAAGAAAAATTCTCCATGATACAGCGAGTCCAAGTTTGTGTAGGCGTTGGTTAGTGTAAAAACGAAGGAACTTATCTGACCTGTGCAAAGAAACCTTGGGTTTCTGGAGGAGTTGCATTGGGACCATTTTTCGAGACAGGGGAATATCCATCCATCCGAGAGACAGATGGTGGAGCGGTTCGCTAATTGGTGGTGGTGGTGGGGGGAGTAGATGATGACTCATTTCCAAGCCTCACAACAGAACGGTCCTATTGCCTGCTAAAAACGCTCGACGAGGAACGGGGTTGTTCAGACCTACTCTCTCTCTTGTGTGAGAGGCCGCGCGGGGGTGGTGGTGGTAAAATAAACGCGACGTTGTCAGTGGCTAGAAGAATACTGCGGGGACATTTGGAACCGGACCTGAAAACCAACGCATACTCACCAGCAAGGGGGTGTAAAGAGCAGGATCTTTCTAACCAAAGGGGGGGGGGGGGTTGGTAAACGAAACGCGACGAGAAGAATAATTGACGCAGGAGGGACAGTAGACCTAAACAGATGTCGCTTTGTCGGTGCCCTGTAGACGGACCCGAGCGTATGTGAGAGGCTGAATCATCCACAAGAAAGCCACATGACTAGAAAAAGTAGAGATTCGGAAAGAAACATATCCCTAACGACACAGGATAAGGAGCAGGAACTTTGCTGGGGGAAACGAGTATGCCTATAGAGCAGGAGATCTTTTTAACCAACGCGGAAGAAGGTCTAGTGGGCATCCGGCACTTTTACCGAGCGTGCGAAGCGCTGACAAAGCAACTGTATATCTTCCTCACCGACGAAAAGTTTTCTCTCCCCAGCGACCGCCTCGCTCGATCAATAAATCCATATTTTCCCCTCTCCTCCCCTTCTCTCACCCCACAGACCAAGTCAAGGATCCCCGCTCCTACCCAAGCAGGGAACCTGTTACGTCCGTGGAACATCAACCCAATCCCAGAGATTTCTGCCCTAGCACCTCGTTTTGAAGTGTCTTGGGGACCCACAGGGGTCTCTCCGATTAACGTCTGTATAGAGTTGAACGTGGCCTTTTCCTTTTCGTGGCTTCTTTCTTAGTTTAAAGACATACATCCTGGCAATAAACATGATTTTACTCTAATGAACTCTACTCATCGTCGCTCTCAGTATCATACCCATCATCTTCCTGAGTCTGAGCCTTATCCCTCCCCTTCCCCTTGTCCAACGAAACCCTTCTCTTATCACCACCAGCAAGCTCAACGACCAACTGGCCACCCCCATCCTTCAAACACTCCACATCGCCCAATCTCTTCCTAGGCTCCCAAGGAATCTCAATTCTCGGATACGCACTATGCAGCGTGAACCCCCACCAATCGCTCCCTTCCTCAATGATACTCTCGACATCCCCAGGCTGTGGTGGACTCTCCGGATCATCCCCCTCGGCAAACTCGGCGGGAATAAACTCCTTATCCACAAACGCATAAAGAACCGTCAACGTATCCCCCACCCCAAACCTCCTCACAAGCCTCTGTCCCCCAGGCAGCCTAACCGCAACCCTCAGTCTATCCCCCGGGTTCTCAGGCTTGAGAAGCGCAGACCTCGCCCACCGCCTCCAAACCATCCTCTCCGCCTCCCTTTCCTCCTCCTCCCTAACTCTCCTCTCCTCCTCCCTCCTCCCCTCCTCAGCCCTCCTCTCCTCCTCCATCCTCTTCAGAATCCTCTCCTTATCCCTCCTCGCCGTATCCTCAAACGCCTGGTCCTGCTGCATCCTCAACGTCCGATCCCTTTCCAACGCCCTCTGCGAACTCCTTACGCGCTCCAAATAAGGCTGCACGCGCGGGAGGAGGTTATCCTGGAGGTGCCCCAGCAACTTCCCCGGAGTAGTCTCCCGCAAGCCCTGATGCCTCGAAAGCACCGTAAGCGTAGGCGGAGGCGACGAAGCCTGCGAATGCCTCGTAGGCTGGATAGCCACAAACGCAACGAACGGGTACGTAGAAGCCTGCAGTTTCTCCGACGCAGAGTACGCCTCCAGCTCCCTAACGTCTCCGCCCCATACAATAAACTCATTATCCGTGAGGAAATTCACGAAATCCGGGTCCGTCAGAGTCGTCCTGCATGCAACACAAGTAAGAACCCATCAGCACCAGCAGTTTTAGAACCCACCTCTTAAACTCGGCATCATCATCATGCTCCTCACTAACCAACACAACACACCCAACCCTCGCCTCCTTCAGACACCGCCTCAACACACCCTCATACGTCCCCCTCACAAAATCCGGTAAGTACTTCCTCCCTTCCCCCCCATCCCCATTCCCTCTCCCCACCAACCTCGAAGTCGACGGCCCCGCAACACCAGAAGCCATCCCACCCCCTCTACTCCCAACACAAACCGCCCCCGTCTCCTCCTCCAAATCGTGTATCCAGCTATCTGCTCCCCTAGGCACCCTAGTACCATTCAGAGGCCTATAAAAATGCAGAGACAAAAACGGGACATGGAAATGCGGGATAGGAATCCGGAGGATGGAAAAGACGAATCGGAAGAGAGAGGAGAGGACGTGGAAGGGGTAGGTGAGGATCGTGAGGAGGGCAGAGGGGCGCGGGTTGGAGGGGAAGGTTGTGCGCTGCAAAGGGGAAACGGCGTGGGTACACCACAGCACACTGGGAGTAGGATAGCTAGCTAGCGTACCTGAGGCCAATCATGGTCATCATCTACACCCTGCTGCGAATCATCCACCTCGAACCTCTCCACCCTCTTCCCAGCCCCAGCCCCAGCCCCACTCCCAAAAATCATATCCGCCGCCCTCTAAGTACCATATTCCATCAGCACACAACCCACCAGCACCAAACCACCAAAAAACTCACCTGAACATCCCACTCCACACTCGAAAGCACCCCAATAGCAACATCATCATCACCACCATTCGTAAGGTCACGTAACTGGTTCAGCGCTTGTAGCTGTGAAGGTGTTAGGCCGTCCATGGAAGTGGTGGTAGGAGTGCAGAAAGCTAAACGCGCGACATAGACACGGCACAGCCCATTTTGATTTTGAAATTTATTTATTTTATTTCCGCGGATATGAGGGTACCGCGTTAAGCACATCCTAGTCTACATTTGCATGCCCCGGCATCCCATCCCAAAAAAACTCCTCCACCCTCCTACAAACCGCATCCATCCCCCTCTTCTCCCACCCTCCCCAACTTGGCCACCAAATCCCCCATCTCCCCCATCTCCCCCCGCATCCATAACTGACCCGCGCTCTTGTACTATATCAATTGCCCGGCCTGGAATAAAATGTATTAAAGAGCGCCGCGGGGAGGGGAACATAACCATCAATCTCGCCCAAGGGCTCAAGTCTCCCCACAGTTAGAAACGCGATCATCGTCAAATCAGGTTCGCTGGCCAAAACACCAGGGCGACGGAGAGTTGGACACACTCTTCTAGAGACCACCCCTCCAAGGACATGCATGTTTCCTATAAGCCCCCATTCTAATTACGCGATAGGTAACACATTGATGAGATGTCCACCACCAGCTAATAAGGCACTGCACCACAAACACGCCGAGGTCACCTTATCATGGCCCCGAAATAAGACCATATAGCTTGAAAGAAACACAAGTGGGATGGCACAAAGAAGAGAGGGAGAGAGCACAGACACGAAAAAAGGGCACCGCAGGAAGACCGGGCCACCCCCAAAGAAGAAATCACTCGGGACCTGGAGGTTGAGGGAGGGATGGAAATGCCGACAGACAACCAAGGAACTAAGAAAAGGGCTGAATTGCTGAGAGGAGACTGGAGGGCAAGGGGAAGATGATGGGTATGATACTGAGAGTAAATCATGGGTGTAAGAAAGAAGCCGCGAAAGTACATAGGCGAGGTTCAATTTTATGCAGGAGGGTCCGTAGGTACATACTTCAAAACGAGGGGATATGTTGATGTTCTACGGACGTAACAGGGTTACAAGCGAGGATGGTCTGTGGGAGGGAAGGAGGGTAGAGGAGAAAAAGGTGAACTTATTGATCAAGACAGTATGAAGAGAAAAGACGTCGGTACGAGCCGATACAGCAGCTCAATGCCGAGCTCCGTCTCTCTCGCGATTATGGATGACAGAAAACCAGTGAAACTGCTCTCGTTCGGCACGTATTTACAACTATTACGGCTGTTTTTCTGATTCTGATTCCGATTAGATGGAGGAGGTATACGCGGCCTGTCGATCCTGAAGCAGTTGATGTGGAAGATCCAGACAGAGGAGGGAGAAACTCCCCATAGCTCCGCTCCCGTGCGATTATTTCGACATGATAGGTGGGACGAGTACAGGAGGGTAAGTAGTAATTAAAAAGCTTTTCTCTTTCCAAGGTGACCCATTTTGAAATTACTAGGCTATGGTAGGACGCCTAGGTATGTCCGTTGACGAAGCAATATCATGTTACGCAAGCCTCTCCAAAAAAGGTCTTTGGTAATCCCAAACGCGGAGTACACCATGATGGAAGGTTCAAGGCTACCAGATTTGAAAAGATTTTGAAATCTATCGTGGCGAGCAGAATGCCTGCCAGCGGGGCTGAGACTGATATGATTGACGATGATGAACAGGCTTGTAAGTAACAAATTAAATAAAATCCCTGCCCTAACTACTTTCTCCAACCCCAACAGCTTTGTGTGCGTCAAGGACGCCAATAACATGCAAGAGCCCATCTTGTTCCGGACCGACACGCCGTTGCCCCCCAGGAGGACTCCCTACCGATTTGGAAAGCCGCTCGTGCGACGACCGCCGCGCCCACGTTCTTCAAACGGATCTACATCGGGCAGGAGAACATGGAGCAGCCGTACATCGACGGCGGGGCGGCAGACCCCGCGAGGTTCCTGTTGGAAGAAGCCAACTGGGTCCTTCCCCGATCGGCCCGTAGGGTGCCTCGTCAGTATAGGAACGGGCAACCCTGGGGTGATGAGGATACCCCGCCCAGGACTGTGTTCCCGCTGGAAGTGGTCCAGGCGCTGAGGGGGATCCACGACGGATTGCGAGACCGAGGCAGGAGAGGCTCGAGAGGGCGTTTAGTAGTCGACCGAGGGTGTATTTCAGGTTTAACTGTCGCGCAGGGCTTGCAGGGTGTTTCACTGTCAGAGTGGGATCGGTTGGATGCGGTGCGGTCGCATACGGAGCAGTATTTAGTGTAGTACGATGGTAGTGGACCAGAAATTGGAAGGAGCGGTTAACGCCCTTCGAGGCGGGAGGGTTTTGTAGTTTAGAATCTATCACATACCCTTGCTTTCGATAAAGGTGGATTTTTTGTTAGAAGTCATGGAGCTAGTCGTGTGAATAGCCAGAAAGCTAAACGGCAGTATTTACTTTATTTCCACGGACAACTCAGTATTTGTCCTCGTAGTGTGAACATAAGGTATCCATATTGAATTACATCTATCATACCGTAGTCTATACATTTGCACATGTGAGTGAACGTCCAAGCTATCATCCCAAAACGAAAATCGAAAAAACCTCAATCCCAATCTACACATGAACCCCCAGCTCGGCTCCAATCCCTCGACAAAACTGCAACCATGCTCATCGCACCAGGGATCCGGAGGAAGACCTCCCTCAGACTCCTTCTCACCAACATACGTTGCCCTTCCCAACTTGGCCACTAGATCTTTCGTACCCTCACCACCAGCTACACACCGACTAATAGCCTCCCTTAGGATCTCCATCTCCGAAACAGACTGTCGACGAAGCTGACGAGAGTACCCTCAGCAAACGGAATCAGCGCATCCATGACCTGTCCGGTGCCCAACACGGGCTTTCGTGCTATGGCCTAGGGTCTCAATCGCACGGCCCGCCGCTTCACCCCACATCGCCATAGTTCACTTCTCGGCCCTCAGCACCAAGTATACGGACCTCGGCAGTGAGAGCGGCAAGGAAGATGCTGTAAATGGCGCCTAGGGTGCCACCACAGGTGTCTGGAATAAATGTATCGGTATAGTATCCGAAAAGAGGAGGGCACAAGACTAACCATCAATCGTTTCAGTCACCTCCCTAAGGACACCAACTAGATCGCCGTCTTTCCCAAGGCCATCATCAAGGGCTCTCAAATAGCTTCTGAACCTGCGGCGCAAGTCTCTCCACAGTCACCATCTCCGAACGATCTGAGAAAATTTGCAGTTAGAAACGCGATTACGGAATCTGAGATTCTGTGCTTACCGTATCCCATTTCGTCAAGTCAGGTTCGCTGGCCAAAACAGCCTGAGCACCAGCCTTAATGACGCGACGGAGAGTTTCAGGGATCAACTAAAAACGCGTCAAAATTACACCAAAAGAGAAGAAAACACCAATATACCCTGAACCTTCGTGGAACTCTCCTCTACCTTCACCACAGGCTCTTCCACAACATCAACAAATCTCTCTTCCCGTGTCCGTTTTGCCAGATGCTCGGGGACTAATGAGAGGTTGCTTCCCGGCCATGCAGCACTGGCGTGGGGAGCATCAACAAGCTCAATAATCTCTGCCTCACCCTTGCCATTATTCCGTGCACGAGCGACAAAGGACAGATTGAGAAGGGAGATGGAGAATCCGGGAGCATTGAGAGATGTCATGAACGACCCGCAATGAGTGCGGGCAATGCGAATTTTGAAGGGATGCGATTCTGGGAATGATGTTAAGCATGCAGGAGTTGATAAACGTGAAGAATAAACATACCTAGCTGTCTCGTCACTTCATCAACAACCGCGTACATTTCCAGAGTACTCATTCCTCCCACTAACAACCCCGTCAGAACCACTTCGCACGAAAAAGAAAACGAACACGTACTATTGTTCACAAACAACACAACACTATCCTTCTCCTCAAACGGCACAAAAGCCCGCTCCTTATCCTCTTGATTCAACAGCAAATCCAACATCTTCTCGATAAGCCTATCAGGCGGGGGCTGCGGGCTGACAACATACACCCCAGGCTCATTATGCAGACCCAACCCAATCTCGATCGTATCCTCGCCAATAACACCGTACTTGGCATTATCCCGTCCAGGGACATGACAATGCCCCAGCGTGCATCCAATTGATAACAAACCACCAGTGACAGCCTTCCCCAGGTCGAGTGTCTCTTGGAACCCGTACCCCGCCTCGGAAGCAGCACCTAGGATCTTGCACACAAGAATCGTTCCTGCCATCGCCCTCCTCCCCACCAGCGCACCCTTCGTCCGTCCAACACTGACATCATCGCACACCGGGAGAATAGCAATGTTATCGATACCGTTAGCGCGGGCTTGTTGGCACGCCAAGCCGAAATGGAGGTTGTCGCCGGTATAGTTGGTGATGATAAGTATCGTACCCTTGTTGGACGGGACGGCTTTGACAGCAGTGTAGACCTGCTTGGCAGAGGGCGAAGCGAAGATGTCACCACTGACCGACGCGGATAGGAAACCCTTGCCAACGAAACCAGTCGACCCAGGTTCGTGCCCAGCGCCACCACCACAGATCAGCGCAACCTTGCTTGGGTCATGCGCGGCATTTATGACAGTCTTAGTCTGCGGTAGAAGAGTAAGAGACGGATGAGAGCCTACGAGCCCTTTGAGAGAACGCAAAACGAGAGAAGAGTGTTCAGGAAATATGTGACGGTCCATCGTTGGGTGTGTGTACAATTCCACGACACCTTTGGGGGAGCTAACTTAAGTATGGTAACGGAATTATATGTGTCCGGTCGGGTCTCATCCGTGAGTTGGTGTACCGGGACTATACTAGATCGGTCCGCCAGTGGTGGCGGTGTAGCGGGGAAATGATGGGGCCCCGCATTCAGAAGCACCCACCTGACAGTGAGACGGTCTCTTGACCAGAAATTTCCCTCGGTAGTCAATGGAAAGTCCTCATGACGCGGCGCGACTTGGCGTCTGCGGGGCTAGCCTTGAAGTCATCGGTGCATAAACTCCACGTCAAACGCCGCACTATTAGTTCATATATTACAAGGATCCTCAGAGATCCAAGTGCAACATATGACAGAGCCACCTGCACCCACAACTAATCAGCCAAGCCATCCATCGAGCAAAAAAAGCTACACTGGCCTTACCATCAAATGCGGGGTCACCCCAATAAAACGCAGAAACATCATCGGCGACAAACTTCCATCGATGTGGTTGACGCATTTGAGATCCGTCCATGGTCTAAAAATTGTGGTCAGCCAATCAGGCCGTTTAGCGGTCATCACTCACGGACTGACGGAAAGAATGATGATGAGAAAAACCCAGGCGGTGAATTACTCGACTCTCCGACATCATGTAAGCACTTCGCTCTCAGCACATGAGCCGACCGGGACACGGGGTAATGTATATCCGACATTGTCGAGGGCTGAATTCGAAGAAGAACTTGGATACAAGCAAACAACTCGACGTCAAAACACATGAGGACTCGCAGTCTCAAGCGTCACTTCTTCACCCATCTTCATCCAACCGCGCTGTGGAGCAGATGACGGCTTGGCGACTCGTCGAAGGCGGTTCGTCGCTCAGGTGTGCCATGACGGCAAGAATCATGACAGCAGTGTCCAATGGAGATTTTAAACGCGCGCCCAGGCTTAAATCACGGCACCTGGACTGACCAGCAAAACAAAGTGAGCAGGAAAACGTTTACGGCAGAGGGAGTCCAACCTTCTGTAAATTATCACCCTCTGCGTGCACTGTGCCGTCAACCGGAACGAGATGATGCAAATGAATGAATTGTTCGTCGACGAGGTGGTAAGGAGGAGCTTGGCAAGAAAGGAGGGTCTTCAGCTTCTCGGTGCCTACGATACACAGCCACCGGGCCTATCAAACGGCGAGGTCCCAATTTTGAACGTTTGGTCAGTCATTCTTGCGTTGACGGACTGATAAAGCAGCAATCAGAAAATGCGGATGTAAAACGATGAAGAATGCCGCAAAGGGCTTACCTCAGTTGAAGCTTGTCGACGGTGGGACATAAGACTTTGGTAGGAGGAGTATCACCCCAGAAAGAAACGGCCCGGCCCATGCTGTAATCCGTGTAAAAGAAGAGCCATGGTTAACACCGCTCCTCCGGGCACCTGTTTGCGTCCTGCGTCGGGAAAACAATTGGAGCGCGATGTTTGAAAACCTGTTTTTCAGATATGCCTATATGATGGTCAGAACTGTTTAGTAAGGCTATGGATCTGAGTGCACTTACCTAATTCCAATTCGAGGCTTCCACGCCAACAAAAAAAATACGAGGAGAGAGCAGTAGCTGGTCATGCCATGCTAGATAACTCCGTTCTGCAACGAGGCAGGGGAGCCGACAGCGAAAGAGTGTTTATCTATTGCCTTGATTAGTGCTTGCAAACAACAACAGGACCGCAGTGAAGGCGAGGACTGTTGGTAGATAGAGCTGTTTTGTTGAATATAATAAGTATAGGAACTCCCTGATGAAAGTGTAGCTACTTACGACTCGTTGCATAAGAAACGCGAGCGCGCATGCCGTAGAACCCGTTCACAGCAAATGCTACCAACACGACACGCAGTAGAAATACGCGACTCTGAGGTTAACGTTCAGTGGCGAACAGAGTAATACCTGTGCACTCCATTATCTTCGATCGAGGCGATAAGCCTGGCTGGCACGATAATCCACCAAAACAATGAGTCCTCGCGCTAGCGGCAATCCTTCACTTGCTGGTATGATCAAATCGCGTCCAAAAGGCGGCTTCTGTTAGAAACTATGTCGTACCATAGGCTCTCGTGAGCTCGCAGCCTAGATGTTGATGATGAGGAGCAAGCCAAGGAAAACGCGATGAATCAATCAAACCTCTGATACGATTAAAATCCGCCTGGTTTCAGGAAGGATGCCTTGGCGCGGCATTGGCTACCCTCAGAAGCATATATCCAGGAGAAAACGAAGTCAAGCATAGCGAGCATTGAAGAAGGAATCGATAGCACAGCGGCGCTTAAAAACGGGTCAGGCAGTTGGGTATGCGGCACCGCTCTTTTTCGTACAGACGTGTAATACGCGTCAGAGGAAGACAAGAACGCCAAGGCGATAAGATTTCGCGATCCAGACTGGTGATGGTGATGGTAAGAGCAGAGACCCTTGAGGGCAGGTCGATCATCCGGATGTGGCGTCAATAACGTTGGAATTTCATTTTCTTCCGCTGCTTCATGCTCTCATGTCGACACACAACCGATATCACCCTAAAATCTGGTAGCTCACCGCGTCTTAATGAAGGACTGAATGTAACCTTAATTCTGGCCAGGCGCGCGGTGCCCGACGTTTTGTAATTAATTGGCCTCGGAAATCAACTAGGGGACTCCGTCACCGTTCTACAAAGAACCTACTTCCGCTCTAGGCAACCTTTTCTTTCCATCATAGCTCTCCTCTTGGGACTTTTGACAGGTTTCGGCACCTCTGTATCTCAGAGCAGCTGTAGATGGAACTAGTACTGTTTGACGCGCATTACCTGAGGACTTGTCTGCTTTCACTCATTCTTCCTATTCATTTGCCATTCATAATCTCATAATGGGGGATGGGAGGGTATCCCATGCTTCCTCGAAGTTTCGGATACCGTGTCTCCGTTGACGGTGACCGACATACTTTTGATAATATAAGGCTAATCGGCCTGCAGCGGGTTCTTAGCCTCGGGCTCGGAATGCGCTGATATGGTGTCACTGGCGCGCATTGTACGGGCCCCTTTCAGTTCTCAGTTCTCAGCTCTCAGCTCTGCAATCTGCAATGGAGAACGAACCGTAGAACAGGATCGGTGCGCCCGGTTCATAATGCGACAGTAAAAAAATGGGGTCGCCAATACCAACGGGACGGGCTACACATCCCATCAACCTACGCGCGGGACTTCTTGTCATCGAATCTTATTCGTACTTCCAGTCAAGTCACTCTGGGTTCCTCGCAATCACAACGTAGGTTATGACACTGCCTAATCGCGCGCAATATGTAACGATTGTTCTTCGTAGCTGTCGGAAGTTCCATTAGACTTCAGGGGTGGTTCACAGGCAAGCGAGCGAGTCGACCGTGCACCCCCAAACCGGAGTCACCTACGACCTATAAAAGCCCACGGATAACTCTTTCAAACTCCAGCTTCTGCATCTCCACCAGTTTCTTCAACAACCACTCTCCTTCACAATGTTCTCTCGTACTTTTGCCGCCACCGTAGTGATGATCGCTACTCTCACCACCTCGGTCATGGTAAGCGCTACTGTCGTGCAAGTATCGTACTTTGCGCTTACCAAAGACAGTCTGCTCCTGCAACTGCCACCAGCGGCCAGTGCAGTACCGGCTCCATGCAATGTTGCGAAAATGTTAAGCCTGTGAGTACTTTACGACGTCCAAGTTCATGATCACGATTCTCAATTTGGTTTCGTAGTCGAACGCCGCGGGCGTCCCCGATATGCTTGCAAAAGCCGGGGCCGTTGTCCAAGGTGTCATGCCCAACGTGTAAGCTTCCTTCAATTTCAGTTATTTCGCAGACTCTGATTGGCCATCTTCTTCTCAAGTGGTATGACCTGCTCGCCCATGACAGTCATTGGATTAGGTTCCACCAGCTGCAACAATCAGGCCGTTTGCTGTGAGAACAACAGCTTTGTAAGTTAACAAGTCTTTGCAGCAGATTCTGGGGTCTTAACTGCCAAATGTTTAGAACGGTGTCGTCGCCCTTGGTTGTACTCCTATCAATGTGGTCCTCTGATCGCTGGCTCTATACCGCATACCTAAAAAGTTTTAGTTTCTAATTGTTTTACGTTGTTTTCTTAAAAGTGTTTTTGGCCAATCACACGTCCTTCTTTTCTTTGTCGGTCCGAACATTTCACTATCTGTGCCTAACTGTGCAGCCAATCTTGTTATCCCCAAACCTTGAATCCTTGAGTTTCTGCTATCGGAAAGGCTCCGAACGGTGATTGGTAGTTCTGCTCTCGCGCTTGGGTCCGCTTTCCTGGTGATGAAGACAGGCTAATGTCGTCATTTGGCAGCCATTCGTTGTTGACTTGTTCGAACCCGTACTGCGATAACCCTTTCGGTACCTTCATGCACGCGCACAAATGTAGTGCATATCTTCTATGTGTTACTAAAGTTGGAGTGAAGTTCGAGTTCATTGCTACTAGGCTACCTGCCAACGTCTCATCTTCAAAGGACACTTTCGTGTGGTCTCAACCCCTGACGCAAGGCTCGACCCAATTCTTCTCAAACAGCCATTTGCCATTTTGGTGCCGAAGAAGGCATTCCGTGTGCCTCTTAATGGGACCGGGAACGTCGTCTTGGGGAGTCTCTATACTCTTTGATGCAACTGATAGAGTTAAGGTTTCTTGCTTCCGAGCTTTATCGATCCGAAGGTGACGCGCTTCATAGGAATATGGGGCATCATATATTACAACCAGCTCCACTGTTCTGATGTTGAGAACTTGAAAGTGTTTGGGAACGCAAACGAATAATCCTCATCGGGACCGTTGAGTCCATACGAAGCATAGTCGCCGCCTTCCATGACACATTGTCTCAAAACCAAGGTCTCCACATGTGAGAATGTGATCCCCGCTGTACAAATGATTTCCCCTCTTAATCCTCTCTACTTTAGACGAGTCCGGTCCAGGAAGGGGCGGCCATATGGTCTACTGGAGTCTGTTACTCTCACTATGAAGCAAGTGTACCTTAGTGGCGTTCATTTCTTCCAAACTTCTGATTCAATGCAATTCTAGTCAGCGCAATTTGTATGATGGTCAAAACCTACCAACGCAGTACGTACTCTTTCTCGGCCCCGTCACGGAGTCCAACAGTAGTACTTAGTTCGGCAAACTGAGTAACGGCCGTGGATAATCCACTGTTCTACGAGAAGGTAGTGTGTACATATATATCTCTTGGGTGATGATTTCAGCTCGTTATAGAACTTCCGTTCTGCTTCTACCTCCTGAGCACGGACTCAGGTATTGAAACGCTAGCAATTCGCATGTGCTCTCACTTGCAATGTCATCGACCCTTGCATACAACGCGTAAATTTTGAATCTTCAACACCCTCGGAGAAATTACGCGCGCTCGGCAAAAAGAGAATTCCGGATGTGGCAGCGGTGCTTTTCGCAGTCGCGAAGGCCACATACGATCACGACTTGCAGAGCGCTCGGGTTTTTGTACCCGTATCTATTCTTAACCGACGACCGTCGTCGCAGGGCGTTGATTCCTATCAATGTTCTCAGGCTGCTCTACGCCTAGCCGAGCACTTGGTGCACGAACGAGCTCAAGACAGATGCGGATTGTTCATCCCTGAAATGTACTGCAAGCGAGAACCTCATTCGTGGGTATCATATACACTGCGGCACCTAGGATTACCAATGAAGATTCTGGGGTATGAATCTAGTCTATTCTATTGCTGTACATGTCAACCGATATATCTATCACTCATATCTTGTCTAAGGAAGCTCTCCTTTCATAGGCTCTCCTTTCACCGAGTGCGCTGACGAATCCGGGTCGTCAAGGTTCCCAACGCTGACCTCTCCACTGTAATCCTGGGCTCTTATTGTTTCAATTTGCACCTGAATCCCAGTCTTCTGCACGTCTACATCAGTAAACGAGTCTATCATTGATCTGAAAACACGCACGTCGCCTTGGTTCATCAGTCCGTTAAGACGACCTACTAATCGACCACCTTGAGTTCGTTCTTGCAACGAGTGAGATTCACCACGGGATGAACTTTGCATTGCCCGCATTCCTTTCCTGGCATTAAGTGTGGCCAAGAGGGAATTCGAATAGACTAGCGACAATCAAGGTCAGTACTAACATAGGAATCTAGCAAACCACAGGCGCACATCGTCCAACTGTAACTAGATGAGCTACTACCGTGGATAAAACATCAGTTTAAACGCACTGAGGAAGTAGAAGCAGAAGTAAATCAACGTATCCGGTAATGCCAGGATCTGCATGCAAAATGAGCTGATTTTTGCATCGTTAACAAAGTTACCCACAGTGATCAAGGACATGATCGCACATATAGACGTGAGCAACCCAGAGTTGATTGAGAAAAGGATCTAGGGGCAGCGTTAACGGACTAGAGATTGATTTGCGACTAAAAAATGGGTACGCACCAAACGATTTATGACATGATTACTCCAGGCAAAACCCGACTTCGAAGAATTCAGCATGGTACATATGACTGACGAAATGAGAACATCGCCAGCGGCAGCGAGGGCATTGATGGACATGGAGACACCTTTAATTTGCTTGAGGTCGGTGAAAGTCTTTAGGTTCATGCCAAGAGCGACATATGCTGCGAGATGGTCAAATTTCATGTAAAATTCCGTGGATAAAACTTAGTCGCACCGATCGAAACGCCTAAATCCATCCACACTGCATTGAGTGACTAATAACAACGATAAAGAGACAGGTTTTGAGTTCTCACCGAATTCTGCAATAACAAGGAGACCCTGGACAATATTGAGATACGACGAGGGATGATGGTTAAAAATGCTCACGATGGCTAGGGTGATGGGGATATTTTTGCGGACTGAGAATAGGTCAAAATAGCGTCGTGCAGAGACAGGACTAGTAGGACTTACATGACCATATTCGGTGAACAAAAAAGGATTGGACCAAGAAACCAGTTATGCCGTTGAATAGGGCTTCCAGCTAAAGAAAACGTTCAGCTTATTCCCTTGCTAACTACTCAGTCAACGAACATAGAGGCTCCTGCAGAACGATCAAGGTGAACGGGACGAAGGATAGTAACGAAGACACATACCATAGCACATTCTGTAGGTTATCAGAGTCGCCAAAGTGCGTGATGGTATAACTGTACACTGTTAAGCATAAACAGATTAAAAACCATACTGCGCATGGGTACACGAGCATACCAGCTTGTGATATGAGAATCTGATGAATGGTATCGCTCAACCATGTGCAGAACACCTGAAGGAAAGCTCTGGTGCTAGGACAGATGAAAGCAAGGTGAGGCTTACCACCACCCGGAGGAAGATAGGGTCGTTTTTGTAGTTATCGAAATAGTACCAAGTCTGGACGCAGGAAACTGTGCGGGAAACAAGAGATGAGATCTCAGATCCTCAGTTGACAGCAACAAACCCACCACCCCATAGTCTGATGCAAGCCAATGAGAGCGAGACGGAGTCGGTATATCGTACAACTTACGCTCCAGCCAAGACCATTCCAATATACAACGGGCCTATACTGCGGCAAGTCAGAAGAAATTTCACGGACCATGACGTGCGTCGCTTACGAGCCGCCCAGCGAATTGGAGCTGACTATATCGACATCCATGTCGAAGGAGTGTGAGGGAAAGGGAAATGTTCTGAGAGGAAGACCTGCGTTGGATATGTTTTCACGGACTGCATATTTAAAAGCCGTGACAATAGGAGGAAAAAGTGGAGAAGAAACCGGTTCAGCGTTGAGCATGACAACCTAGGTGAAATTTGATCGAACCATCCCTGTCCCGCCAGCGCCGCCTTCTTGCCTCGTTTTGCATATCGCAGACAAATTGACCGAGTGCTTTACCGAGGTGAACACGACGGCTGGAGCAAATCTAGAGCTGGGACTCGTCCACCCAGACCTACTCTTTTGCTTACTGCTTTGAAGCGGAAATATAATAATGTCTCACCTGTGCAATTTTCCGTTACCGGTATTAGTTAACCTATGAAGACGCGATCGATCGATTTACGGAGGATATCTTTAACCCTTTGTACCCGTCTCTAAGAAAAGCTAAGAAGTACTAGTACTAAGCTGATAAAGTGATCATTCGGGTCTCCTTCCGTCTGCTCCGCGAACACTGCGTAGTAAGGACTGATTGGAGCAACGGTTATGTCTTTCCGCGGTCTGCTTGGCCTCAAAGATACGTAGCACCATGCTCCAAACGGGATGCAGGATGCTCGATCCAGATTCAGATTGTTCTACGAAATTTATATCGCATGAAAGAATAATCCAGGGTTACAGTCCGAGTCACGTATGCGCCGCCTGAATATAGCAAAGAGATGTCATGCCGGATTGCTGGAATGTGAAGCTACAGCTGAACACGGATAGATCAAAGGAAACCATCAGAATACGAAGGAAATAATGAACATAATTTCACGCACACGAGATAAGATCTCCGTTTGATACGAGATCCCAGTGAATTTCACCTCGGCGTAAGCGTGTCAGAGCGTGTCAGGCTATTTAATTTGGTTGAAGAACCCTTTGAGTCAAAAACCTTAAGCAGTATTGGATTTGAAACCACCTCCCTGAAAACTCGGGAGATATACCCTAGGGTCGGTAGCAATCAGTATACTACACAGTTTCGTTTGGCTTATTTGAGTAGATCAGCCCTATTGCTATAACCAGGAAGGAGGAGAAAGAAGATAAGCAAAGTGCGGTACATGTCAGTGCTACTATACTGACCACTTAGACGTTCTCAGGCATCCGTGAATACGGAGGAGCCGATCCTTCTCGACGACAAGAATCATCTTCTTGTTCGTTGCTTTGGAGACTGGATTAAGCAGATGCTGTCCCCTAAGAACGCATCCATGAAAAAATGCAAAGCAGACACTAGCCAGACTAGAAGTTCATGCATACTTCGAAGAGTCATGGCAAATTTCGAAAGCTGGGCCATTTAACAGAGCTAGCAATGATACATAGCCAAAAAGGCGGCCGCACGTAAGGCAACTGGTCATTTCTTCGGAAGTGCACTGGATATATTCTCCAACAGGTACTCTACCCACCTTTCTGAAAACGTCAATAAACAGTTTAGTAGCGATACATTTCGTTCGGCAGCAGACCTGGAGCCGTTTAAGTCTTCATCAAATAATTTTCTGAAGGTTGAAGTAATCAAAATGTCAAACTGGAATATAGTAGTATATCGCTCACCTTCTATGACCCTGTTGTCTAGCGTTACGAGTGTACACTTGGTACACTGTAATGAGGATGCAGACTTCTGAGTTTGAATTTCAGGGTCGAGGAGCACGTGACATGATCACTCGCACCGAGTCGGACCGAGGCCCGAGACAGATCGGACTCTGATCGACTTGTTCAACTCAGTTGTGACTCGTAGTCATCTATGCATTTGGGACAGCCAAGAAAGGTAGCAAATTTGTAGGTGGAGTCAACAGAATTCTGTATCTTGGCAGTGGCCCGTATCCAGAAAAATCTAAAACTAGACGAATTTCAAAAGGGTCAAGCGCAACGCTGCGCAAGCCAACTTCGCAGATGGACCCTGCCGATATCAGTTGGAGTCAGATAAACTACTGAAGATTTCGATGCTAACAATATTTACTGTACTCTAGAGACCTCATTCCCGTTCGACTGCTGCTAATGCTACTATAAGGGCATCTTACGATTGAACAGTCGTTGGATCCTCGCTAAGCTTAGTCTATGTAAGTTGTGTGTTCCGTTGTCACCATAATCCTTGTCTCCTTTACTTTCTGATCAAATTTCTTTCTTAGTGTGGAGACCGCCAGTAGTCAGATGCACTCACAGGATGCTCGCGAAGCTCGATGGCTGTCACGGGTCCGTCGCGAATACTGTGTCGTAAATTTGTCCTGCCGTCATAAACAACACCATCGGCGATGACCTGACAGAATTTCTCCTGAAGTTGTGGACGATAATTCAAACTATTGGAGATAAGTCTTAGCAAAGCGGATTCTGTTACAACACAACGATAATCTTACGCGGCGACTGTGATGAAGGGCAAAATTTCAATGATTATAGCATAGACTATAGTCGAAGTGACAAATAGGCACTCACGCATCGTGATAGTATACACCTTACTTAGGCAAAGATAAATTGGCATCCTAATTTTTTTACGGTCACAAACTTCCATTTAGTACGTTTGAAAGTGAAATACTCACCACCATAATCCCTGGGTCGTGATATACAGCACCAACTTTGCGATGTGCATCAAGAACACTAAGATGCCCCGACCTAATATATATCTGAATACATTCTGAAGAATCGTGTCAGTTCTAATTATGGTCAGCATGCGCATTTCCTTCCGATCGTACAGTGCTAGTTACCTCTGTATTCCCGTACAAGACTTTGCTAGGTAAACTGAGAGCGCGATAGTAGTGACCAAATCTGCAGCAGCGGCAAAACCGTTTTCCAGACAATTTTCCAACTAAAGGATGTCAATTTGTAACTTTGTTGAATCAGACCGCAAATCTTACCATCCTCGATCTAGAGACTAAATCCTCGACAGCCGGGTGCTTGGCTTGGTCCACAATGTAAGCTATGCAAAAAAAGAAGATTTAGGAGGTCACATTGAATCAGAATTCATGCCTACCCAAACCCGCTCCTAGTTACACCAGAGTTTGAGTTAAATAGGACGAGATAATTTGAATCTGTAGCTCACCAAAAGACAAAACTCCCAGTACCATCTAGTTTGGAGACTTGTGAGCATTTCCAGAACTGATATATAACTGAGACGTACTACGATGGCCGGAACAAACCGACTCTGTGGCTGCACTGAATATTCCATGAGGAAAGTAGTGGTGCCATATGCCATTTAGCTACTTACGAAGGTATATTTTCGATACAAAGTAGATCCGAACCCTGAAAGCTTCATATAATTCAATGCAGTGAAATAAAATGGGTCTCCTCACATCAGAATGACCACGATGGTCGCTGCAATCTCGGCCAGAAATCCTCTACAATATTCAGGATCAACATCTGCATGCGCATGTTGCTCGGATGCTCTGAGACTCACGTAGGAGTTTGTGATATCGCTTCTAAATTCCCGTAATTTTGTATCTAACCTGGGTCAGAAAGCAGGGAACATTCAAACAGTGGAATACACGCACAAAATAGAACTGCATGACTTGGGTCATCACGCATGTTGAAACCGTCTCTAAAGCACTATTTTCCTTGTTAATGAGAGCTCCCCGCACGCGTAGGGCATACTTACACTAATAGTCCGACCTATTGAAGACTCAAGACAATCAGCCAGGGAATGTTTCTTGACATGGAAACGTACCAGTGCGCGCAATCCCCATGCATCATTATTCGCGTTGATATATGTCCAGCCATGAATGAATACGATTCCAAAGAGGCTACTTAATCTGTCACTGTAGGAACTTGTAGATTACGCAGAGCCGTACGCTGTGGAAATAGCATATCCTGACACGCCACGGTCAGTCTCTTGAGAGTGTCGCAGCTACGGGTTCAGTATTCACCATAGAATAGCGGATCAGCTTGCTTTGAAATGTCCAGACCGGTTTGCTCGAGAGTAATATTTGACGGGCTCGACATCGAGGTTGTGTCCAGGTCGAATCATCCTGCATCCGATATATAAGAGGCTGATCAAGCACGGACGTACCGAAACTATACTGCATTGACCCAAATAGGCAACCCTAATCACTACGGTAGTAGCGCTTGAAACGCGATCTCTTATATGGGAGTCAAATCGGCAACGAGTTCATCAATACCCCGCCACCAGAGGTTTGAAGGGCATCTGGCGATGTCAGCTACTATGTTTAGCCGATTTGGATCCAGAAGGGCCGGCGTTAAGTTTCCCGGTGTACATCACTAGACATCGCCTCAGATGACGCTAGGTCATCACGTTGGAGATGAGTATCTCACCCTGTCGTCGAACGTCATCTCCTTGTACCGTTGCCTTGACTTTCCGCGCGAATTATAGCGAAACATGTCCTAGTCATATGCAGTGAGATGGTCCGACACTATCTTGGTGCACAGAATGGCCATATTTCGACTCTGACCTACCAGACCACTCTGTTAAATATCGAAGTGACCTAAATGAATTGATACCTTTCTCAGGGAAAGATGTGAAACGAGAAGCCATCCATATCTTCACGAGCGCTGGCTATCTGTGACAAAGATCAGGCCCGCCCAGCTTATATACAAGGTTTAAAAGTACAATCATGATGTATATACTTGGCGGCTCCTCCAAGGCTGTTCAAGTGTCCGCGTTGATAAATCTTGCATGATGAAAACGAACAATTGGAGAAAGAGGAAGCCGCTGGTCACGATCACTAAAAGATGGGAACCTAGAATGATAGATTATTCAGTACATACAAAACAGACGACAGGTCGTTCAAGGCGGAACCTTTAGTGGCGACCCGGCGCTCCCGCTCTACAAGAAGAACTATCATCCATGGAATCCCTCGCAACTGAATGGAAGTACATACCGTATCCTGCTTCGTCTGTGAGAGATCAATTATATGCTGGTCGGAACGATTCATGTTTGTGGAGCGAATGTTGGCGGAAGCCGCCCCGTCCTGATTTGATGTATCATCGAAGGTGATGTTGTTGATAGAAACGTCACCTCGGACACACGCAGCGGAGCGAGACTCATAGTTCAACCTGAATATGCGTTAAGTGATATCAACAGCAATCAAAGAAGTAAAGTTACATGGCCACTACCCGTTTCGTGATCAATAGAAGGGAACGAAAAGAGAAATTCACTCGACGTACCCACAGTGATAATATATAGTTTGTTCATGCCTAGATAGAGCGCCATCCTGCCATACGTTTTCGGTACAGAGCGTGAGAATATATGAGCGCGCAACCCACCAGTATAACCTTGACGTATCAATAGCATACAGAAGAAGGGTGATCGCCTGAGCGATAGTTATCAAGACTCCGTAGTTGATACCATAGGTGAAGAACTTGTGAAGGATGCTGTCAGACCTTGATAGCAAATCAATTAAAATGCGTTTGAGAGCAAAGAATTCAGCGGGTACCGTTCACGCGACTGGGACAAAGTCAATCCAAGAGTGATCATGACGTTCGCTGCAGTAGCAGTAGCATGAATGGAAGCTATGTTTCCCTATCCAAAGACAGTGGTTCAGTAAATTCAGTGACAAGATTGGCAGGTGCTACCTTCTGTACATTTCCAGATGTCCCCACTTCAGGCCTGAGGGCGCACTCCACAATGAAGGCTGAGCCAATCGCTATACTTTCATGACAGAACGGTATTTGACTAAAATCGGGCTCTACTCACCAAGGCCAGCTGTAGCAAGAAGAAGCTGTACAGGGCTTTGTTAGCTAGGAAGACATCTCCGTGAAGAACATACGATAATAATGGGCAATGACCGATTCCCCGGGCGCCCTAAAGGACTATTTAATACGAAGTGTCAAGAATGATTAATGACGTGCAAGGCTTACGTCGGTATATCCTGACGACAAAGAAAACATTGACGCTGGACGCCTCACATATCAGGAGCCAAATCCGAGCAATCCAACAAGTGATCCTCACATGAAAACGACGATTACCGTGATCGCAAGTTGGACATCGAATGAACTACGAGGTGATAAGAAATAGTTAACCAGAGAACGGCAAACGCCATACTACGACATAGTATTCAAGGAGTCCAGGTTGCCAAAATTATTTATCTGAAAATGCCTCAGAGTAGCTCAGTATAGAACACAAGTCGTGATCGTTACCAGATAGTGGTGCATAACCTGAATACTCAGAGAGCTGGCCGCTGTTTCCATACCCCTTCGAAAATGTTGGTGCGATTAAAATTAAATCAAAAGGCTAGGTACCCACAGCAAAAATGCGACCTAAATCATTGGTTAGAGCTCTACGCCCGGTTTGACCTGGACCAGTTGAACACTACTCACGAATACACGCATTGGCCAGTGGTCAGAATTGGTGGTGATATAATTCCAGCCTTGAACCAACGTGACACCAAAGAGACTAACGATAGGTTTAGAAACAACGAGAAATTCGAACATAATCATGCCCCTACGCAATTGAAAGAACATATCCTGAAAAAAAGCTTGAATGTGTGATTTACTTGCAGCAAGCCCTACACGGCTCACCATAGAATACGCTATTGTAGCCTGCTGGGACACCGTGTGTATGGTCGTTAGACATTGAGCCAGTAAGCCAGTAATGCAAATTTGATCTCCCAGGGCGCACTGACCGAGCTATATACAAGGGACCCTAGTCGACCGTTTAGAGGCTGTCCGTTTTGCCCCATGTCTTATCTCCGAAATGAGCTCTTGATTGCTCAGGATAGGGGGGTCAGCCTGTCGTAAGAGAACTTGAACCAATACTGGCGTCCGTGATGGTTGATAGAAACGAAACAGTGGACTCGGCGTCGGTCCGATAACACCGATCCGTGCAGCCCTCTTTCAACAACCGCCACTATTGCCATGGAAAGTAAACTAAGAGTACTTGCACTACGATAAAAGTATTGTGCCAAAAATAAATCTCGCAGAAGTCTTACGTGGAATCTCATCTGCAACAGCATAATAACCTGTTATCGGTGTCGTTTACCTGGTTACTTAGGATTGGCCCTTTCATCACGGACTGACGGCTGAGTTCACATTTCCGGTGCTACAAATCAGCCAGAAGCTATCAAGCATATGTCCATGAGAACTCCGTTTCATGATTGTTGGGTATACCAAACATTTCTTCTCCACACGACTCGAAACTCTTCGTCCATCATCCGCTCTTGCTTTATAATTACTCAGCTCGCCAAGACCTTGAGATGAATTCGTTCTTTTCATCAAATCACAGGCGATGTAAATATATCGGAATCATTGTGTGCTAATATAATGAACTCGAATTTGGTAACGAAGTCACCAAGTAGTGTCAATGATCAGGCCATTACGCATCTACATATGTCCACATAGAAAATGATGTAACATATGATGAAGATCCGTATAAACGAGACTGTTGAATATCCACTCATAAGAAACTGATATCACTTGGTTGGCAAGACGACGACGGGCAAATAAATACAGGCCCTACATTCATATACATTTTGCCCCAGAAGTATACATCATTTCGTGGATCAAATACCTTTCTCATCAAACCTATGCCTTGCCTACGGAGCCAAATAAAACGAAAAACCTATCGCACACCTGGGCGAAGACTTCAGTAGCCTCCTCAACCGCGTCGGGGAAGGGCTTTGACTTCAGTCCAGCTGTGAGAGATTCGACGTAGGGATCACGTCCCCATGAGTTAACATTGAACTGAGAAGCATGCGATGAGTGACAAAAGATGGAGCATTGTAGATCCTGAATGATACCTTGCTGACACCGCTCTTTACGCATTCCTTGAATAATTCGTCAGGAAGCTCGTCGGTGCCGTGCAAGCAGATAGGGACACCACGACCCTTGAAGGTCGTTCTGAGCTGCCTCAATCTATGTTTTATTGAACATGAGAGAAGTAAATTACAGTAAACAGATAAACGACGTACATTTCTTGGTTGAAATTCGGGGGATTAATGTATGAGCCGTGGAGATTGCCAATAGAGGGTGCAAGAATGGTGGCACCGGTACTGTATGTTGTTCAAGGTCGACGAAGTGAGATAAGATGCCAACGGGCAAGAGCAAGACGTACCCCGTTATGAAAGCGTCAGCTTTGGCCGGGTCCGTGAGCTTTGCACCTGAAATCATGCGTAGTCCAGCTTCCCCACCCTCCAGTCTTCCGAGTTCCACTTCGACAGCTACACCAACCTTCCGTGCGCGCTCGACCCAGGGCCGCGCCTCTTCAATGTTTTCCTCGTCAGTCTAAGGGAATCAAGAATTCATATCGCTTGACCGATTATCGAAGAACGTTGGTTACCTCCGCGTGGCTGGCGTCGACCATTATGCTGTCGAATGCGATGCCTTGTTCAGCAAGACCGACTGCAAGCTCAAGATGCTCTTTGTCGGTGGCATGATCCAGATGCACGGCGATGGGAACAGATGCAGAGTGCGCGCTGCCTCAACAGATGAAATCATCTGTTTTCGATATAACCAAGGGGGACTTACGTATCCAAGCAAAACTGAAGGAAAGAGCCTTTCCCATAGGCTAAAGTTACAGGAAAGAGCTGGAGGATAGCGGGGGATCTGGACCGTTCAGCAGCGCGTACCAGCCCAATGACTGAGTGAGCATCATAACTTTAAACATGTAAGATAAACCACACTTGAATGATTAAATTTATATACAACACATACCAAGTCTGAGCCAATATACCATATCCTTCTCTCTCAGCCTTCAACAAGATCTCGAGAGTACGATTACCTTTGAGAGATTCGGACATGTTGGGTTCTGAGTCGAGGTAGACGTAGGTGCCGAGCCGAGGTACCGCTGTCGAAATCTGGACCTAGAAATATATTCTCGACATATGTAGGAGCCGGGACAGTCGTGCTCCCTTGTAACTGGGAGTCGGAACGATCGCCAGGACCAGGCCTCCCGGGTAGATATAGACCCGGATCGGGAAACCGGGCCGGAGCTTCTACTTTCTGGTTCAAAGCTCTCAGTCCTCTTGTTTCTTCCAGAACTACAAAGGTGTTCACGCGACCTCAACAGAATCGGACATCTGGCGAAACAGGAAAATTTATACCGGACGCTTTCTGTATCTCGGCGCATGTACATCTATGATCGTGCAACCCGCTGGAAAAACATCTCGAAGCGTGGCAAATTTGATGTCCCGGATATGTAGATATCATTCCGCAATTTCTGCCCAGTGCGGGGAACGTATGTTCGAAACTGGGGAAGCAAGGGGAAGCGGGGTGTCGGACATGCTAGAAAGAGGAAACGGGTTGCGGCACCGAATTTTGGTCAAGCTACAAAAGGCCCCCGTCTCTCCCACTTCTTCCCCTGCTTCTTGCCCCTCTCTAGCGGCAATTATCTTCTCCTTTGAACATATCGTGACAATATGGTATCTGTTTCCGGGAAACCAGAGCAAGAATGGCAGGAGGAATTTGCCAACACCGTGTACGAGCCTGGAAGCGAGGTCGAGAAAAGACTCGTACGGAAGATTGATAGACACATTGTACGTTATTTTCCCTGTCACAAACTTATGAGCTCTTTCTGACTTCAGTATAAGGTTCCGACAGTTTGGGTGTTGTACACACTATCATACCTTGGTAAGTGCTGTTTTAACACGAGACCGTCTGTTTATCGACCGCGTACTTTGAAAGACGGCGCCAACATCGGAAATGCGAAGAGTGGAGGGATGGAAGAAGCCCTGAACCTGACATCCAACCAGTACTCGATAATATTACTGGTGTTCTTCGTGGGTTTTTTTGTCTCCTTGGAAGCAAAGTTGATTTAATTTTCTTTGGTTGCAGATCTCATATGTTATCTTTGAAGTTCCAGCAAATATGTTCCTTACACGCGTGAGACCCTCTTACTAGTAAGCCGGATTTTTCTGTCTGTCATTCTCTTTAAAACGCTCTTCTCCTTTCCAACAGCTTGTCAGGCCTTTGTTTTGTCTGGGGCGCTGTCGCAGCTTGTATGGCGGCAGCAAGCAACTATCGACAGCTTGCTGGTGTCCGGTTCTGCCTAGGTATCATCGAGGCGGGCTTCGCTCCCGGCATTGCGTTCTACCTTAGCTCATGGTATAAGAGGCACGAGCTAGCCAAGAGGTTCGCCATTTATTATACGGCAACTGCTGTTTCCGTACGTTTCCCCTCCTCGATACACGTAATGCCGTTGACATATGATCTTCAGGGTGCCTTCTCTGGTCTCCTTGCTGGAGTTATAACAGACAATCTAGACGGTGCCCGAGGGATTGATGGCTGGAAATGGCTTCTCCTTATTGAGGGAGTGGCCTCTTCCTTTGTTGGTCTGTCTGAAATGCTTTCTTAGTTTTCCTTCCCTTGACCTCTTTGATAGCTTGTTTTACCTGGATGATTCTCCCTGACTGGCCCAGTACGACAAAATGGTTGACTCCTGAGGAGAGGGTAGGATGAAATCGCCTTCGTCGTTGTAACCCATCTGACGAAGTATGACCCTTAGTTCATTGCAATCCAACGTCTTGCGTATGAGGGTATTGGCAACACTGCGATCGGTGGATCAGATTCCCCATCGCACAAGGAGGCATTCTACCTGGCTATCAATGACTGGCGCACGTGGGCTTTATCTTTCATGTATATGCTTGCGACCGGCGCACAGACAATCCAGTATTTTATTCCTTCACTTGTCGGGCAACTCGGGTACACCGGTGAGTGGGACCGTCAAGCGACCTCGACGATCCTCTGAGTATCCTCCTAGGCTACACGAAGCAGTACATGACTATCCCAATATACATGGTAGCGCTGGTTGGTATCGTGTTCTTCTGTTTTCTCTCCGACATTAGGAAGGAGCGAGGCAACTACGTGGCGATTACTTCACTGATCGCCGGTATATCATTCATAATTACGGTGGCAGTCGATAACCATAAAGTGAAGTATGCTTTCCTGTGCTTTGCTGTCGCCGGTGTGTATGCTGCCTGTCCGCTGACATTACTAGTGAGTTTTTTTACGTGCCTACACAGGAGATAGCATTCTGATGGCGTCCATCCTAATCTAGTGGGTATCGGGTATTATCGATCATCCTGCGGAGAAAAGAGCAGCGGCTATTGCCATCGTGAATGGACTGAGTAACTCTGCGTCGATATACGGGTCATTTTTGTGGCCTAGCAACACGGGATCTCGATATGTTCAAGGATTTGCTACAACCACGTATGCCCCTTAGCGGCTCGATTTTGTTGCGGTGCTGACAATGTCGTAGCGCTTTTGTCTTGACTCTTTCTGTTTCTGCACAGATCTTGAAAGTTTTGTTGAAAAGATATCCATCCAAAGGCCTTAACGATGACCTAGCAGGAAGTAAGGACGTTGAGGGCGTCGACGCCTGATGCTTTAGTGTACAATATAGCGATACCTCCGAATGCTCGCGTACCAAAAGAGGCATTCATATTTTACAGTATCGCCATCCATAATTGCGACTCCCCATTCTACGATTTATGTATTTAGTGTTCACGCGATGGATTACCTCCCAAACTTCACTTTGATAATGTCACAAACTACCTCGAAAAATTTGAGATGTCTCTATGATTCTTCACGGAACAATCAACTAGCCCACGGGCAGGGGCGGGGCAAAGGTCGCGAACTCCTGTACAGCCACCCCCATACCGTAAGAGTTTCGAAATTCAAATAAATTCTATTTGAACCTTAACCTCCACCCTGTCTGTACTGCCCATGAGCTCACAGTCGCCCGTCGAGCACCGCCCATCCCCAACGTCTCAGGACGCGTCTCCAGGGGAGAACAACACCGACGTCGCGAATCTCACTCACAAGGAATCTGTTCCGGCTGGCGAAAAGCGTGTACCTCTAGCATGCCATAGGTGTAGAATCAAGCGTGCGAGATGTTCTGGAGAACGTCCGGTCTGTCGTACCTGTGCTAAAGTTGGTGAAGAATGTACTTGGCCTAGTGGTAGACGGCGGAAACGAACTCGGAAGGAAATGGAGGAAGAGGAACGTAGACAGAAGGAAAGGGATCAGATGACAGTGAAGGACGGAAAGATTTCAGAGGATCCAAAGGACATGAATCGGGATGCAATGTCGCCTTCACTTGCTTGGGTGAGTGCAATGGTGCCCGCCTACTCCCGTCCTTCTAACGCGATACAAGGCAAACATAGATCAAACTATGAGTGCAGCTAATATGTGGGATTTCCCCACGCCCGTGTCGTCGTCGTCGTATATATGGCCTACACCAGGTCCTTCTGCCATGAGCCAGACACCTACGACACCGATTATTCCATTCCCGCAGCTCAGTGGCCAGCCAGAAAAACAGACTGTCAATCTCGTGCGCGCTCTCGAATCCCAAGTTGCTTACATTGATGGAGATCCCACGAATTCTGACGGACTGGAACTGTATTATTATCGTTTTGTAGGTCCTTTATTTTTGGGGACACTGCTCGCATTAACTTTTATTTGTGCCCAGTCTGGATCTACCGCAATCCATCCAGGCATTAACCGGATCTCATTAAAACTTCAGCCAAAAGCCGCTGGGTCAAGCGCCAGTGCGCCAGTGCCTGGTTCCCAATCTAAGCCTGGCCCGCCAGAACCGCCAGAGCAAGTGTTCGACGATGCCGGACTACCATTGCCGCATATTCGATTACCTCTACTCGATACATTTTTCAGCACCATGAGCCCGTATTTTCCCAGTGTAAATCGGAAAAGGATGGAATTAAGACTGGAGACAGGCACAATGTCGGCGTTCTTGTTGAATTGTATATGTGCTGTCAGTGCCAGGTGAGTCGAGTCGTTAAAAATTGTTCTTCAGCTGCTGGTACGTTCCTCGGGACTCGATGGGTTCCATAAGTCCCATTTCTCCTCGCAGCAACGTACCAACTTTCGGAGTGCTGGATTTATCGTGTAATTGATGTCCACTAGATTTCACCCATCGGGGACTCAGTCTCCTGCAAAGGTTCGTTACATCCCTAGGACCAATATTTCCCCTGAACCAGAAGACAGGCTTGTGCTCCTTTCATAACGAAAGCGCAAGAGCTCATCATCCCCCTTCTTCATCTACCGACAACGGACGTAGTAACGGGTCTGCTACTTCTCTCTTGGGCAAATTTTGGGCAGAACTCGGAGAGCGGATTATGGGTGAGCTTCCTTCTATCGTGGCTCTTGGTTGCGAAATTTAACCTGAAGACATGCCCTAGCAATATTCTGGGTATCGTCATTTTTTGCCGTACCAGTTCCTGTTATACTAATGTATCGAATCAGTATAGCAATTCGAATGGCCTTGGACCTAGGATTGCATGAGGTTTGTTTCTGCGCTTATGTCTTCGCCTCCTTTTGATGAAATTCTAGATATCTGAAATATACGAATCCCTGGCACATGTCGTCCGGACGCGTTTACTGTTCTGGAACCTCTTCATAACGGTAATATCTGCCAGAAATCACCGCGAGGCTTCATAAACTCACCCGTTATCACAGGACAGAATACTCGCTTTTTCCACTGGGCGGCCACCTTCGATATCTGAAGAAATAATTGAGATTCCCCTACCAACTGACGAAGACTTCTTCCCAGATCCTGCTTCGTGCATGGGCGATCCTCATGAGGAAATACAGCCAATTCCATTCCAGCATTGGGTCAGACTGATGGTTCTGTGCGGGCGAATAGCAAACGTATTGAACGGCCGCCGAGGGAGATTGCGGACTCTAGTGGGCCCAAGTGAACCAAGCGTAGATCTGCTGAGTGGGCTCCAGGGGCAACTCGTGCAGTTTTACGCAGATCTTCCGGGGGAAATGAAGTGGAGCGTAGAGAATTTTAGGAAACAGGAAGCCCGAAACCACGGGGTGAGTGCTTGGCAAGGTCTGTTGATGCATGAGTTTACAAACGAATACATCGATAGGGGCCGTATTTGACGCTGCATCTTTGGGCCAATGCAGTCATGACATTGGTGTACCATCCGGAGCTGCTTACGAGTCCATCAGGAATGGAGACACCTTTGTCACAAAATATGGATCGGTCAATTAAGTTGTCTATGTCGAGCGCGAGGACTATCAGCGAATGCTTGGTCTTTGCCGATCTATTCGCATCTCAGTCCTACGTCGGTGACTTATGTTCTCTAGGACCATCCAAGAACTGATCTGTTATACGCAGCTTTCAAGTCCGTTTACGGTCCAGCCCATATATGTTGCTTGGTAGGTTTTGGTCCTTACGGTTGCCGGGGTTGCAGACACTAATGTTGAGCTAGCTTGGCATTCATCCATGACTTGAGAATAAGCAGTATGATGGAACTCACCCAAAAACCTCCTACGGCTGAGTTACTATTGACGTCGCTGGCGCGCCAGAACCTATCTGCTCTTATCAAAGCTATTCAGCACATGGAGCACTACTGGGCAGGGATATCATATGTCTCAGGGATTTTGGATAGTAAGACGGTCGGCCTAGCACATGTGAGGGTCGATCCGTCTAAGAAAACTTTTATATCTCTCCCCGATAAAGGCCTACTAAGGAGGTTTACTAGTGCGTGTTATCCTTCACCGTCAACTAGAACCCTTGGAATTACAATCATTCGTAGCATCGGACTTGAAATTGGCTCCACCCACAGAAACATCGTTATGGGCTTCCATGGCGAAGGAGGCCGCCGAAGCAAGTGAGTTGTTGATTGTTTCCTGTTTGTACTGTGCCTCGGGTCGGGCTCATTCAAGGCAGGTACATGCTCGTTGGAAGACCTGTTGAGGACATACTCCGTCGAGGGTTTCTATGTCCAACCGGCAGATTCGTTTGACTTGCAGAGCCTGTTGGGTTCTGGTATCGGTACTAGCGGGAGAGCTGGGAGTGAGACGAGCTCCGCGTAGGAGGCGGTAACCGGTTGCGTCGCATTTGCATTATTTATCGGATATCTAATGGTCGTTTATGTAGCTTTATGAGGTAATATTAGAACTGAAGCACCTTCATCCAGGTGTTCGCCGCGGCCAAACGACTCACGAGGCGTCTTGGGATCCACACAAAAATTTCAGGTGTATCGGTGCAGCTCTGGCTAACTAGTAACAGGGACAAGGTTGTCCATGTTGTAATCTGAGTCGGTACCGACGCCCTGGGGCGGAGTAACCGGAGTAAGTGTCTCCGGATGCTAATAGACGGTCACGAGCGCATACCACGATCCCAGTCACCCGCAACCTCGTCATGGCTCTTCACGAAGCCGAGCTGCATTTCCCTCTTGTTTTCTTTTTTCATAAGCTTTGCTCAGCCTGTAGGTCGTAATACATCGGGCGGTGAGAAGCGGTGAGTAATCATCGGAAACGTGAACAATCGGACAATCGGACCTCGGGTGCCAAGAAAATTCGAATGACGCACCTGATATGACTTGAGCTATTCACGTAATTCGGTCCGCTCTCATCACCTTCGGCACTTCCGTCAATTCACGTTTTCATCCCCTCATGTCAACCACGAATAAGGTCCTCGTCACCCCAGAGGAGGGCACAAAGGTTGGGCCTATCCATGAATATACTGCCGAACAGAAGGCTAAAATAACTGCCTTGGAAGAGGTAAGTGAAATTTCAAGATATCATTCTTTGACCTGAGGCCAAAATTTTTATTTTTCTTCAGTACGCACACACTCTTTTGCTCCCCGAGAGCGACCCTTATCATAAATGGGAGCTTCGATGGCTGAATAAACCAGATACGATGCCCAGATATATGCGCTCGGCCAAGTGGAATTATCCTGACGCCCAAAAGCGTATCAAAGCTACGATTGAATGGCGCAGGGATTTCAAACCCGATTTGATCCCCCCAGACGAGGTTAAGATTGAAAGCGAGACGGGAAAGATGTAGGTATTCATATTGAGTCTTTGACAGTAGCTGACTTCAGCCAGTATTATCAACGGATTTGACAAAGACGGCCGTCCGATTATTTATATGCGTCCAGGACGAGAAAACACAGAGTCGAGTCCCCGTCAACTGCGACATTTGGTGTGGTGTTTGTTCGCGTTTTCTTGATTTTTCTTGTCTTTGTCTTTGAAAGTAACGTACTCGACAGAGAACGGGCCAAAGATCTAATGCCTCCAGGGCAGGAATCCCTTGTCATTATTGTCGACTACAAGAGCACCACTCTGCGAACTAATCCCTCTATATCTATTGCGCGTAAAGTGAGTGTCTAGGTCGACAAGGTCACGGTGACGCCATGACAATCAATTCCACCAACTAGGTCCTACATATCTTACAACAACATTACGTAGAGACACTCGGTCGTGCGCTAGTAGTGAATCTTCCCATGATCCTCAATTTCTTCTACAAGGGTATATCTCCATTTCTTGATCCCGTCACACGCGATAAGGTGTGTTCCATTCTTCCTCCATAACAATGACTTTCAACATCATTACTACGCGCAGATGCGTTTCAATCCCAATTTGCTGGAACTCATTCCCGCATCACATTTGGATGCTGATTTCGGGGGTGAATTTAGTTATGAGTTCGAGCCGCATAGCTATTGGAATCAGATTGTCATGTAAGTTCCCACTACGCTCTTGCATCACCGTGTCAACATCACGAGCCATTTTCAGGGCGTGTCGTGTAGCCCCAGATGGAACACGTATAGAAGGAGAGCTAGAGTCGTCATCGAATACCCCGTCAGTCCCTCTTCACTGACCTCGTCACTGATTGGCTGATGGATGTAGATGTAAATTAAGGCGCGATGAAGCATCCTCAGAGGCAACTACCGCCATCGATATTCCTGCCGTAGACAAGCTTCCTGACCTTTCCTTTAACCAACATCCTGAGCCTCAGACTGTTTCCTTAGTCGCTTGACACACTTCTCTCGGCCATTTGTATTTATAACTTTGCAGGATATATTCTCAGCCATTATTTTACGTGCATATGCAGTTTGTATTAATCGTTGAGCTAGAAACATGATCATATCACAATGTAGGTTTGCTGCCGCGTCAGTCCCTGAGACTCATTTACAACTACAATGCAGCGACTGTTTTATTTTCCACAACGATATCCAATAAGTATGTAGGAATACCAGAAACACGATGGCCAATCTATGTGATGGATGATATGATCTTCCGTTTCCCCCAGCTTGTTTAAGTCCGCTTCACGTGGGCCCGTTTCGATCTTTCTGGGCGTCAGCGAAGAATACAATAATATTAACTACCTCTAGGATGGATGGAAAACTGACTACGAATAGGCTCTAAGAAATGCCTCTCACAGTACTCCTTCGCCTCCTCTTCGCCCCTTAAATCACTATCGAAAACGTGCTCATAACTCGCATCTTTGCACCGTCTTCTTCTCCAAGCATCTGGTTAGCGTAGAGAGGGGGCGCCTTCTCATAGAACGAGTCCATGTCTAAGAGATCATCACTCTCAACGACGTGCGGGTTTCCAGGCTTGCCGGTGCCAAAGGACCTGAGCATGCGCCCTGTTTTCTTGCTCCTATAGGTGAAAAATGACTTCGTCCTGCGAAGTTGCCCTGGAGGTGAGACTGATGGCTGACGAGGACGATAAATGGTGGAAGGAGGGGTTGCCGTGCGAAGGAGAATTGGCCTTCTCGCAGAAATTGACTCCTCAGCGAGAGGTGTGACTGGTGGGTTGGTGTACCATGCCATCGCAGCAAAGATACCGTTGGATATAGCTCCAACGACGCTGCTCCACGAGATCAGAGGCGAATCAGAGTCAGAGCTTGACGTGGCCGAAGCCGAATCCGAGTCGCTGTCCTCGATTTCAGGATCAGAGCTGCCTGACACCTGTTGGGGAGGAACTATGGGATTGAGGGCTTCGTCGGGGGGAGACATTTGTTGGTCTTCGGGATCGCTGGTGGCCTGCTGGGAAGGAAGATTGGAATCAGGAGGTTGGTTAGGGAACGGGCTTTATCGAAGACCGTCGGACGTACCGGGATTCAATGCTTGTTCGTCACTACTACCAGAGTTGTCCAAATCAACGGGCGAGCGTTCTTCGATACTTTTAGATTCAAGAGTGGTTTTCTGCCCTCGAAAAACGGCGGCGGAGGAAGATTTGGCAAGTTGCGTTTGCACGCGACTTCCTTCTTCTACACCAGTTTTGATCCGTTTTGGACTGGTAGATGCGTCTTCGCCTTCAGAAGAACGGGAGCGCTTTCGAGGAGATGTTGCTATCGATCTCGAGATCAGGAATGCGCCGGATTGACCTGCATGGTTGGTGGTCCTATGGGGGAGGAAACTGTTGACGATTATTGCCATGGACACAACAGAGTGAACCACATACTTTGGAGGAGGCATCAATACGGTATGGGTATCCTCCCTCAGAGCGTCCGAGGCTCCCTTCATCTTTGACCTGTTATCCATTAGACAAATTCATGTGAAGGGCGGGAAATAAACGTACGCCCAGTCCGGATCTCCAAACAGCGCTTTGTTTACCCCAGCTCGTCGCCTTGATGTAAATCATAAATTTAAAGCAAAAATGTATATAGCAAACGAGTGCTTACGGAGAAGGCTGGAGCTTTTTCTGGGTGAAATTACTGTTACGTTGGTCGTCACTAGACTCGCCGCCGTCCTCCTCTTCTTCAAAGTCACCAGTATCCATCACTTCCACTGTTCGCACGATCTTATCCGCGAACGCTTGCCCACAGATACTTGTAACAAGCGCCATGAGCGACGTAGTCTTCGCTCGCTCTTCATCTAGAGCTAGCCTGGCTTTTGTGTAGAGGAGCGTAGCATCTTTGATGGACACCTGCAATGCACGCAGCGCGTCATGAACCTCTAACCTCCCATCTTCTAACTTGCGGGCTCCGTCGAGCAGATCGACACTAGAGCTGACTGGGAGGCCATCAGGCGGGTAATGGTTCAACGTAGGAATCACGGAGCCATTTATCTCATCATCAGGTGTCGCAAGAAATTCCTCCGCGGCGAAGTGCCGCTCAAGTTTCCATGTTCCGTCGGGTTGTGCCACCCATGCGTGATTTGCGAGTAAGGCAAGTGGTACAGGGTTGGATTCTGCGGGAAAGAGCCACTGCATGATTGCAGGTAGGTCGTACGAACCCAAGGCGCTTCTGGGGAGCGCGACAGTGCTTGGGATATCATGAGCCTGGTAGATGGAGATCAAAGAAATAGAATGGCGTTGAAGGGATTAGACTCACAGCTACATAGTCTGAAATGATGGCGTCGTCGGTAAGCTCAGCGAACTCTGACATGGATATAGTCGCTTGGTCGTGGATAGACATTGCTGGCACGTTAAGAGAGGATGAAATGAAATGTCAATGCAGAAACCAATCGCGTCCCCGTCTGTCTTATATATTATAACAGAACAAAGGAAGGCCGAAATGGGATGGACCGGAACACAAAACAATAAAGTAGCTGGTATGGCCCTTTTAAGACTATTGTTGCATTGTTCTCGGCCGGTATGGTCAATGCGCTAGTGTATAGGCCGCCAGTCCGTCGCGTTTCTCATTTCTATAGCAATAGAAACACTGTTAGACTTGGAAAATTGAAGCAGAAATCTCATGCACTGTACCACTAGTCCACATTATCGGGTCACTAAGTGTCACCTAGAGCGCCGGTTTAGTTGAACAGCGGTACCAAGTGCAGATCCATATAGCATCAACGTTGATTTATTGCTGTTTGCAGAATAGTTGGCGCAGCTGCCTTTTTGGGCTCGATCGCTTTTTTTGTCCGTCGAGTCGCAATATCACTTTTCAGTTATATCTTCTCCGTTTCCCCATCAAATTACATGGAATTTGGTATGTGTATGATTCCCTCACTATTTCCGAGATGCGAGCCCCAATTCTGAAGTTTCGCGAGCAAGTTTTGAGTTCCTCAAATTTCGGCATGCATAACTGACATTTTCATCACTGCGAGAGAAGGTAACCAGATGTAAGCATATGGTAAGCTGAGATAATTTTTGAGTATCATTTCTGAGGTGCATGCAATGGAATTGGAGTTGTGGTGGCATCCTATTGTTCCTTTAGGATGTCAGGGTCCGGGTCGAAACATGCAACTCTTGATTTAACACCGCGATAATTTTTCTGGCACCAAAAATGCTGTTGTGCATCTCGCCTTGTATGAATACATTGACTTTCTCCCTTGGAGCATCTTCGTAGCATCCATTGTTGGCAAGATACAGCTGAAAAGTTGATCTGAGCCCTCACAGCAGGCTAGAATTTTCAAATTGACTAAATTAAAATTCTGACTGCACCGGCACCTCAAGGGCTTCAGGAAATGTCGAAACATATCTTATTTCAAGCAAATATCTAATGTACTGACCGAGCTACAGCTGAAAAGTCTTTCGCGCCAAAAAAAAGCAACCAGGCCCAAAAAGGCAGCTACGCCAACTATTCTGCAAACAGCAATACTTTATTGATTGACCACCGGTCGTCATGGAAAAGGTAGGAGAGGCAGATTCGGGTTAGTACCGATGTCAAGGTGCAAGTTGGATCACAGAAGGACATCTAAAGTCTAAGATCTGATATCGTAGGCCTTATGGTCTAGTCGCATGATTCCTCGTTTGGGTTGAATTTCGAGGAGGTCCTGGGTTCAATTCCCAGTGAGGCCCTTTTTCTTTTAAAGACCAGCTCCCTGGGGCCTGGACCGCCGTCGTCTGGACTCTGATGACAGATATTGACTGTAATACTATAATATGATGTTTTATTGTAACTTACATACCTCCTCGTCCGACGTCGCTCGACCCCATGAGAATTCCGGGCAGAGCACATGGTTGATTCAATGATTGGCTGTTGGCGGTCATCCAATCAGAGCACGAGCACGTGACCATGAGACAAATACCTTCCTCACGCCATTCGATTTCGAAAATAAAAGTGGGGTGGTTTTCACTTTACAGCTTTCATTCAGTCCACCATGTCCTTCAACACGACGGCGGCCCCGTCGTCGTTTGCTTCTGTCTACGCCGACATCGACCTCCAGTCTCTGAACTGGTTTGAACAACAATGGGCCGCCTGGTATGTTTGGATAGGGAACCCAATCATTGCAACTGGATTGATGAGCTTTTTGTTGCATGAGGTACTCCTTTTCATCTGTTTTGCAACCAACGATTGACCAGTAGTGTAGATTGTTTATTTTGGCCGTTGTATACCCTGGATTATTATCGATGCGATACCTTACTTCCGCCAGTGGAAGCTTCAGCCCAATAAGGTTCCGACTGCTTTGGACCAATGGGAATGCACCAAGATGGTTTTGTTTTCACATTTTACTATCGAACTGCCGACGGTTCGTAAGACGTCTATTTCCCTGATGAGATTATACTGACGTCAAGCCTAGATCTGGCTATTCCACCCGTTGGCCGAGTCCATTGGAATGTCGACCTACCAGGTTCCTTTCCCGTCTTGGAAGACCATAGCGCCTCAAGTTATGTTTTTCTTCTGGTTCGAGGATCTCTTCCACTGGTGTGGTAAGTTTAGGTACAACGATAGCAACGTTCACCATTAACACGATTCCTAGCCCACCGCGCGCTTCACTATGGTCCCCTCTATAAGTACATTCACAAAATCCACCACAAGTACTCTGCGCCATTCGGTCTAGCCGCTGAATATGCCCACCCTGCTGAAGTCCTTATCCTCGGTACCGGCACACTTGCAGGACCTCTGCTTTATTGCTTCTTCACCCAGAACTTCCACATCTTGACCATGTACATCTGGATCACCCTCCGTCTTTTCCAAGCAGTCGACGCCCACAGTGGTTATGGTGAGTTACTCACACCGTAGGACGCATGAATCGGCACTAATATGATCCCCAGACTTCCCATGGTCGCTCCAACACATTCTCCCATTCTGGTCTGGTGCCGAGCATCACGACTTCCATCATATGTCGTTTACCAACAACTTCTCGACCTCGTTCCGCTGGTGGGACAGGCTCTTCGGCACGGATACCAACTATTTGAGACACTGTGAACGTGTTCGGGCTGCCCATGCGGCGAACAAGAATGCCACACGGGAGGAGCGTCTCGAGATCGAGCGCAAGCTGATGGAAGAGGTCGAGGCTGAAGGTCTCGCCGCCGAAGCTGAGGTCGAGCGGAGCGTAAAATCAAAAGCAGAGTAGGAATACGACATTAATTAGATCCCTTGTTATACCATATGCTTAATATGTTTTGCTTGGACTGCACACGGCCAAGTAATGACAGAAATCATTTCGAGACAAAGAGGCCTATTCACGCTATAACCTGGTATATAACCACCGAAAATAACGAGGTCGCGGCGGTGGCAAGGAATTCTGTTCTTCCAAGGCCTGGCTATTGGCATTTCACACTAGTCTCCCCTAGGCAGACTCTTATCTCTCTTGACAGGCAAGCAGTCGAGATTTGAAATAAGAGTCTGCTAGCGGACACGCCGTGGATACTGGAGCACGGTTGGTTTTCCCATTTTCCTTTTAAGGGATTTAGTCATGTGACCTGCGAGCGGTGTCAACAAACGAGAAGCGTCTTTGTTTAGTATCGTTCCGACTATTTATCATATTTATGGGCTCCCAGCAGCCCCCCAATCATGACACTATACCACCCAATGCCACTCCTAGTCATATATCTCCTATACAAGCGACTACCTTCTCCCACACTCCCAATTTTCGTTCCTTTTCTCCTGGCTCTGCAGGGCTGGTTCCACTGCGGTCTTGTTCTAGTGAGTTGTCGCTTTCCACTGCGTCGACGCCTGTCTCCATGCTCAGTCGAAGTATATCACTACCTAATTCAATTGATTTGCCTCAAACACCGTCTTCATCATTGCAATCTCGCTCCGCAACAACCTTCATGTCTCCGATGACCCCCAGTGCGCCACCTACCACTCGTGTTTGGAGGAGAAAAGGTGCTACACGGCTGCCGAATGATGAAAACATTCCGCTGTCTCCATGCATGCCCTCGCCATCACTGTCTACCCAGCCCAACAAACGACGCAAGCCTTCTTTGACATTGCCCGATCCAATTATAACAAAGAAGTCCTGAAGCACGAATCTCTGCCTCGAGGAGAAGCTCTCCAGGGTTCTAGAGGCATGCTCAGAAATCGGTCTCTCATGGGCCGAAGTTCAATATGAGATGTACCGTCTACCTCCGTCCCGGGAGAAGGAGGACTGGGAACCTCCTCACTGCGAAAAATTCGCATCTCGAAGGACCACAATCGCTCATTTTCTCCAGGGGAGAACATCATATACGGTATCCAGCATGCTTGATATCTGGATTCGTCACCCCTACGGTCGTCCTCACAAGGATTCGTCGCTCCGAGGCATTCATTACTCCCAGCTCTCAGTAAGGGTAGAGCGCGCCTTAATTAGTTTTTAGCTTTGTAATACTGTGCACATGATATACACGTGATCAAAAAATCGTGCTCCAGTGTTGACCCCATTTCCGATTTCAGACTAATTTCACACTACATGGAGGGGAAGGAGCTCGAGGTTCAATCAAGATTGGTCTTTCTCACTCATCCTGCCCAGTTATTGATGATACTGTACGCGATATAGCGTGGTAACAATGCGTCCCGTAGCAGTTTTCGAATTGAAAAGCCAAAACCTCCGAGAATGTGGTGGAAACGGTGTGGTTTTGGTGTGGTGCAAATGCCCAGCGTCAGTACGGGTCTCGCGGGGATGCTTTATGGAGTTTTTCAGACAATTCTATCTCGACATTACTTTTCCCCTGTGAAATAGGTAATGCAAACGTTTTATTCTACTTAGAGAAGCTTGCAAGGACAAACGCGGTAGCACCCGGACCGTAATAGCCGGCTTCACTTCTAACTCTCACGGCGTCAGCACGGAGCTCGCTTTCCCAGCGAAGACCATGGACAGTATTCCTAGTATTGAACAGGAACTATTCGAACTTCATATCGGCATTACGACTGCTGCTAACCATTTCCATCGCTGCATTACTCAATGCGAAACATTTTCCCCGCTTATTTTGTCAACCTATCTTCCCGCTATCTCGTTCAGGAGACTAGGATTGCCTTCAATGACCAATTTTGACGCACTTCGGGTGAGTTTAATGCAGGTGGCTGGATTCATGGACGCCAATAATCGTACAATGTAGGTGCATACACCTTCCGAGCCTGCCAAGGCCGGAGCCATTGAAAGAACTAGCGCAAATACAGGAAGACCTGTGATCTTGCCTTCAGAGATATACGACTTGATTTTTCACTACCTGGATCGATCCGAACTTGCAGCAGTAGCTTTTGGAAGCAAATCCTTTCATTGTATCGCAACTCGCGTCTTGTACCCCACCATCACCCTCAAAAAGCCCATCGAATCAATCTGTTGTCTCCGCACCATCGCAAGTAACAAATCCTTGGCGTCTTTAGTACGTTCATTCAAAGTAGACTGGGCCGATCTTAAATCCCCCACGTCGAACTTTTACGCCCTCGCACAAAGGGCTCTGCGTAACCTCACCAACCTCAACGCTCTAACCCTTGAGCTTCCCCGCAGACCTCCGTGGATCATCGACGATTGCACCTTCCGTCTGAAGGAGTTTTCCTCGTCGTATTCATGGCAACCCAAACTTGCGCACTTCATCGAGTCCCAGCCGACGCTGACGGCTGTGACACTCCACGGTCTCGATGGTCTTTCTCTTGCCGCATTCGAAGGCGGCATGTTCAGACCGCAGTTAGCTATTGGTTTTAACCAACTGGACGCAACGGCGGTCCCAAACCTCACGTCGTTACGTGCCATTCACGCGACCCCCGAGCTGCTGTCGTTGTTTCTCCGTGGGCGGCCTGTGAGGACGTGTTCGGTGCCTGTCTATCCAGACTCGGTTCTTGAGACGTTGGATGCGCTCATGACAACGTCGGTGGCGATAGAGAAGCTGAGCTTGATGAGTTTTGATGCCGAATCACCTGGGTATCTATTCGTGGAGGTAGCCAAGCGGTTCCCACAGTTGAAGGCACTACATGTCCTCCTTTTGAGGGGAGATTATTCGGAGGTCTGCATTGTATTTTTTTCCTTCGCACACTCCGAGTTTGCTGATCATCACTTGTCGTGATGTAGGAAATTCTAGATGGGATATCACCAGTTTTGAGAGCATTCAAGCAACTAGAGGTCTGGAACGCGGCATTTGATATTTTAATCGAGCTCATGATCATTTTCAGTATTTGACATTCATGGCACAGGTCCCATTGAGTGGATCTGCCAAGTACGAGCACAAGATCGCTACTCAATGGCATCTGCACTGCCCATCCCTGAAGACGATCATTTTGCCAGAAGGGAAGATGTGGTTTAAGACCTCGTAGCGGTAGTGAAACACGCTGAGTACTCGATACGGACGTATAAATGGGCTTCGTTTACATGCTTTATGTGCCGAACAGCAAGAGTAATGTGACGATTTCCTGTCCGAGTATACCGACACCTGCTTCGAATCACCAGAACTATGGTATTCAGTCGCGTCTGTCAGTTCTCCTGAATCACTGGAACCTCGGGTACCTTCGATCCTACTATTACTGACTCAGACCGCAGTACAAACCATTCACATTACAGCACTGCCGCGTTCAAGTGTGGGATGTTTCTTGCGGGTATGGACAGATGCAGTAACAAACTTTGACCGTCGTGTGAGTCTAAACTCCTTTTTCATGAGAACGACGTGACTTCTGACCTTTCAGCTTACATCTAGCGCCGCAATAACGATGTTACTCGCGTAATTGGCTCATCGTTTTGCAGGGCTTGTCTGCTTATAAAGGGGTATTTTTTGCCTGGGGTCACTAAACACGCCACTCTCGAGAGACATGCATTGCTTTACAATCCTCGCCGCACTGGCTGTGCCTCTTCTCGCCGGGGCTCAAAATACGGTATACCGTCTATCATTCTCTTTCGTAGCGCTGACAGAGCATCCAGCACGTCATACAAGTCGGCGGCACCGCGACCGAAACCGGCGGCATCTTCCAGTTCATCCCGCCCAACATCACTGCCACCGAAGGAGACGTCGTTACCTTCAACTTTTCCGGGGCGTCAGTATCTTGTCTTTCATTCTGTACCCGCGCCTAGCTAACCAATTAATTTAATTAATTTAGCCCAGGCAACCACTCGATCACCCAATCCAATTTAGCGAACCCCTGCACGCCGCTGAGCGGGGGTTTCGATTCTGGCTGGGTTTTCATCTCAGGTCCGGGACTTTCGCCTACTCCGCAGTGGAACCTTACTGTCACGAATGCCTCTACCCGTGAGTGAATGTGTCTTTTCCCTCACGCGTAGACGCTCGCATGCTGATGAACGATCGACCCAGCCATCTGGTTCTACTGCAAACAGCTCGTGCCAAGCCCGCATTGCGAAGTAGGGATGGTTGGAGCCATCAATGCACCCATGTCGGGCAACGCAACTTTTGATGCCTTCCTCAATAATGCGAAGGCGTTCTCTGGGTCGCCAGGCGTATGTCTTTTATTTCCTTTTCTGCTAGCCGCATCATTGACGCCTTTGGTAATATAGCAAGAGGTCGGTGCGCTGGTAGGACAAGGGGCTTCCGCATCTGCCGTCCCCGCACCCATCCCTAGTGGAGCATCGCTCTTTGGTTCGCCAGCAGCGAGTGCTACGGCGCCGGCGGCGACAACCGGAGGTAGTGGTACTGCTAGTCCATCGAGCAGTGCATCAGGTTCTGGGTCGTCCAGTGCAGCGACAGGTCTTAGTGCATCTGGGTTATGGGCGGGCGTTGCAATGATTATGGGTCTTGCGTTGGCTTGATCGTCGGGACTAATCAAACATTTCTTGGTCGTCAAAATGTATGTAGAGTCCTTTCAAGTATTAAGTGTATTGTGGCTGTAGTATACTTCGTCTTCAGTGATCAGACTTTCGATTATTTTTGCATCTATATCTACAATGAGACTTTCTGAATAATATCCTCTTCGCTTAACTCGTCTGACCAGGCATGAGAAAAGCAATATCTTTCTCCCTCGGTTTTCTTCCCCTCAACGTCCTTTCCAACAACTTCCCATTGCTTCTCATCGATGTTCCCAGCTACATCTTTCCAAAACCTCAACCTCTCCTCCCCGGCACTCAGTATACCCTCAAACTCTACATCCAGATGCACGAAATCCGTGATCTGAACATGGGGCTCAAACAGCTTCAAAAGCGTCTGATTCTCATCGCTTGCGATCCACTCTTCGTGCGCCGGGACGCTTTGCCATCCAGAGATCAAATATAATACACTTTCAGAGTCCTTCGTGTAGAAATACACGGGAAACCCGGACCAAGCGCCTTGGTTCGTACGTAGACGCAGAAGGAGGTCGCGCAAAGAAGGCTGGGAAAGAAAATCGGCTGAGTGGAACTGCAGTTCTGCGAATTCTGTGATTGTCATGGTCGTGGTATGGCGAGATGACGCGTCACCCCGCCTCGCGCATCGATGGCATCACTGATCAGATGCCTATACATAGCACCTGCCTTGATTCCTTATAAAGGTACTGACGCGCCATCTGAATGTGGTTTTCTCAGAATCTTCAAGACACACTTCAACGTAGAAAAACAATGTTCTCCAAAGAGTTACAGTTGACAGTTCGTTGGTATAGCAGTCCCTACTACACAGATAAAATATATAGAAAAACAAAGAAAAAATAACTGAAACAACAATATAAAACGACATAGATACTATAAACATTTTCACTTCTCATCCACACTGGCCTTGATCGACGCGACAACATGGTCTTGCGACGCGGTATCCACCGATGATCTCGCACGCCTCTCCTCCATCGCATGCTCGTCTATCACCAGGGGTTTGCCAATCAATTTACGTCTAAGAATCCAACATCGTCAGTCCAAGAAAGATACTGAATGGAGGGAGATAACGCACATCCAAGCCGGGAGAATGCCGCCGGGTGGGATAACCCACTCTTCTGCAGCATCGATAGTCGGTGGAAGGAGACGGCCGTTGGTAAGTTTGCCAAGGATCCATGGGACCCCGTTAAGGACGATGTACGAACACACGCCGGCGATGACTCCGTATGCGATACTGGGGGAGGCTCAGTACGGCAGGCATGACAAAGAGACGGGACGAGACGCACTTGTACGACAAAGGTATGATCAATAGCGTAAGGAAAGCAGGGACAGCATCACCAATATAATCCCAGTTGATTTCACGGACACTAAAAAGAATCAGTCACCCTCCACCCCATAAACGCATCACGCAAGGTACCCACTTTCGAATCATGAGCGACCCAACAATCACAAGTGCGCCTCCTGTAGCCCAACCAGGAATTGACGCGAAGATCGGTGCAAAGAACACGGATATAAAGAATGCGAGACCCGTCGTGATGGCAGTGAGACCAGTCTTCCCACCCTCTACGCAACACGCATCAGAGCCTGATTTTATCTGCGAGGGCGGTGAGGTACGTACCACTGATACCGGTCGCACTCTCAATGTACGCTGTAACCGGACTTGTACCCATGAGAGACCCCATGCTGATGCAGAACGCATCTACGCAGTAGGCGATGGTTGACCCTTCAAAGTCGAGTGTAACAGGATCACGCAGACCGGCAAACTTGGCCATGGAGTATAGTGTACCGGTCGTGTCTAGTCGCGTCGCGTCAATACAGAAACTATGAGTGAATAGGGGAAACGTACCTAGGATATCGACATAAAGGAAGGTAATGAGTGCATACCACACTTGACCATTTCTGTTAATCCAAAATTCGTCAGCCACCAACTTCCCATATATCAAAATTACTCATACCCGTAGTTGTACTGTTGGAATTCTTATTAGCCTTGACGTATTAAGAAAAAAAATCCGAGTGAAACATACATCAATAGCGTTACCAATCTTTTCCAGCTTGTGGAATGTAACAACTTTCTTGAAGTAATCAAAAAGCTGGTCCCCGGAATCCGTATGCGGGAAATAAGTGACAGCCGTAGGTCTTGGCCAAGAAATGATTGAGACCAAGAAGATCCCGATGAGAATCGCTCCACGAATACGGTACATCATGAGCAGCACCGTGAAAATTCTGCCATAGACCACATGTTAACAATGATGCACATTTTCAAGCGAACAGGAGCACACACCCCCCGAGGAAGATACCCAACCACATGGTAGGGCTTTGCAATACTCCGCTCGCACAGTAATTGTCCATGCCTTCGACAAAGTTCTCCGATTTACATCCGCCCAGGCCGACGAGGTTGGTAGTGTCACCACCGATGACGAATAGTCCGGAAGAACCTGTATTGATTTGATTAGCGCGGCCATTCATAACACATCACACACGGCACTAACTCAGTCCAATAAAGCTAGACAGACGCAATAATGGCACATCAGCATACAGCACTTAGACAAGCGGGGCAAGTGAAACATACGCAATGAATAGACCGATACCAGCGCCAACGGCGAGAACCAATGACTGAGGCATGATTCGTACCAACCATTGCCGCAAACCCAGAAGGGATAGAATGAAGAAAATCCACCTTCCGGACGTCAACAAGCGCGTCAGTGAAACAATTTCAACTGTACACACCCTTCCAGAAACACTGCCGCCAGTGCCTCTCTGTACGTTATTATTCCGGAGCCATGGTATCCCACAACCGAGTATGTAAACTGGTCGGAGAAGTTCAGCCGGGGAAAAGCGTAGTAGGATCACCGAGACAGACGTACGTATGCGTTCAAACCCAGTCCAGGTGCCATTCCGACGGGAAGGTTGGCCAGAAGACCCATGAGGAACGAGGATAACGCAGCAATGGCGGCCGTCGCGGTGATCAAGTCATTCCGGACCTCGTTAACACAGGTGGCATAGGCTGCGTCGTTCACACAGAGGTCGGAAGTAGTACATTCGCAAGTTCCCCCAGAATCTGACAGGATGGAAGCGTTTACGGAAATCTGGAAGGGTGATGGAAGATATCCTTAGCGACGGCGGAGGGGAATATCATTGGAAAAACGTACGATGTAAGCCATAGCAGCCTGACAGATACGCAGTGAGCACTGAAAATTATGGGGAGAAGTGAATGCAGCGTACCCATGTTGTTAGACCTGCTCGGATCTCGGACTGTAAAGTATGTATGTTAAAGTCGCGCCAAGAAATATGAGAACATGAAAACACACTGTAAACCGAGAGCCAACACGTTCTTTGGGATGTCCTGATCCCTCTAGCTTGAACCATCGTCCAACAAATGAATCCGCGACCTAGGCAACAGTGAGTGTTGAAATATAGCAGTGTAGCAACAAACTTACTTGGGCATTGAGGAGGTCCAAGAAATGAACCATCCTGAACAAAGGATAGGGTAGAAAGGAAGGTGAAAGTACCGCCGAGGAGGCACAGATGAAATATTAAAAGGAGCGATAAGGACCACATCACTTTTTTCGTGGCTTTTGAAGAGGTCCACATGGTCCCGATTTGCATCCGGCTATCGGTGATTACCCGCTCCGCATCAATTAAAATGCGTTCTTTTCAGCTTCTACGACGCTTACGGGGAGATATTTTACCGTCAATTCAGCTTGTTCGCACGACGTCGATCTTCGCACTTTTCCCAGCACCAGCAACGTACACCGATATCACGCAGTCATGATGGCACTAAGGACGAAGATTATCGGCAGGCTTTAATTTGGGCTATTCCAGCCTCGTATGCATGGTAATAGGGTTCACACTCAATCACTAGTGCATGATATCGCAGCGGAACCTTAGTCACCGCACACCGCAGAGCATATGCCCCTCCTCCGAGGTCGGACAGCCTTAACGCTAGTCCTATTTAAATGACTTCTTATCTCTGACAGTGGTCACAAATTATCTCGCAGTGTGCCCAATGAACTTCAGGCTCTGGACCAGTCCCCATAGCCTCGTAATGAAAGAAAACGGAGTTGAAGGGGACAACAAATTCGAGCGACGCTCAGAAACTAGACCATCATCAAAAGGGAAAGCGCGCTTCGGACGCCTTCACGTTACATCTTCTCAGGTGCACCGTACGATGACAAGTACAAGTATAGAATGTCCTGAGCGCATGGAGAAGGTACAATCAAGTAATCTCCATCATCAACTGTAGGCTCCGAATGTTGGTGGACCTTGGAAACCTCTGGCGACCCTCACGAATGTCGGATCGCCTAGGCTCCCAAACGTTGAATTGAGTAAGTTTACACAACCTCGCACCCGCACTTGTACCTGAACCAGAACACAGGGCGTACGGGTGATCAATGATTGGCTGGATTGATCAGAAAAGGGTTTGTGGCGAGCTGTCAGTTCGTGGCGTCCATATGGAGTCTATGGGCCATTGATTACCACTCAATGCAGAAAGAGACTGATCACCAATCTAGCCGATAGTCCACATGTTACCCTACCGCTCACTCCCCGCGGCTGGCCGTGCCTAGGCTAAATCAGGACACTGCGATCCTTGTTGCTTGACTTCAAATCCCACCTTGGAACTGGTTGTGTTCGACTTCGCGCTGGCAACTTGCCATGGGGTTTGTCACGGTTTCGATGCTTTTAGTTCAGATCTTTGTCGTTTTGGCTTGCGATCAAGATGTCCGCAGCATCTCCTTCTTGATCTCTCTTCTTCATTCAGTTCTTTCCTTCTCTTCTGCAAAACTATGTCTCCCGAATTATCATGCCACTGGGGGCTTGAAGTGATTTGCCACCCTCCCCAAATCAAGTCCTATGCTTCATTTACGGCTCATGTCCTCGACATCTCCTTTGATAACGGACCATCTATCTATTCTGGACGCGGCACGCTCTCGCAGTCTCGACACTCATGTTACGCACGATTGGCGGCCTTACTGTGCATTACATGATGATCCAAGAGTTTGACAACAAGGCCAATACCCTAAATACTCATTTGACTCTCGTTTCGTCATCCGATTCTCGTACTCGACCGCGCACGAATGTGTATTTATACACAAGAGGGGACAGTTGCTCGGGAAACCATCTGTCCTCGCAGTTGATATCATTCACAGCAACCTTCCTTCTCTCTTGCGGCTGGCCTTACAGTTCCTTCCCATCCCTAAAATTGTGAAGCCGTTGTTCCAGAGCTCCACGTTCTACTCCGTCAAGTGGTAGTCGCGTAAGTTTATGCTCAGCGCCCAATACCCGACTGATACTTCTATGTAGCCACCACTGGATCCTTCCAACTGATGAATTAGCGAAGACTCGTTGAGCCGAAGTGGTTTTTATGACCTGAGATTTCAATTGGAATGCTGAATGTGCCTCAAGAATCGTGCGAAGCATAGTGAAGAGTAACCGAGAGTTTCGAGAGTTTCTGATTCTGTCGCCTCTTCGCCAGATTTTTTCCGGAGAAAAATCGCATACGCGAAGGTCACGATGTACCATCCTCCGCTAGTACGTGCTGGAAAATCCGTCGACATCAAATTTTCGTTCTTCTCAATCCCCTACTTTCACACCTGGCGTTAAGGCACCCGATGATCACCTCTCTGCGGAGGGATCATTATTCCATGTCGATGTTCTCAACTTTGACCGGGGTCTGATGCATATGCATACCTTTGCTCAGCGCGCTCTTGGACCGCTTGAGCCTGAGAGCCGTACCTCACTCGAGCCCCTGGACTATAGATGCGCAATTAACTGGGCCATAACACTTGCAAACGTTGACAAGCGTGTCGAATTGCCCTTAAACGATGAAGATAATACATACATACTGACTGAAACGACGTGTAGTAGACCTCAAAATAATGGTACCTAATGGTACTCGTATAACATGATAAATGACGCATAAATTAGATATAAATTCAGATTTACCTCAACGACAACTTCCCACCAAATTTCCTCCGCGCGACAACATCCATCTTCTCCTTGACATCCCTGAAAGTCTTCCACCACGCCTCTGCGACAGCCCTCCTATTACGCGTTTCTTCCGAATCATACTCATGAGGCTCAAATGTCTCGTGCTCGAAATCCCGCCAATTTCTCCTCAGCAGCACAAGCCACCACTTGACAATCGCGATGGCCTTCTCAACGCCTACACCCGACGCTGTGTCACAGTCGACACTCCGCACCAAAAACTTGGAGAAGAACTCCACGTCCTTTGTATTCGGAGGACGCTTGGTGAACTGCGTCACCCAGGCCTCGATGACATTCTGTATATCGTCTGCCTCCGTGAAACAAAGTTTCTCACCTTTTTCCTTCCCGCGTTGCCTCAAGACAGGCACTTCAGGATACTTTGCCTGCGGCGGAGGTGCACGATAAATACCATCGAGCGAATATAGCCTCTTGCGCGGTCTCAGACTTTTATGCTCGTCAGAAACTTCAGGTATCCCTCCTTCCAGTTTCAACAACCTCGCCCTCGTCAGTTGCTCTCTCTGCACATTCTTTGGCAATGCGAAAAACACCTCTGGGTCAATATCAAACTTCCGCAAATCATCATCTGTCATGCGGAACTTGGCCGTCGTCCCCATACCCATACGCTTTCCGAAGAAACTAGATTTCTTCTGATTCGAAGAGTACACCGGGCGATTGCGAGGAGCGAGCTGTTGAGTGATACGCTTGACATTGGCATTGGGCATCCTTTTCAGCTGAGGGAAGACTGAAGGCGCTGGGCCAGATCTATTGCGGGAGCTGAGCAAAGGCACGTATGGAGTAGGATATCGGCGGGCTGGAGGAGGGACGAACGGAGACTCGGAACGGCGCTTGTATTCCTGGTCCAGCTCGCCTCGGACGTCTTCCGGAAGGGCTTCATAAACCGACTTGTCTACCTGGGAGAATGAAGGCAGATCCCAGGATGGGGCGGAGGGTCTGGCCTCTTGTGGTGGAGGCTCCACTGGAGGCGGTTGTTCGATGGGGCGAGGTGCATCTTTCTTGGAGTTACTCTCGACTAGGAAAGATAAGGTTTTTTGTCCTGGATTGACGACAGCATCTTTCGACTCGAGTTTCTGAATCTGGATACCAATCCCACGTAGCTCTTTAGGGTCAAAATTAAATGACTTTAACATTCGCCAAGCGTGGTCACCGATGACGTTCTCATCATTGGTCGCACGACCGGATGGATCCGCAAGTGGCCCTTGTTTATTGAAGACGTCGCAAGCGCCGTGCCCGAGAAACTGAAAAAGATGTTGATAAACACTCACACTAGTAAAGGTTTGAAACTTACTTTTGGAGGCTCTACGGGAGCGTGGGGGTCCCGTTTCATTAATTTGAGCGTTATCGAACGACCCAACATATTGACATCATTAAGCCGCTTCATCACCTCCACAGCCATCTGGCGGATAAATGTCTCTGCCTGTTCGTTATTCTCAAATCGGATACCATAGTTGATCTCGCATGACACTGATTTCCTGGCTTTGTCGGACTCCAGCTTCTTGTCGTCTACACCCCGAATGGCATTGTAAAGCGTTTCCCCGGTACCCTTTCCCAGCACATCGCATAACACAGCCTTGCTTTTGGTCGCTAATTCACCTAGGGTGCTAACGCCGAATTTGTCAATGACTTTCTGCTTGGCTGAATAGCCAAATCCGTGGAGAGAAGATATATCCAAGGGTGCCACGAACTCTGCAACATCGTCTTGTAGCAAGTGGTAAGATCCTGCGGGTTTCGCTCGCCGAGTGGCGAGTCGGGCGAGTCGTATGTTGTGCGAAATCCCTATACTGATTTCGCATCCGGTAGACTTGTTTACTTCGGCGCGAATGGTCTCTGCAAGCTCCTTCGCTGGGTCGACTACACCCTTTGCCTTCGCCCTCAAACGATTGACGGTGCCCGTCACATCGATCAAGGCTTCGTCTACTGATACCGCTTGAAGGTCATCAGCGTGTGCCATCAAGACGGTGTAGAACCGCAAGGAAAACTGCTTGTACCTGCAGAAAATGAATACAATGATACCCGCACAGACGTGTTGATCTTACAGTTCAAATTCATAAGGTATTGTCATGATCGTCGGGCATAGTTTGCGTGCTTGTTGTAAGCTCATCCCATTCTTGATCCCAAATTCACGCGCTTCATAGCTACAACTCGCAATTTCGCTGGTGCTGGAACCGCCGCCTTGTTCACCTTGAGAATGACAAACGACCACAGGCTTCCCTCGAAGTTGTGGGCGGTTTATCAACCCGGCAGACACAAAGAAACAGTCAAAGTCACAGTGCATGATGACCCGTTCCTCTAGATCGGCTCTTCCTTTGCCTTTCTTTGAAGGAGATCTCATAACAAACTCGGCGCCCCGCATGCTTACGCCACCGGTCGTACCAGATTCTTCTTCTGAGGCTACTTTAGTCGCGTCGCTCCCTGATTCTGCACGTTCTTGAGCCTCCTTTACGAGATTCTTGAGCTCTGATTTCCAGGTGGATAGGTGGTGAAGTCGCGAATTCTTATAGTAGCCTTCGATGAAATCCGGTGCGACTGATGTATGTGCATTTCGCCATTCTGGTCGAGCCATAGCACGCTCAGCCAGAGGATTGGATGTGTGGGAGGCATAATGGGGAACATTGAGTGTAGAAGTGTTTGCTGCAGGTTTAGACGTAGCAGACAGAGGCCGCGAGACTGTCTGAAGCGGTTGTTGATTTGTCTTTGGCCCTTGGGTGCCATCCAATCGCTCGGACGCGGAGAACACATAATCTTGCCAGGGAAGAAGTATGCCTTGCTCAGCGCTTTTCACTATCCAGTTCGGTCGTACAACTTTCATATTCTTGAATTCACGAAGCTTTGCGGGGGTAAGGGAACATGTCAAGATATGTGTACTGTGACGATGGTAAGCTGCAGCACGTAAATAGTGTACTGTGAACATACACAATAGTCTTCTTGTGAAGATATGGCTGGAAAACTCCACCGTGTTTGACAATCAATTGCCGGAGTTCCTGTACAGATGGCTGCGTCCACCCATTGATCTGGCTTCCATTCAGCAAAGGAAAGAGGTAATAGTCTGGCCACTCACATAGATCGCTAATCCCTTGAAGATACCGCCACTATTGGATTCAAACTCCGAGTTCTGAATCTGCAGCTTTGCTCGTTTCCTGTGCATATATTCCCCAAAATCTCCAAAATGTGACTGTCCGTATATTGCGTCGTCTTCTTCAGCGCGACGGCGTTTCGTAGGCGAGTTCGATGATCCTCCTTCTTCATCGATGTCAGATAGAGTGTCATCGGCATATTTGCGTTTCAGACAAGGCTGGGTAAGTGGCGGAGGTTCGAATGGGTCATCTCCCGAGTCTTGGTGTGGGGCTCCCTGTTCGTCATCTGAAGACAATTCGTATCGTCTCTTGAGGCAAGGCTGGGACAACGGTGGCACTCCGTCATTGTCTTCAGACTCTGACCCACCGCTATTCAGCGATTTCTGCACGATGTCACCTGGAAGTACTGCATCTTCTAGCGCCCGGAGAAACGAAGGGTCGTCTTCGGAGAAGTAGTCAGAAGAGCAGCTTCCTGACGACGCAAGGGGTGCCATGAATCAACATGAATGTCGCTTTAATGAAGTCCGTTAATGTGGCAAATGCATGAGTCAGGGAACCCTAACCCTAGGGTTGGCACCCCTTCAACAGCGAGCGATCACGTGGCCGCGTTCCTTTACTTTCTTGCTCTTTCTTGTGGCACTTCGAGAGTCAATGTTTGCAGGGTCCATGAAGTTTGTTTCTACCGGATCAATGTTCGAGAATGAAAGATATTGCTTAGAAGCTACTCGGAGCTTGGCGACGTCCAGATCGAAAACGACTTTGGACGACCATCGTCCGAGACTATCGTGCCGACGGTCATTAGGAACATGTTCCCTGTCACTTCCTCAAAAAATATTACACCCAAACGGAAGTGCGGAAAGTACAATTTTCTTATACATGCATTGATGCAATTATGCGATACCAGCTTCAACATCCTTCTTAAACTGCCGCACGATTGGCTCCATACCTCCCTCATCAACGAAGAAGCCGAGACTCAAAGGATATGCGTTGTCGAACTTAGCCGGCCAAGAAGAGACAATACGTCGGTTGATGGGGTCATCCTTGAACGTAACGAGCTTCAAGGCCTCCTTGCCAGCAACCTTCTCCAAAGCCTCTAGTTCTTGTCGTACAGTCGCCGTGAATCCAGGCAGACACACCACACGGGTATGCTTCAAGAACTTTTCTGCAGGGACGTGTTTCGCCTGCACAAAGTTCTTGATGGTGGTCTCGGGGCTAGCAAGCCACGCGGCGAGTTCGAGCTCTGGCGAATCGAAGGAGCTACCAACAGGGCATATAGCTTTGACGCCTTTCAGCGGCTCTCGGATGATACCTGAGGTACGACAAATGAGCACTCGCGAATTAGCACTGACAATATGACTAAATACCTGAAATGAATGCAGAAGTCGCCGCCGAGGGGACCCCTGGTCGGACAACGACGGTAGGAAGACGGATGATACGCCCATCAACAAACCCTCGTCGCGAAAACTCGTTGACAAGAAGCTCTGAAGTTAGCTTTCCCATACCATAGGCACCTTCAGGCGTTGCGATCGTATCAGGTGTCACAACGTCAGACTAAATATTCATTTGAACAGCAGAAACTATATCCTGATGATCCACATACCAGGGGGCCGCCGTAAACAGCAAGAGACGAAGTGAAGATGAATCTTATAGGAGCGGGCCTGTCCGCGCCGTATTTACGGGCCGCTTGGAGCATTAGCCGTATTGAATCAATGTTCACCTAGACGTCCCAAGTCAACACGGAGCCGAAGGTCAACACAGAAAGCACGCACCTTCAAACCAAGGTCGAAGTTGTCTTCCGACCCACGGGACATGATGCCGTGCAGACAGTACACGGTATCTGGAGTACCCAACTCTGTCTGGTATAGTTTCTCGATTTCATCAGGATTCGTCAAATCAGCCTTGATGGTAACAGCTTTAGCTCCTGCGGGGGCCTTGGGTTCCACGATGTCCGCAAGGATGAAGCTAACGTCCGGTGTCTGAGGGTCGGCGAGGAGAGCTCCAGAAAGCTAACAATACGCCAGAATCAGGACCATGAACCAAAATAATCAATTAATCCACGTACTAAGCCGCCCAGCCAACCAGCCGCTCCCGTTATCAATACAGTGTTCTTCGACATGACGAGATATGGATGACAATCTGAGGGCAGGAAAGGTCGCACGATCCTCTAGTGTAAAGGATCCGGGAACAAGGAGCGGCTGAAATTCCGATTCGAAGAGCTGCCAGCCTTTTATACGATCCATTGTGCAGGAAGAACGAGAAATGCATCCGTGCCGGAATGCGGAGAAGGCTTGGATTCTTCCTGATTTCGTCCCGATCTGTCTAGGACTAGAGTCAAAGGTTACGGCCCGAGTCATATTTTACCTTTAAGGATAGATATGTTTCCGACACCCTATTCACGGGTTCTTATTTGTGGTCATCTGGTCACAAATGTCGTGCTCGTCGTAAACGCGGGTTTACAAGGGTAAGGAGCGTCTTCGTAGGCCTCTGCAGGCTCGTCAAGGCTAACTGGCATCGCCACGTCACCTTTAGGCTCCGCCTAGAAGCGCCGCTTCATCCGGGAGAGTGAGGCCTTTGCTCTGTCTCAGTTTTCGGTGCCAGAATTCTGGCGGAGGTCGAAAGACTGAGAGACATCGGGGCAGTTGTCTCACTTGCACCCATTCTTCTCCCCGCAATCCAAGGTGAGCTGAGCTTCGCTCGCTCCCTCAGCTTTACACTCATTACAAACCCTTCATCCCAGGTTGCACAGTAGGCTTTGCCTACTTATTTATCCTCTTACTCTACAAGCCTTTAATCAGCCCCCGTGTGCCTGGTGAGGCTCCGCCTCTTCCCTAGCTTTCAATCCGGTGATTTTAACTAGCCATCAGAAGTTTTCACCGTTTCGCTTTTTCGTTCACCCTCCCTCCACTCCCGGATCATGTGTATTATAGTGTATCATAGTGTATCATTTAGTGTACTGTGTACGTCGCCTACCGCTTCCCGCAATGTGATGGAGCTTGCGGATGCAAGCTCGGTGTTTGGGCTATCCCCTTGATTGCTTGCGAAGAAAGCAGAGGCCTTTGATCCGGTACTATGGGCCAATAGTAGCTACTGCAAGATTTCCCCCCAAGTCTAGTGAATGGGAGAAGCATTCCTCTCCAGTTGTCGTAGCGTTAACTGCAAAAAGTCGCGTCGCAGTGGCTGCAATGAAGGTGATTGCAGGTGGTGAAATCTTTCTGGCTCGTGGAACGGTGTTTGGTGTTTCCTTCAGACGTATGTATTTTTCCTTCGTGAACTGAATGATTGCAAGCATCAATCTGTTTCCAAGTCTGCGCAATTTGCGTTAACAAACATTCCGCAATCACAACTCGCAAGGTTTTCCGGTGGAACACGCGGTTCTGAACAACGACACGTACGCAATGTGTGTGCGGAACATGGCCCTTGGACTTTGGTTATGTCTCTGGTAAGTTTTCCTCCCGTCATGCGAATCATTTTCGCAGTACAGGAATGTTTTTGGTTTACACTCAGTAGTCAATGCACTAACAGTTGGAAATCCATGTTTCCCCGTACAGTACCCCCGCCCCCCGCGTCTGGCCCGGCAACAGGCATTGGCGCTAAATTGTGATTAAATCAGCAAAAACGTTGAAATTTGAAGCTTGATGGAGTCACAATGTTAAAAGTTAACTTAAGTAACTTATGTTAATGGATGGGAAGGAAAAAGGGCCTCACTGGGAATTGAACCCAGGACCTCCTCGAATTTTAACCCAAACGAGGAATCATGCTACTAGACCATAAGGCCGCACCGAGACTGTCAGCCAAAGAGTACAGATTGATAATGGACTTATCCTAAAGTTTTTTTCTTTCCAAGACGACCCTGGCGACTTGACCTGCATGAACCGATACTAGATTCGTCCTTTCTGTTTGAGCTACTGCTGCAGTCAGGTCTTCGCCGCATCGTCGCTCGAAATGAACCACTATCACCAGCGGTATCTTCTACGACATCTACGCCCTTGTATACGACTTCTCTACCGAGATGCACGCTATTTATCAACCAAAAGGAACGAAATACTGCGAGACACGCCGTCGTCATCTTCCAACCTTCAAAAATCCCAACCTTTGTCGGGTGACGTAAATTTACAGACCGAGAAAAGCTGGTTGACACGAAAAGTCGAGTCCTCACCGACGGCGCACTGGTGGTTCATGAAATTCGTCAATTTGCTGGGGTACGGGACTCCAAAGCAGTTAGCAGGAAGGAGGACGTTTCCGTTGTATGCGAAGCTATGTGCAGCTGCACCAGATTCCGAAATGGAATTCTGGCATAAAGGTATGTCTCACAGTTATTTTTTCGTGCTAAGGTATTGATTTCTCCTAGAGTGTGATTTGCCGCCGACTTTCCAATCGTGGTTCACTGTCACCAATCTTCATACATGGATGCTTGCTGTCCGTTTCCGTGCACTTCCATCACCCCACGGAAGGGAATACGTGCAGGGTCTTGTAGACCACTTTTTCCTTGACATTGAAGACCGGATTCGTGCCGTGCTCCAACCTCCTTCAAAGCCTACAGAACCCTACACAATCGAGTCTGCTTTCTACACCAATCCTAATGCACCTACTACGGGGCCTGATGGCAAACTCATACGGCGCAGAGCCGCACCGGAGCGATTGGTATCTCGGCAGATGAAGATCTTCAAGGAGCAATGGACAGGGATGTGGATGTCACTCGACTACGCTTTAGTTAAGGGCGACATGGAGTTGGCGGCTGCTGTATGGCGGAACCTGCTTGGTGCTCGTGGAGCAGCAGGCATCGCGTTTCCCGACCCCAATAACCCCGATGCTCCTGCTCCGTATCGTCGCACAGTCAACCTCGTCGGAGGCTTGGTGGAAAACATTGAGAAAATTGACTTTGAGAAGGAAGCGCATCGGGATGATGGGTCTGGTGTCCACGATTATGCGCCTTCCGAGGTGGACAAATACGTCAAATATCCTGACCTTATGCTCGATATTGTGATGTACCTTCGCAGGGAGCTGGTTCGACTGGAGAATCTCAGCGACGAGGAGATCATGCATGGCGATATTGCTGGGCTGGGCTTTGGTCGAATCATCGAGCCCGAAGTCGACGCGTCTGAATCCAGTGATGCGACGAAGTCAAGTGGTGCACCCCCCACTGGTGGCGCGTCGAAGCCTAGTGATACTGTCAAGTCCAGTGATGCTCTTAAATCAATCCTCCCGAAGCTCAGCAAGCTTTCTACAAGCGAGGTTACCAAATCCAGTGCCACGTCCAAGGCGAGCCCCGCACCGAAGACAAATTCTCTAAAAGAGGGAAAGCCCAAGCCCATCGGCTCTCCGAAACCTAGCAGTACCAAGGCAGGCGTCGCATCCAAAACAAGTGACGTGAAAGGCTCTTCTTCCAGGTCAAAAGCAACGAAACCCAATACATCTCTAAAGAAGTGACCGTACGCTACTGTCTAATATATGCTGTATTATTATTCCTCCTCATTATCTTTAATCATCTGGCAGAGGTAATAAATATCGACCTCAGAGATCAATTCTAAATTGGAAATGCTCCTTCCTTCCGCGAATGCACTATATAACGTAGCGCTTAAGAAGCATAAAATATATAACGTATCAAGGCGGTCTTGATCTCATTTCATTTTACAGCATCTAGTCAATACTAATCCCTGCCTAAGGAATCTAATCATTGAGACGGGATTGATGAGCTTTTTGTTACACAAGGCACTCCTTTCCATCTGTTTTTCAACCAGCGATCCACCAGCAGTGTAGATTGTCCATTTCGGCCGTTGTATACCTTGGATTTAATTATCGATGCGATACCGTACTTCCGCCAGTGGAAGCTCCAGCCAAATAAGGTCCCGACTGCTTTGGACCAATGGGAACAGTGCACCTTGAAGATGGTCTTGTTTTCGCATTTTCACTATCGAACTGTCGACGGTTTGTAAAGTGTCCATTTCTCTGATGAGATTATATTGACCTCGAGCCTAGATCTGGCACCTTCGCCCATTGGTTGAATCCATTCGAATGTTAGGTTAAGTACCAGTCTTCAACCCCGGTGTCTTGTGCGCAACCCTAGTTGGTACCCAATTGCTGAGGCTGAATGAAGTGAGGATTTCCCTAAGGTCGAGCCTCTCACAAGTGGCAGGTTCGGTCTCGTACCATGCAGTTAGTCATCCGCTCAGTATCGCTAACACCAGTGTAATACACTTCATAGATAGCTAGCCGTAGTACAGACGTCGTTACATGTCTGTTCAGGAGCACCAATCTCCTTCCTTCCAATTCGACCATTTGATTTTACCCCATCTTATGCTATGAATAACGTCTCTGAATGACGCCTACTCAGACAGATGCCCGATCAGTTGTCAGATTCTCTACTTGATTATTTCTACTTCGCACTCGAGTACTATTACGTTGTTGGGTCCATTGATACTATACGAGGTCCATGAATGTACACCATAATCTATTTTTTCTCCCTACGTAGTCCATTCCAAGCATCAGACATGACAATACCGCAAAAAAGGCTCACACATCCGCACCCCTCAAAATTTCCTTGAATCTGTTCCTCAGTCTTTGCACCTCTCGTTTATGAATATCCTCCGTACTTGACTCACAGGCTACTAACAACGCTTTGCATTCTCGGATAAACTGCTCGAGGTCCCTCGCGACCATTAGGGATTGTTCTGGTTCGTTCGACCCTCGGGCTTTGGTGAGAAATGCTGCGGCAAGCGTTGATATGGCACCTAGGAAAAATTATTGAGACTCGGATTCGGGGGACGACGCGACCCTACCTAGGACGGGCAGCACGATCGTAATCTGGTAACAAGAGAACCTTCGGTCACTGCACCTCAGTACGAATTTAGCTCTCACCTCGCGTCCCGTAACAAGTGTTGATATGGCAGTAGTTAGAGAGCCAACGAGAAGTTGTATGCCTATGCGGCGCCCTGTCATCTCATTGAAAGTTTTCCCTTGAGGAGATGGCTTACCAATAGCAACATTCATGGTGTATCCCTTCATCATTGCGCGTTCCGCGAACTTCCTCCTCTCCTCTTCTGCCGCTATGAGAGTGGGTAACACTCGGTCCTTTACCGTTCTTCCCTGTATCTATCTAGAATGAGTTATCTAGAATGAGTATATTGGATCGGTACCCGAGGAAGCGACCTGCCTTAGGCCCGTAAGGAACGATCCAGTCAAGCTCTGGTACGGGGGGAAGGGGTCTGTTGGTGCGGTCTTGTCCGATTTGAAATGGGTTCGAAGAGTCTATATTGCTGGGATGTGCATCATTTGTTTGCTGGATAGATATGAAGATTTTGGTCGGTGTGGTACTAGCTGCTGGTTTCGGGATGTTCGGTGCAGTCGTTTCTGATGGTTTCGTGGAAGCGGGGTTATAGTCTTGGAACGTTGTATTCGTAAAAGTAGGTCTAAACGTAGTGACGCCTGCTGTGAGGACAGGCGCGGTGGTAGAAATCACTGGAGGAGCAGAAGGGTTGGTCGTAACTAAAGTTACGTCGGCAGCGATATGAGTCGGCTTCGTGGGTGTATACTTGACATCGAGAGACGGAGATGTTGGCAGAGAAAGAGATCGAAGATGGCCTATCATTAGCTTCTGTTTTAAGAGCTAATGGTTTGGCCTGTGTAGAAGCAGGAGTACTTGGCCGCGGTTGGGATATGATCGTCTGTGTAGGAGGCGGCGTTGTCGATGGCGAAAGAGTATTTCCTGCGGTCAGAATAGCTGGAAATGCTTCTTCCAGTGAAGGAACAACATTATGCGGCACAGCAGGAGATGCAGATGCCGGGGCAAGCATGCTTGGTGAATCGGCTGGGGTGGGGGCCGTCGACGTCAGGTCAGTGGCTAGAGTCGTTGGTGGGATACCGGTCTGCATCGGTAGCGCTTTCTGGGCGTCGGGATCTGCCATTGTGGCACGATCCTGTGTCAGCGGGAATACGAAGACGTTTAAAGGTCATATTTACGGTGCAGTTGATATACCGAGGACATGCGAACGTTTTGATCATGTTTCCACTAAGATGGATGTTCCGTTGAACTTCGACGCCGAAGCAAAAGCTGTGAATTGACTGTTGCCCCCGTCAGATCCGACTCTTCGACAAGACCTAACCAAAGATGAGGAATCTAATCTCGGTCCAGAATGGTACAGATAGAATGACATGGACACTCATTTGGAAGCTCGGGGGTTTCCTCCGCGCTAACGTGATCCTTCGGCTCGATCAATAAATGTCATAAAGTGCGGCGTGTATCCATCGACTTAGTCATCAATGAATAGATTCACAGTAAAGACCCACCTGATCAGGACAGAAGGCAGTCAGGGAGTGAGCGATATTTCACCGCAACTGGTATACTCAGCACCTAGGAGTGCAGAAGCCTGCAGTCAGAAACCTTGATGCCCGATGCTTCAGGTCAGGAGGGAAGTAATTTAGAATATATGCTACAGTGACTATGTGATGTTCAGATAAATTTTAAAGAGAAGACAGGGCTTGCCCACCTGATCATACAAATAAAATTAGAAGTTCGTTATGCCGGTCCCCTTCGCCCATCAGCACCTTGAACATACATGCCAACATGAACTCTGGTGAGACGGCTCGCAGGTTTCTTCGTTTACTGGTTTTATTTTCATATCGGCACGCTTAAAATATGATTCAGCTAGAGTTCAGACTCGAAGCAGAACACCTAGTCACCATAGCGAAGCATACTCCACGATATATCCAGTTGAAGACCTCCTTGTATTCTGGATGTGTCTTAGGAAGGAGATGTGTTGGAATGCTTCTATTGACAATTCCTTTGACAGTCTGTCAAATGTTAGGATATCCAAAGCAAGGGAAATAAGGATAGAAACACGAACATCTTTATTTTTCCTCTCTATCGTCGGCCCAACCTCTAGTTCCACCTGAGACGGTTTCCTCTTCAAGGTCTTCGCAGGTACTGCAGGAACCTTGAACTGAGGCTTCGGCGGGAAGAGATCCCTACCCTTAGCGTGCAAGAGTAATGGTGGCTTGCGAGGAGTGGGATCATCAGGCCGAGGTAATACCACTGGTGGTGGCGTTATCCGTGCAGCTAGCAGCCGCAATGCATTATTCCCTACGGAAGACGCGTAAATAACGATATTCGTCGCGTCCGTATCCCCGAGCGCGACCTGAACACCTATTGAATGTGTCTGCTCTGGCCGGAGGCAGAAAATGTTCTGAAAGTAAACTGTGGAAAGAACAGCCTGGGGGTGTATATCAAGCACAATGCTCGGAGCTGCCTTGATATCATAATAGACGTCGGCGAGGTTAATGACAGCGACGAAGCGTATTGCAATGCCACGAAGTGATTCCAGGGCCAAGGCGAGGGGATTTTGCAGTAAGGTCGTCTGTGCAGTGAGCATAGCTGAGAAGGCGATGCCATCGAGCGTTACATGGGAGTCTGGAAGCGCCAGGCTGCCTCTGTACACCAGTCTGCTCGACGTTCGAGTGGGTGAGCTCATCGTTGAGGATGACGTCGAGGCCTTCCATTTCTAGGCGTATTTTGTCACGTGCTTCCCTGTCTTGACTTCCTGACCTGGACCGTCACCATGAAGCTACCGCTCTTCGCTGCACCGCTGCTTTCTGCTCTCTACTACTCGCCGGAAACGACACATAGCTCACCACGGCCATTGGTTCTGTGGCATGGCTTAGGTTCGCCAATCACTAGCCCCGTGCCTTCCTAGGCATACCTGACACCAGCATACAGGCGACTCGTACTCGTCTCCTGGGATGGTGCAATTTGCATCCATGATTGAAGATATCCACCCAGGAATATTCATACACTCAATTTACATCGACGAAGTTGAAGACAACGATCGCAAGGCCGGCTTTGTGCGCAACTAATTCATCTCTCTTCCATCGCGTCATTAATCAGACTCGGTAGGCAGTATGGCAACGTGAATGCCCAAATTGAGCTCGTTTCCAACCAGTTACGCGGTATTCCCGAGTTGGCAAATGGATTTGATGCGATTGGGTTTTCCCAAGGCGGGCAGTTCTTACGGGCTTATGTGGAACAATACAACGACCCACCAGTTAATAACCTCATAACGTTTGGCTCACAACACATGGGAATATCGGATATTCCGATATGCAGACCTTGGGATCTTCTGTGTCAGGTTGCCAGGCGTGCTACGAAAGGCGCAGTCTACAGTTCATGGGCTCAGGAAAATCTTGTCCAAGTATGGCTATATTAGCATACCACTTTTCTAAACTCACCTATGAATAGGCTCAATATTTCCGAGACCCCAATAACCTCCCAACGTATCTCTCTGCCAACCATTTCCTGACCTCCATCAACAACGAACTCCCACCAGACGTTCAGCCCCGAAACCAGACCTACGCTCATAACCTGGCCTCCCTCAATTCACTTGTCCTTGTTATGTTCCTTCAGGACAAGACTGTTGTCCCGAAAGAGAGTTCTTGGTTTGCTAGCGAAGCGCCTCCGGATGACATGGGAACAGGACAAGATGTCTTGGCGGACAAGAACATCATTCCTATGAAATTACAGCCTCTCTATCGAGAAGATTGGATAGGGCTAAGGACTCTTGATGAACAAGGCGGTGTAGTATTAGCTACCTGCGACGGCGAGCACATGCAAGTGGATCGCGCTTGCTGGGAACCGTTGGTGAAGGAGTTTGTAGGAGAATTGATTGACTGATGTTTCTCTTTCCCTGTATCCCTTACCGGCATTCTTCGTCTGTATATTATCTATCGGCTTACGGTACTGCATCCTCGATACGTTATAATCACCTGTATATTTGCCAGAGCCTCATTAACATTCCTCGACTTCTGCCCTTTATTATTTGAAGAAAGTACATAAAAAAACATGAATATATGTCGCTGTACATTTACAGTGGACAGGTCCGAGAAGAGTAGTAGACACAAATGAAACCAGGGGTATAAGTCCAACCAGTTAATAAAAAAATATGTACAATATTATATCCATCATCGTCATCGCGCAGTTGTTGTGTAACTCGGTGGAGGCGGTGAGTGCACCCGATTTGCATTAAATCCACCAGGGATGTCCATGACAGTAGATGCTTCCGACGCTTCCCTCCCAACCGCAGTATGATATGACGCCCCCGTGGGCTCTCCCACATGCCGCACCTCATAAGGAGAAGGCAGGTGAGGAGACGCAGGTAGATGCACATCCTGCGGCGCTATCGGGGGGGAGGGCCGGTGATACTGAGACGTATTAGGCGGCGGCGTCGATATCCCAGGCGGACCATACCGCCCAGTCTCCCAACTCACGTCGTCAACACTCGGTCTCGACATGATGTGCGTGTGAGACGAATGACCAGAAGAGGAAGCATCATCCAGATATTCGGAAGATTTTGAATAGCCATAATTGTTGGTTGGCTTGTATTCGTAATTCGGATTTTGGGGTGCCGGTGCATAAATAACACTGGTAGGTCCGGCACCAGTCTGTGAACCGTATTGGTACGGATGAGAGAACGGGTACAGATCACCGCGTTCGGCGTGTCCAGCAGCTCGGGGAGTCAAGGGGATGTTGACATCAGAAGTGGAGGCATCGAAGACATCCGACTGGTTGTAGGGAAAGGTTGGCTCGTGCGAGTTTTGCTTGTCTGATCGTTTCCAGGTCAGTAAGAATTCACAGTATCAGCATGCGCCACCCACCTGGCTTTCCTTCGCGCATAAATGACTTCGGGCTTCACCTTGTTCATTTGATGGTAAATGTACCACATAGCGGCGATGGTGATCAGGAATGTGATGACCAGAACAACATCAGATATTATCCGAGATTTCGTATCAGTTGTGCCTATACATGATTAGACACAGCAACGAAGATGGACAAACTTTGAAATACCTGTCGATGACTGCTCCAGAATGACCCCCAGGTACACAGTGATAAACTGTTTAGGTAGCGACAAGATTGCCGCAATACAGAAGACGATGATTCCCATTCCACACGTCGAAAACACCGCCGTTGTGACTAAAGTGAGGGTATTAACAAAGGGCAGGCAGCGGGTATGAGACGGAACTTGCAATGTCCTGGAATTGCACTCAGACGCGCTATCAAAGCGATCTTAAATCCGCCATCTCGGACGACCTTTGCCAAACAGGCATATGTAATCTTTGTGCGTTCGAGTTTCTCACCACGAGCACGACAACAATACTTGAAGGCGCTGAAACGCGGTGAGTGGCGGCAGACAGACAAACCGAAACCCACATACTAAAAGTTGCCAACTTCACCAATGAATGTACCTGCGGCAACAATACCAAATCCAATCCATAGACCCCAGACAAGCCCGCAGAGTATAGCAACAATTTCATGGCCGAAAAGCTAGGTAGGTAGATGAGTGGCGTGACAATATGATAGCGCAAGGCGAATTACAGGAGGAAATGAAATAACGAATAGTATTCCAATAGGGACCAGCCACCCAAAACTTAGACTGAAAGAAGATGTCAAAACGTGAACAGAGCACAGCAACAAGAACACGAACTCGTGTAACCAGCGTGAAACAGGTGTGAGCCAGTCAACGATCTGCTTGTGGTACAGCGTCATGAGAGCTGTCAGGACGAGAATGATGACCAGTGCGACGTAATACCCTGAACTCAGAAGTGAGAAATGAACCGCTTGATGAAAGACGGCGACGCACATAACCACTCTCTTCGAAACCAGAACCGCCACTTCCCCATGACCTCCCAACTGAACACACCAGTCTTCAACTCTTTCGCCTCACTAGGCGTGGGGCTCGGCGTCCGCGTAATGTCTCGCGGTACCCTGTTGCCGTTATTAGAGATATCGCCATTTACAAAAGTGACAGAGGAATTTTCCGAGGAGTATGGAGCTTGTGGAGGAGCTGGCGGGTAAGGATGTGGACTAGGAATAGGGACTGTTATTCCAAGGTTCTTCTTGAGGATGTCGGTGCCGTGGATGCTCGTCGTACTGCGTAGCACTATTAGATGGATCCATGTGTACGGTTATTTGATTTGCTAGGATTTTCTGTCAAGGATGCTGGCCGCCGTTCGTCCGAGAACGTTTGTATGAAGATGGGAGCTCTATTTCTGGGTGAGTGCCAAGCTATAGGCGGAAAGGAGGGTGTCGTCAGTGACTGTAAGAGGCAAGAAATAATTGCAGTGCAGTTCTGGGTTGCTCTCCTCGAATCCATCACTACCGGCCTCATTCGACCATTGTCCTGCTGTATATTGCTCTTATTCTCGTTTCATTGGCTGTGTCTTAGTTTGATCCATCGGACCGTCGGATTTGCAACCGTAGCACAGGATTCTGGCGTTGGGGCCATAGGGGGTGAACGTTGTATTCTTGTCGGCACCGAGCAGCCTACGCTTATGTGTCTTTTCCGTGTATCATCTAGTTGAGATTGTTAATGAGGGCGCATATACCCAGATATTCTATTGTCTTGCTGACGCTGAAGTCCCGAACATGCAACGCCTCACCCATGTCGCTGATTTGCACTCGGGTCTCAAGCCGGCTTGAACTACGAAGAGCAACGGCGCGGGAGAACCACTGCCTCAGATGGAATGAGAAGAACTCGCCTTTCTATGTCCTAGAGTCTCGGGCTAAAGTCTTGCTGTCGCTGTACACTTACAGTCGATAGATCCGAAACAGCAATGAATAATTAAGAAGGTCTAACCAGTAAAAAAAAGCTATGTATTTTATACTCCATTACCGTCATCGCGCAGTCGTCGCATAATTTGGCGGACGTGGTGACCGCACTCGGCTTGCATCAAATCTATGGCCAGGGATGTCCGTGACAGTAGATGTTTCTAACGCTTCCTTCCCAGCAGCAGTGTGATATGACGCCTCTGTGGGTTCCCCTCCATGTCGCACGTCGTGAGGTGAAAGCAGGCGAGGACTCGACACAGGTAGATGCACTTCCTGCGGCACTATCTGCGGAGAGGATCGATGATGCTGAGGCGTATTAAGCGGCAGTGTCGGTCCATACCGCCCAGTGTCCCAACTAGCCTCATCCACACTCGGCCTCGCCATGATATGATCCTGAGACGAATGTCTAGATGAAGAAGCATCATCCACATATTTGGGTGTGGGTGCGTAAACGACACCGGCAGGCTTAGCATTAGTGTGCGAGCCGTATTGGTACGATGGGGAGAATGGATACAGTTCTCCACGCTCAGCTTCTCCAGGAACTGCTAGAGTCAAGGGGATGTTGACATCAGAAGTGGAGGCATCGAAGACATCCGACCGGTCGTAAGGCATGTCAGCCCTCGCAAGTTTTGCTTGTCTGACCATTCCCGAGTCAGCAAAGATTTGAAATGCCAGCATGTGTAACCCACCTGGCTTTCCTTCGCGCATAAATGACTTTAGGTTTCACCTCTTTCATCTGGAGCAAGATATACCGCATAGCGACGATGGTAATCAGGGTTGAGACGACCAGAACGACATAGGTTATGATCTTGGACTTGGTGTTACTCCCGCCTATATGTGGTCAGCACAGCAACAAAGATGACAAACTTTGGAATACCTGTCGCTGATTGTTCCAAAATGACCCCGAGGTACACATTGATAAAACTTTTAGGCAATGTCAAAATCGCCGCAAGACAAAAGACGATGATTCCCATTCCACATGTGGAAAAGATAGCAGTTGTGACTAAAGCGTGAACGTTAGCGAAAGACGATAGCAGAAACGAGGATGGACTTGCAATGTGGTGGAATTGCACTCAAACGCGCTATCAATGCAATCTTGAAACCTCCATCTCGAATAACTTTCGCCAGGCAGGCATATGTAATATTTGTGCGTTCGAGTTTCTCGCCACGAGCACGGCAGCAATACTTGAAGGCACTGGAACGAGGTGAGTAACAGTAGAGAGAGCTTTGAGGTAAAGTCACAGACTAGAAATTGGCAACTTCGCCAAGCAATGTACCTGCAGCCACGATACCGATACCGATCCCTAGACCCCAAACGAGACCGCAGAGAATGCCGACAATTTCCTGGCCGAAAAGCTAGGTGGGCATATGAGTGGTGAGCAATAAGCATGATAGCGCAAGGCGAATTACAGGAGGAAAGGAAATGACGAATAGTATTGCAATAGGGACCAGCCACCCAAATTTTAGACTAACAGAAAATGTCAAAACGTGGACAGAGCACAGCAACAAGAACACGAACTCGTGCAACCAGCGTGTAAATGGTGTAAGCCAGTCAATAATCTGCTGGTCGAAAACCGCCAGGAGAATACTCAGGACGAGGATAATGCTGAATATGACATAATGCCCTAAACTCAAAGTCAGATATGAGCCCTTCATCAAGGGTAGCAACGCACATAGCCATTCTCTCCGAATCCAAAACCGCCAATTTTTCATGGCCTCCCTGTTAAAATTGCCGGCCTGCAACTCACTAGGCGTGGGGCTGGGTGTCCGTGTAATGTCCCGTGGTACTTTGTTGCCATCATTAGGGATATCGTCAGTGACGGAAGTGTTCACTGAGGTATATGACGCCTGTGAAAGAGCTGATGATTTATAAGGGCGTGGACTAGGAGCAGGGCTATTATTCCAAGTTTCTGGGGAGTGTCGGTGTCGTGGGTCGTCGTCGTACCGCGCAGAGTTATTAAATGGGTCCATGTGTACGCCAATTTGGCTTGCTGAGGTTCTCTGCCAAGGATGCTGGGCATTGTTCCGTCCGCCGGGAGCACTTATAAAAGAATGTCAAAGCTCTATTTCTGGATAAATGTCGAACTATACTTAGGCGATGCAGTGCTTCTCTCCTTGAATCTCCACTGCATTCGTCTTGTACAGTGGGCTTATTCTAATCTCTATTCACTGCACCGCTGTGTGTTGAAGTTTGATCCAACGGACCGTCGGATCTGCGACCGTGCATACGATTCTTGGCGCTGGCGCTGGGTCCACAGGGGTAAAAGATGTATTCTTATCATCTTTTCGTGTATCATCTACGTATTGTGATCGAGGACGTGTGAGATCCTGCTATCCAACTGTTTCGCTGACGCTGAAATGTCGCAGAATGTCGTCTGGCTGTCACTGTTTCGTCAATTAAATAACTTGCTTCTTATGTAGGCAGAACTGAGAGCTACTTACATAGAGCAAAAATGAGTAGAGGCTGGAAAGGGAGAGAACTGCCTCATGCATTGGTAAGATAGGCCTCAAGCGGAACCAAGTGATCACGTGAAAGAGTAAAACGAGAGTTTACTCCCCCAGTTGGGGCCCTTTCGCTGAAAGGGCTTCCGTTACGGCCCTCTAAAAGCAATTCTGCAGGTCTTAACGGGGCCGTTTTTGGCGATTTTGGGGGTAAAACTCCCATTCAACACACCTCGGGTGATCATGTGATCTCCTTGGTTCCGCTTGAGGCCTATCTTAGTAGCAATCGGCGACCCGTGCGTCCGATCGTCATCGGCCCGGAAGTCCCAGACGGAACTTGCCTCTTTCCAAATTCCAAATCCTTGACGTCCTTCCTATTGTAGCTGAAACGATGACCGTTGGCATGTAATCACTCAGCCCACGGGGCCACGGTTGCTACGTACACATGTCTTATTTCTAGCCATGAACTCCGAGTCGTCGCAGATATCCACCTAAAAAAGTTGAAGGAAGATTCCCTTGACTGCTGATTCGGATCATCAGATAACCTCCTTGTGGCGTTGCTGCGACTTGATAACATGTCGTCTATTCATAACCCATAGGTATTTTCCAATATTCGAGCGTTTGAACTTTTGTTCTGACTCTGCCTCGCACACAGCCTAACCCATGATTCTAGCCCTGACCGCTGTGGCATAGCACGAAAAGCTCACATCTTCACGCGATCACTGTAACGGCTAGCTAAGTTTGCATAACCTAGGCTGTTTCGACTTCGATAAATTTGTATTGAATTCCCAGTGAAAAGCCTGCCCAGAGGGCCTGCATAACCTGTCGTGATCAAAGTTGACTAGGACTCAAGTTGCATTCCGATCATTCTCCAATGGCTATACGTACCATATTTCTATTTCAACGGCGGGCTCTCGACATATGTGGTCTCCAAAGCTCCCGGGCCATATCGTTCTCCAGGGATCTCAGTTTCCTCAGCTACGTGACGGATCTCTGCGACTTCCTCGGATGACAGCTTGAGCGACCCAGCACTGATATTCTCCTCCAGGTACTACCGTTGAAAAAAAAAATAACCGGGTTGTCCTAACTAGTAAAAACAAGCCAACACACCTTGATCTTCTTCGTCCCAGGAATGACAAAGAAATCCTCCCCCTGCGCCAGAATCCAAGCGAGCACCGCCTGTCCTGGAGTGGCACCATGCCTCTTAGCCACGTCCCCGATCCTATCCACAAGGAAAAGAATCTTGGGGAAGTTCCCTGCCTTGAATTTGGGGATCGTCAAGCGGAAGTCGTTTGGCTCTAAGTCATCTCGAGAGCGGACTTGACCCGTCAGGAGCCCACGGCCTAGCGGGGAATAGGCGATGATCTTGACTCCGAGCTCACGAGCAGTTTGGAGGAGCTTGAGAGGTGGCTTCTCAACGTCCAGGACGAATGGTGAGTATTCAATCTGAAGGGCGGCAATGAGGTGGATCGCATGCGCACGACGGAGACCTGATGCGGTACAATCTGAGAGGCCGAGGTACTTGACTTTACCTTCTCTATGTTGACCGTGAGAATCAGGGGCTCTTTCAGAAAGCCGAACTTACTTGACAAGTTCGGCCATGGCCTCTACTGTCTTCTCGATGGGAACCTTGGGGTCGACTCTGTGTTTCATTAGTACGTATTTTTTAATCCGCTAAGAAATTACACACCGGTGCTGATAGTACAAGTCGATGTAATCCACGCCGAGCCTCTTGAGCGACGTGTAACACTGTTGCTTGACATACTCGGGTTCACCGCGGGATCCTTGCATAGTGATTCCGAATTTCGTCGCAAGGAAAATAGAATCGCGTTTTCCGGGATTACGCTTAAACCTACACGGAATGAAGAAACTGCAGGATCAACGAAATCAATTCGTACCATTTCCCGATGAGGTCCTCTGAGTCGAGATACACATCAGCGGTATCCCAGAACGTGCATCCCGCTGCATAGGCAGCATCGAAGATCTAGAAGAACATAGTGAGGACTCTCAGGTGTCGGTCACAGCCTAACAGGCCTACCTTGAAACGCTCCTCGTCTGATCCAACTGCGCCGTACAAACAGCTAATCCCCATTGCCCCGAAGCCAATGGCGGGTACTGAGGCATCGCCGATCTTTCGAAGAAGTACATTCGACAGCGTGCTAGTTGTTGTATGTCATATACTTGCACTTGTTCACTCATTTTATACGAGAGACGATGTAGATTGCCGGCGAGACGCGTCAGAGTGGCATGTACATGACTAACTATCCCCATCGTGAGAGGACTGGCCAAACCTTAAGTTGGAAGCTCATGGACCAGCACCGATAGTCGTCGGACTCATTCACACACGAAATCTGTCATGAGCGGGGTCCGATAGCGTCAGCGTTTCTGACTAGCCGGGCCAAGACGAGCAGATGTAGAAAGTTCCTTTGTATCAGTCAGCCTTGGAAGAGACCATAAGGCACAGAAAACTTTGTACTATGCGACAGTCAGAGAAGCAAGAATATATGGCGCCTGGGGACTTCAAATTCTCCTTCAGAAAATTTCATCCAAAACTGTATACGTTTGACCAGCAACTCGCCGCTTCTTGGTCGGCATTCCAACTTTGGACTCGGCCAATAGGTGAAATAGCCAGATCTATCGGCGTCAGAATCTCATAAAGGAAATAGACGCTTTACGAACCGTCGGCAGTTCGACAGTGAAATGTGAAAACCAGACCATCTTGGTACATGCCCATTGGTTTAAATCAATCGTAACCTTATTGGGCTGGAGCTTCCACTTGGCTTCCACTGACAGAAGTAGGGTATCACATCGATGATAATTCAGGGTTTACAATGGCCAAAATAGACAATCTACACTACTAGTCAATCGCTGGTTGCAAAACAGAGGAAAAGGAGTACCTCATGCAACAAGAAGCTCATCAATCCCGTCGCAATAGACTGTATCTGCTGTGAGATATATCGTTGCTCCGCAACATCTTCTCGCCACATGCAGATCATGTTTTTTTTTGGATGACCGTAAGTTACTTCTCTTCCCATCTACAACAATAGCTCCACCAATTCCGCCTCCAGTGATGATGACAGAACGGTTTTCCATTGCTGAAGCATGGTGGTGAAGCTTGAGCAGCGGATGGAGGACACAGGTATCCTACTCTTGAAGCTGGAATCTCACACGTCCCCGAAGCCACGTCGTAATGATGTGAAACAGAACATTCTTCAATGTTAGAAAGTGACAATATATATTGCAGCAGATACGGTCTAATGATTGGATTCCCTATCCAAACATATCAGGCGGCCCATTGCTGTTCGAACCAGTTCAAACTTCAGAGACCGGAGGTCGGTGTGCATAGATGGAGGCAACGATGAGCCGCCGTTGTGTTGAAGGACATGGTGGTCTGAATGAAAGCCACTTTTATTTTCGAAATGGAATGGCATGAGGGAAGATATTGTCTCATGGTCATGTGATCGTGCTCTGATTGGGCAGCCGCCATCGGCCAATCAACCGTGTGCTTCGCTCAGAACTCTCATGGACTCGAGGAACTGCTGGTGTTGGTAGAACCGAAACATAGGACGGCTAAGGGTTAAACAAGTCAGGCGAGGCGCCTGCCTATACAAGGACTCTTCTAGTTGTCCAGCGATGATCATTGATGTTCAACTTGGCTAGTCGAATCGTTTTTCCATTTCTGTAAAAGAAAGATCACACCAGTTGGCCGATACTGCTAGGTCGGAGGCTATTCCGTGATGGGACAGGATGGATAGTTTGAACGTCCTTGTGCTCCGTTCGTTACTAGTCTCTAGTACTCTCTTCTGGTCAAAGATGCGCCCTTCAAGTCTAATGGTTTCTATTCATGTGGCCTCCGCTGACTAGACGTCTCTTCACGGCGGATCTGGTTATTGCCATACAAAGTACATTAGGTTTCTAGAGTTCACTGTCAACCTCGGATAACTTTTCTCAAGTCTAATCGGTGTATTTTTGTCATGCAACTAAGCACAGCAGCTGCGTCGAGTTCCCTGCCAACGATACGCAGAGTATACGCCCGATCTCTTTTGAGCACTGCATCAATCATTCAGCCAACGATATCCTTGCCGACGTCTGCTACCACTGGTCTATCTCTGTGAGAACCACTTCCTCTTACTTTCACGGGATGAGATGATAATTCAGGTTCTAAAGTCGATCTCAGACTCTGCATCAAACTACCGCAACTGTCATAATGGGAGTTCAAACCGGTGAGCAGCAACAATGAACAGGACGGGGGTATCGTTGATTCTATCTTTCTGAATCCATTTAACGGGTGACAACTTGGAACCGCGAAGTCATAGCAGAACCAACATTGCACTCCTTTTCCTTTGGTGGTGTGTTAATCTCTCGTTGCTATTAGTCTCTGTTGCTTTAATCAATCATACAAGGTAGAAACATTTCCCTAAGGGGCCGGTGGAGTCGAGTCGGTTCGTTTTTGGATTGAAATTCTTCGTTTTATATAATACAAGGACTTGCAGGAGAAACACAGTCGTTATTACTGGCTATGGCGGCACAAGCGGCTCTTCCCCCAGATCTCACTGACGACGACATTCATTTCATCCTTGAAAATTTAGATATGAATCTAAACTGTATGATACTACAGGCGCTCACGCATGGTGAGCTTCATAGTCCCTGGGCAAATCCTCTGACGTCTAAGCTACATAGGACTCTACACCGGTGTCCTGGGTGTCACCCTCTGGAGCATCTGTACGTTCTGTCTTCTTGACTTGCGAGCTATATACCTTACCCCCCTCTGGTCATAGTTAGAGGCTCTACCAAAAACGCCTCCATTGTTAGATATGTCATGGTTCTCGCCATCATCGCACTCTACGTTCTTGCTACCATTGCGCTAGGCCCACTTTGGGCACTCACGCGCCATGTGTTCATTGATGAAGGACAAAACTGCTACACGGTATTCTTGGAATTGGATAGCCTTAATCCAACGGTGATCCAAACAAGATTGGTGATTAATATCACTGCTTGTATCAGTACATTTATTGCCGACTCCTCACTGGTTGGTAACAAAAAAGACCTCTTTCATATATAAGATTGCTGACCACTACTTCGATTAACGCTTATCAGATTTGGCGCTGTTGGATTGTGTGGGGCCGTCAATGGCTCGTCGTTATCGTCCCAGCCCTCTGTACCATTCTAGGCACAGGTACGTAATCAATTTTAAATCTGGCCATTATCAAATTTCAATCTTTTCGCAGTGTTCAAGGGCCTCTGGACATATCATTCTTGCTTGGATAGCACCAATGATATGGAAACTTCTACTTTCGATGGTGCTGTTGCTGAGTAGATGATGTCTTATATGGCGTTGACGCTCACCACAACACTTTGGTGCACCATTTTCCTGTTGTACCGCATCATAAGTGTTGTAGGGTCCGGTCATGGAGCGGGAATACGCTCGTACCGTGGAGTCATTGAAGCACTTATCGAATCGGCGGTCCTGTACTCTGCTGTATTGATCATCGACATAGTATTTGTGGCTCGTGACATATTAAGCGGGGGCTATGTCGATATTCTGACTGCCGCTATAAGGGTTTGCGTATTACAATATTATTGAATGGAGATTGCAATTGACGTCTGCTTACAGGGAATCGCTCCGACACTTCTGGTCGGACGTGTCGCGGCAGGTCACGCAAGACCAGATGACTCTTGGCAGGAGAGTAGTACTCACACGGTATCCTCCCTTAATTTTGGAACTGGTTCTCTTTCAACGCAGGAAGGGGACATTACGCAGAGCATTGAACTTGATATGACGGATAACATAGACCCGGGGCTGGAGAGAAATTTCGCACCCATAGAAGAAGAGACCCGAGAGGCGAGACCCTTGGACATTGTATGAAGGTTGATGTATCCGTAGCATATACCAACTGACTCGTCATTCAAGCCCACTACTTCTCTTTCGTGGAAACCTATATTTTATTTAGCATATAATATCGAAAGATTTTCCCCGACTGTTCGCTGTAAGATACTTTGGAGTTGGATCACTGAACCACCTCATCCTCAAAAGATAGTACTAAGACTGGACTCCTTGACTCAGAATACTTATATTAACAATAATGAAGGACAAAAAACCGCACCAGTGCCCCATCGTGCTCATCACGCTCTTGTTTCAGCCAGTGGAGCCCTCTCATTATTTACTGCTTCCTTCATGCTCTCTCTGAAGCACTGGCACATCATCGTGGATTTAACCACCCAGTAGGTCCTATTGCCTTCTGAAGAGCTACCTCAAATGAACAATTCACTTCTGCGTCTCCTTTTTGGTCTACTCACGTTGTTGAAAGTCCAGAACTCGCATGGATCATTCAAGCATTCCAGTGCACTGAAGGTCACAGGATAAAGCATCCAAATTCCCTTCAGCGAAGGTTCCATCCTGACCATACAGGTGGATGAGTGGAGAAACATAGCAACACATGTACATGCATATGTGTGCGCTTGCATGCCATAGATACAGTCGATGATATTCAGTTTCTTAGTAGAGCATGTACTTCTCCTTGTCGATAATTCAGAGCGTATCAGTTTTCGCTAAGGCCGTAGCAAGACCACCATCATTGCATAGCCATCCCTTGATCTCCCGCTTGCTGCGGCTGGAATATCTTTCACTGAGTATTCAGTACGTGTTCAAAAAAAGATTGACTTGATACACACTTGACTGGGGGTTCCACTTCGGCCTCAAATCGCTCCGGGCATATCATTCTTGTCATCTTTCACCACCGGCTGGAATGTGCGCTAAGATGATCAGACCGATAGCCGTAATTTGGCAGGTCCCGAGGTCAGTGAGGGACCTTCCCCGGACTTGCTGAATGTTAGAATCATTCTTCGATAGATGTATTTTCTTTCTCTTAATATCAATGGTCTCGATCCATTTGAGATATTAGTTCGCTCGGTTGAATAACATCAGACCCTGGATAAGAGATACAAGGTCATTGAAGGAGAGGGTAGAAGCCCTTTGTCTACTTAGACCCACAAGCTCACTTCAATGCCGGGCTCTCGACATATGTCATCTCAAGGAATCCCGGACCATATCGTTCTCCCGGAATCTCTGCTGCTTCAGCAATCTGTCGAATCTCCGCGATCTCTTCTGGGGTCAGTTTGAGCGACCCAGCACCAAGGTTTTCTTTCAAGTACTAATCAAGTCGAATGATGAGCCATAACGCTGACCAGTGAGCAAAATTGAACTAACCTTAATCTTCTTCGTCCCTGGAATGACGAAGAAATCCTCCCCCTGCGCCAGAATCCAAGCGAGTGCAGCCTGTCCAGACGTCGCATTGTGTCTCTTCGCCACGTCCCCGATCCTGTCTACAAGCGACAGAATTTTGGGAAAGTTCTCTTCTTTGAACTTGGGCACCGTCAAGCGGAAATCAGTTGGCTCGAGGTCATCTCGAGAGCGGACTTGGCCCGTCAGGAGCCCACGACCGAGTGGAGAGTACGCGACGATCTTGACTCCGAGCTCGCGGGCAGTTTGGATGAGCTCGAGGGGTGGACTTCTCGACGTCAAGAATGAAGGGCGAATATTCGATTTGGAGGGCAGCTATGGGGTGGATCGCATGTGCGCGACGGAGACCAGACGCGGTACAGTCTGAGAGACCGAGGTATTTGACTTTTCCTTCTCTATGTCGATCGTGAGAATCAGCAAGCTTTTGCTTGAACGATAAACGTACTTGACAAGTTCGGCCATGGCCTCTACTGTCTTCTCGATGGGAGTGTTGGGGTCGACTCTGTATTTCATTAGTACGGATTTTTCAATCTGCTAAGAAATTACACACCGGTGTTGATAGTACAAGTCGATGTAATCCACACCGAGCCTCTTGAGCGATGTATAGCACTGTTGCTTGACGTACTCAGGATCACCACGAGCACCTTGCATGGTGAAGCCAAATTTCGTGGCAAGGAAAATAGAATCACGTTTTTCAGGATTACGTTTGAACCTGTATGTATTTGCTCAGAATGAAGAGACTCTGGATCAAGAGAAGCACTTCATACCATTTCCCAATAAGGTCCTCTGAATCGAAGTACGCATCGGCGGTATCCCAGAACGTGCATCCTGCTTCGAATGCAGCATCGAACACCTATGAATACGATAAGGGCTTGTGGACAGAAAATGGACAGCAAGTACTTTGAAGCGCTCTTCGTCCGGTTCAACGGTACCGTAGCCTACACTGAGTCCCATGGCTCCAAAGCCAATGGCGGGTACGGGCGTGTCTCCGATCTTTCGTTGAAGTACATTCGACATGGTGGTGGCAACGAGACGAGCCATGTCTATCCGTTGGTCTTTCTCTCGATGTTTTATGAGAGCGATGACGTTGATTGCCGACAAGACGCGCGGTCAGTAACAGATAAGTACATGACTAACCATCATGAAATTAGACGACCCTTATATATTAGGAGTGCCGCCGGCCCAATACATGGCGCCAGCACTAGAATTTTGGTGCAAGTAGAGGAAAAGATTTCTGAGTGGCCGACCACTTTTATGAAAGCAGAAAGCACAGAAAATCTTGCCGAGCTGAGGCGTGAGGAAAGTGACGATACTATGGAATTGAATATCGAGTATGTTGATGGTACCGCGAACCTTTGTCTAGCTGCTGTTCAGTACGGCGCATATAGAGATGAGCCCAAATTTAGGTTAACTCTTCATGTAAGTGCAGTACTGTGCACGAACCAAGGTTCTCTTGGTGTTAAGGATTATTCATTATAGGTTTACAAGGAAATGATGCTGAGACGCGAGTGAGGGACAACTTTAAAGGCAGAACCGAAAGAACTGACTATCTGATTTCAGCTAATATACACGCTTACTCTAACTCAGGTAAGACGACCTCACTGGAGTAACGTTAGCCAATGCATCTGATGATGCAGACGAAAAAGTAAACACACCTATGATGGCGGCGGAATACCATACGATCTCTCGAAAAACTCATCCAGCCAGCTGAAGAAAACCCGTTTATCCTCCAACGAAAGATTTGCCCAATCAATCTCCATTTCAGTAGAGGCAGAGCGATTTGACGGTGCTGGAGACCCTCGAGGAGGCAGCGAGGGAACACTGGACGAAGGTGAACCCGTTGAAGCACTGTGAATAGGTGGTCGTGTTGAACGCTTGATAGGCGGTGGCGGCGCTCCTCGCCCTGGGGCCTGTGGAGGTGGAGATATTGATGAACGAGAAGGCGGAGGAGATATCGATGGGCGAGCTGAGATACTAGCACGCGGAGCAGGAGGCGGTGGAGGCGGTTGTTTATTATATGGATCCCAGTTCGTTTTCTTCATAGGCACGCTGATTCTTCTGTCAATACCCAACCCGAAGATAGGAAATAGAGTCATACCTAGAGTGCCTATCTCGCGTATTTTGTATCTTGGTCACACTAGCATCCTTGGCCTTTGTTGCCTTTTCCTTCAACTCTGCAACTGCAAAATGTCGGCGGTGCGTCAGATGTCGAGAAAAGGGACTGACATGATGGCATGGCAAGTAGTTCGTGGAACGACGGTGAGCACAAAGGGGCTCGGCTGTGCCGTTGTTTGGATTTCACGGGTTGCGCAAATTTATCCGCTTTGACGCTAACCACCACCTTGCCACCACCGTCTCCTACTTACCGTCTTCTTGCTATTGTCGAGATCTCTCTTATCTTCCATTTCAGAGTCATATGTAGCGACCCGCAAACCTCTAATGGTACACTACTCGCACATTATCCCAGGTTTCACAGCGCCCCGCCCGATTCGGATGTTTTATAATTAGGCAGCGCTTATCCTCTGTAATACGAGCCATTTCTAAGCAACTTAGGATCAAAAATCTGCCGCTCTGCCCATATATTTAGGCCAGGAATATCGAGGACCAGTGTCATCATGAAGGCTCTCACAACTGCACCAGGAAATACTGCTCTTGTCGTTGAACTACCCTTTCCAGAGCCTGGTACTACCGAAATCAGGTGTGTTCGCTCTCAAATTCTTATCAATAGTATAGTCTTATCAAATATACAGGGTTAAGGTTTACTCCGTTGCACTCAACCCAGTTGACGCGCTCTATGTTGCGCATCCTGCTGACAAGCGTTTGGTCGTGTCGTAGGCAGCGATATTGCCGGTATCGTCGACAAAGTTGGATCAGAAGTCACCCAATGGCACGTAGGTGACAGAATAGCTGGACTTCTCCAAGGAGGTATGCAGCACCTCAGCATATTTACACGTTGTTCATGAGTTTTAATTATCTTCAGCAACGTCTGGCAATGTTCGGCCTGGAGGTTTCGCGGAATACGCTATCCTTGAAGCAGATTTGGCTATCCGCATCCCCAGTTCTGTCTCTTACGACCAAGCTGCAACATTACCTCTAGGTTCCTTGACCGCCGCACAAGTAATACTGCTCTTTGCTTTTATAGAATCATTATCACTGACCCCAGCGGGAACAGGCTCTTTTTATTCGTCTCGGAATCAATGCACCATTCCCAAGCCCCTTCTCGTTTCCTCCCGAAGCTAACTCTTCCCCCTCGATCTTGATATACTCTGCAGCAACATCTATTGGTCTCTATGCCGTCGAGTTGATCAAGCTACTGCAATCTGCAGGCAGACAAACCCATCGTGTCTTTGCTACAGCCAGCCCAAAGAACCATGTCAAGCTGCTTTCACTTGGCGTCGAAGCTGTATTTGATTATCGCTCTCTTGCATGGATTGACGATGTTCGGAAGGCCTCTGGCGGAATAACGCACGCCTTTGACTGTATATCAGAGGATGACACGACTGCGCACATCTCCCAGACGTTTAGGGAAGGGGGCGGAACGATCGCCGTCATTCGAAAGGCAGCATGGAACAAAGATGGCGTTCGACCAGATGTCACGCCTCTGTATAGCGCTGCGTGGTCAGGTCTAGGTCATGAGATTCTCTACAATGAAGAGATTCTCCCAGCCTCTCCTGAATGGCGAGTGTTTACTGTCGCTTTCTTTTCTTTCCTCGGAAGAGATGGACAGAAATTGCCTATCCAGCCGAACCCTGTTCGTGTTATGCCGGGTGGACTGGAGAGTATGGTAACGGAAGGCTTTGCTCTTTTGGGATCCAGCAAGGTTGCAGATAGAGAAAGGAACACTGTTGAAGGCGGTTTAAAGCCTTGGATGAAGCCTATATCTGGGGAGAAGCTGGTTTACCATCTCACATAATACGGCGCCGACTCGAAGGTAAAAAGATTCTCAGTCAGACTTCTTCATCGATGGTTATCTGCCCTTATGCAGTAATCAATGCATTCTTCTCTCAAGCAACTTCTGAGTGATGATACTTCTAACTCGACTTGCGCCTGAGGTTTCGGCTTAATGGTCGCTCAACTGAAAGAGTCGACGAACTTACCGCTTCAAAATTCGAATGCAGCCGACTCCGCCTAAAATACCACGTGCACTATCAGATAACAAGTGGCCTCACTTCTTCTACCGCCGCCTCGTCAGCGTTTTTCGTTGCTTTGGATTCTTCATTTCGTCTCTTCGAACTTCGTCATATTGGATCTCATGGCTAACAGAGGACGTCAGCAGCTGTGGTTCCCACGACTGTGGTGGTACTCCTGTGGCTCCTGACTGTGGTGGTACCCGCAACGGTGATGACTCATTTCATTCTCGTGCAGCTGTAACCCCAAGTGGCGCAGATCTCAAGTTGTGTTCTGATAACTGTTGCGCTGAAAAGCCTCCGGATTCGAGAGAGCAAGCTGAAGCGCCGGCTCAGGAAGATGACGAGCCATGCTCCTGTTGTTCGGGTGATGACATTGATGATAAGCCGACGATTATTACTAGAGAAGGCTCAATTGCATTGCAAGATTTACCGACTCGTGCTAGTAAGTTTTCAATTTAGATCGTTAAAATCTGCTCAGTGTGCTTGACTGCTGTATGGAAGCGCGAGGACGTCGGTGCTGCGGAGCCGCATGTTGCATGAGTCCAGTAAGACGAGGAAGACGCTCCAAACTTTTGTGGAAAGCTAAGAGAGTGCCAGTGTTGCACTGGAATCGACCGAGAACGTCTCAATTTTGCCCCCATCGATGACACGTCACCGGACGACCAAGATGGGAAAGAAAGGGTTCTCACCCTCATGGTCGTTGGAATGGATTGTCCAGCATGTTCTCCAAGAGTTGAACGAGCACTGAAAGGTCTCGGAGTAATGGACGTAAAGGTATATAACAATTTCAACGAGTAATTCCCTAGTTAATGGCAAAGCGTAGGTTGACTTTGTCAGCGCTCGAGCAAGCTGTAGCTACATCAGCGGCTCTATCGACCCCGAGACGATCCGACGCAAGGTGGAAAATGCTACCGGGTTTATTTGTACCATTGCCAGCTTGCGAAATGGCCAGCGCACCCTCCGCGTTTCTTTCCCAAGGGCAAGTGCCCCCACTTTGGACACTCTCCAGGCACTTTTTGGTCGCGAACAAGAAATTTTGAAGATCTCTCGCACAGATGTTCGCTTCACAATTGATTCCGCAGCGCGTTACCCATCTGCACGCGCTATCCATGCTGTTCTGCTTGAACAAGGATGGGACAGTGACACCGGTTAACGAAGATGACGGTGAGGCGGCTATAGACGAAGCAGCAGCGCTTGACCTTCGTCGTTCGATCTGGCGTTTCCTCTTATCCGCAATTCTTACCATTCCGGTCCTAGTCTTAGTATGGTCTGGTGGCTTCGAGAGTCAATTCGCCCTTCGTGGTGGTGTCGCTCTCGGCTTGGCGTCCCTCGTGCAGATATTTTGTGCTGGTCACATCACTCTTGCTGCAGGGCGCGCGGCCATCATCGACCATCGTCTAGATGCCGACGTTTTAGTTTCTTTATCTTCCCTCTCTGCGTTCTTCTATTCCATTGTCAGCTACGGATACAACGTCACGAAGCATCGTGTCGATCTCGATAGCTTCTTTGAAACAAGCACTTTGCTCATCACGTTGATCCTACTCGGCCGTCTTGTTTCGGTCTACGCGCGGAATGCGGCCAGACGAAGTTCGGCCGGCTTTACGCCTCCTCCTGTTGAAGTTGCACATTGGGTTGACCCCAAAGTCGCTGATAACATCCGAGATATCCACACAGCATTGCTAGAAGTGGATGATACGGTTGTTGCTCATGCGGGTGAAACCATTCCTAGCGATGGTATTGTCACCACCAACATGTCAGATATCGACGAGTCTTTGGTCACTGGCGAGGCCATTCCTATAACCAAAGGCCCGGGAGCTCCAGTTCTTGCGGGAACAACAGTCATCGGTCCACAATCATTATATATCCGTTTATCGAAAGCCGTCCAGGATAACTCGCTCGCTGAGTTACGCCGTTTAACTGCTGAAGCGCGCTCCTCTCGTGCTCCTATCCAAGATACGGCTGATAGGATTGCGCGCCACGTCATCCCCATTGTCCTAGCTGTTTCGGCAATCGCGTTTCTCGTGTGGACCCTAGTGCTGAAATATCCTAGGCACGAGTCCTCAGGTAAGGCCGTTGCAGATGGTCTCTCCTACGCCGTTGCAGTATTAGCTTTGTCATGCCCATGTGCCCTCACTTTATGCGTCCCCCTCGTCGTTCTCTACGCACGGAACGCATCCCAAAAGGCGCCATTTTCACTCCTCTTCAAATCATCTGCTGCTCTCCAGTATGCGCGCACCGTTACCCACGTCATTTTTGATAAGACAGGCACGTTGACAACGGGAAAGATGAGAGTAGACGAGTCAGTTTATAACGAAAGCAGTGGAGTATGGATCGCAGGGGACGCTGATGGGCTAATCAAGGCTCTCGTCGCTGGGTCAGAGCACCCTGTCTCAGCTGCGGTGGCTCGACATCTGGCTTTGGGAGCTGATTTAGCCAGTAATCTGGGCAATGTAGAAACTGTAGTGGGAAAGGGCATTCAAGCCAACTGGAATGGCTCTATCGTTCGTGGAGGAAGCGTTAGCTGGTGTGCAGTGCAAGATGTTGATTGCGTAGTCAATATGCTGGACGCTGGAAAGAGTGTCTTCGCTGTAACAGTTGACCATGTCTTCCTCGCCGCCTTCGGATTGGAAGACGATCTTCGTCCTGAGAGTACCGAGGTTGTGTCATCTCTGGTGGCCCGGGGAATCACAGTATCCATTCTCAGTGGGGACCACCAGAAGGCCGTCGACGGAGTATGTCTCAGGCTTGGAGTCGAGGGAGTCAAAGCGAAGGGGAATTGCCTACCGGAAGACAAACGAGATATCGTTCGTATGACGTCGTGGAGTGCGTCCTGCGACCAGGATGATGTCGAGTCTGGACATGAGCATGGTGAGCAGCACGGGCATGCTCATGCTCATGGAACCCCGCAACAAAAGAATATTGTGGTATTCGTGGGAGATGGGAGTAACGACACCGCGGCCCTCGCCCAAGCAGATATCGGCGTATCCCTGGTTTCGGGAACAGCTATAGCCATTAACTCGGCAGATGTCGTTATACTTTCCGGTGGTTTGAAGGGGTTGCTGCAGATTGTCACGGTGTCCCGTCTAACCTGGCGGCGCATTGTGTTGAGCCTCGCCTGGGCACTATCGTACAACGTCTTAGCTGTGCTCTTTGGCTCCGGGCTCCTTGTTGAGGTCCGCATAGAGCCACAGTGGGCAGGACTGGGTGAACTTGCATCCCTAGTGCCGGTGTTGCTGGTCGCTCAGTCGTGTCGTTTTTTCAACTGAAGGTAAGGTGAATGATGCTGAAAGAAAACGAAAGAATTTCCAGGAGAAAATTATGTACTTACTATATTTAACCACGGTTTTACGATGATCAGTATATGCGTAGTGTGTTCCTCTTTGTGTAGTGCTATACCTAATATCTATATACAAAGTCGGCGTATTCTTCTTACCCGAGAACTCTGCCTCAAGTGGTCAACAGGTCCGGGAACACGGTCCGAGCGCCTCGCGTTGTCCTTCATTAAAAGAAACGTGCTCAAGTCAAATCCAAGGTACATTTCGTGAGTTTCGCATTCAAAGTTGAAATAAAGCTTTATACTGACTTTATACTGTGCTTTTTTAGTGTGAGAAGTCTTGGACTATGAAAATGTGCCACGTGCTGTACCAAGCCTTATCTGATACCGTCACTGATACCCAGTAACCGACTGCTAGTGTCCTCCGTCGCTAGTTTTCGTTTGGCATCTCTTTAGTTTGAAAGAATTGAGACTTCTTATCATCACTATGGCTAGTAGCGACGTCGATAGTTGCTGTGGTCTCCCTGACTGCGGTATGCGTAGGAGCGAAGAGTCTTGTGATTCGCATGCAGCAGTTCCAACCCCAAGTAAAGCCGAATCCCAGTCAGTCTGTGCTGACAGCTGTTGTGCTGACAGTTGCTGTGCTGAGCCGCCTCTTGAACCGAAAGTACCGCTAAACCAACCAGCCCAAGAGACCAACCAGCCATGCTCCTGTTGTTCCGGTGACGACGATATTGATGATAAGCCGGCGACGGCGTCCAAAGCAGAGTCGATTGCGCTGCAGACACTGTCTATTCGAAGCAGTAAGCTTTCACTCCAGATCCTCGGTACTTCATTGTATGCTGACTTAGCTCCAGAAACTTCTGGTCGCGAGTCTTGTTGTGGTGCCCCTTGCTGCAAGAGTCCGGTCAGAAGAGGGAGACGCTCTAGATTTTCATGGAAGAAAAAAAGAGTAACCTGCTGCAGTGGAGTTGACGAACAGCGCGCCAAACATACTACCGTCGCCGATCCGTCACCTGAAGGTCAGGATGGGCAGGAAAAGGTTCTAACCCTCATGATTACTGGGATGGATTGCCCAGCTTGTTCCCCCAGAGTCGAAAGAGCCTTGAAAAATCTAGGAATGGGGGACATCAAGGTACACAGTTATCTGTGGATGTACATCTCTATCTAACATTGCGTGCGAGGTTGACTTTCTTGGTGCTCGTGCGAGCTGTACCTACATCAGCGGCTCCACTGACCCAGAGACCATTCGACACAAGGTGGAAAACGCTACCGGGTTTCTTTGTACCATCGCAAGCTTGCGAAATGGTCAGCGAACCCTTCGCGTTTCGTTTGCAAGAGCTGGTACGCCTACCTTAGAGACCCTTCAAAATCTTCTCGGCTGTGAACAGGAGATTATGAAGCTCTCTAAAACCGACTTTCGCTTCACAATTGATTCTTCTGCACGCTACCCGACTGCGCGCGAAATTCACGCTGCTCTGCTTGACAAGGGATGGGTAGCCTCTCCTATCAATGAAGACGATGATGAGGCCGCTATCGACGAAGCAGCCAGGCTGGATTTTCGTCGCTCGATCTCGCGCTTCGTCCTTTCTGCAGTCTTCACTATCCCAGTCCTGGTTTTAGCGTGGTCTGATGGTCGCGACAGCCAATTCGCCCTCCGTGGTGGGATTTCTCTTGGCCTTGCATCGTTAATTCAAATATTTTGTGCTGGACATATCATCGTCGCCGCTGGGCGTGCGGTCATCCTTGATCATCACTTGGACGCTGACGTGTTGATTACTCTATCTTCCCTCTCTGCGTTTCTGTATTCCGTTGTCAGCTACGGATACAACGTTGCCCACCATCACGTCGATCTCGATAGCTTCTTCGAGACAAGCGCTCTGCTCATCACGCTTATCCTTCTTGGTCGTCTAATTTCGATCTACGCGCGGAACGCTGCTAGACGAAGTTCTATCGGCCTTACGCCTCCACCTGTTGAGGTTGCCCATTGGCTTGATCCCAAAGCCGCTGAGGGCGTCCGAGATATTCACACGGCTTTACTAGATATCGGTGATACCGTCGTCGTCCACGCCGGAGAAATCGTTCCGAGCGATGGTATTGTCTCCGCTAACATGTCAGATATCGACGAGTCGTTGATTACTGGGGAGGCCGTTCCTATAATCAAAGGACCGGGAGCTCCAGTCCTTGCAGGAACCACAGTTCTTGGTCCGCAATCATTATATGTCCGCTTATCGAAGACTGTACAAGACAATTCCCTTGCAGAACTACGCCGCCTCACTACAGAGGCACGTTCGTCCCGAGCCCGTATCCAGGACACAGCTGACCGGATGGCACAACGGATCATCCCCGTTGTACTCGGTGTCTCTTCCATCGCGTTCCTCGTGTGGGCCCTAGTCCTCAAGTATGCAAGGCACGAGTCCTCAGGCAAAGCAGTCGCAGATGGTCTCTCCTACGCCGTTGCAGTATTAGCCTTGTCATGTCCGTGTGCCCTCACATTATGTGTCCCTCTTGTCATTCTCTATGCACGGATCGCGTCTCAAAAGCCGCCATTTTCACTCCTCTTCAGATCGTCTGCTGCCCTCCAACATGCGCGTATAGTAACACATGTTATTTTCGACAAGACGGGGACCTTGACGACGGGGAAGATGAGAGTAGTCGAAGCGGTTTTCAACAAGGATAATAACGCAGGGATTGCTGGAGGGCTGATCAAGGCTCTGGTTGAGGGATCGGAACATCCAGTTTCCGCTGCTGTGGCCAGATACTTGGCTGCAGAAAGTGCTTTAGTGGAGGAGCTTGACGATGTAGAGACCGTTGTGGGGAAGGGTATTCAAGCCAACTGGAATGATTCTATTGTTCGTGGCGGAAGCGTTAGCTGGTGCGCAGTGCAAGATGTTGATGGCGTAGTCAATATGCTGGACGCTGGAAAGAGCGTTTTCGCTGTTACGATTGACGATGTATTCCTCGCAGCGTTCGGAATGGAGGATGACCTCCGTCCTGAGAGCCCCGAGGTCGTGTCGTCTCTGGTGGCGAGAGGGATATTGGTGTCCATCCTCAGCGGTGATCACCAGAAGGCTGTTGACGGAGTATGCCGCCAGCTCGGAGTCAAAGGTGTTCAGGCGAAGGGCAACTGCTTACCTGAAGACAAACGCGATATTGTGCGTATGACTTCATGGAGTGCATCCTGTGCCCAGGACGACGTGGAGTTTGGGCACGATGATAGCAATAACCGTGCGCGTACGCAGGAACGGTCACGACAAAAGAACATCGTAGTCTTCGTGGGTGACGGGAGTAATGATACTGCAGCTCTCGCCCAAGCGGATATTGGTGTGTCCTTGGTGTCAGGCACGGCTATAGCCATTAATTCGGCAGATGTCGTTATACTTTCCGGTGGCCTCAAGGGACTTCTCCAGACTATCACGGTATCGCGCATGGCATGGAGGCGTATTCTGCTGAGCCTCGCCTGGGCGCTGTCGTACAACGTTCTGGCGGTGCTGTTTGGATCTGGACTACTTGTCGAGGTCCGCATAGAGCCGCAGTGGGCAGGACTGGGTGAACTTGCATCCCTAATGCCGGTGTTGTTGGTCGCTCAGTCGTGTCGTTTTTTCAAGTGAAGGCTGAGAGCAGGCGGCATGAACGATCGTGAAGAAAAACGAATGAAGAATTTCTCGGAAAGAGATGTGTGTACTCATTATTTATGATGCTTAACATGTGCGTAGCGTGCCTCTTCGGAGCCTCGATCTTTTCTTGTCAAATGGAACTATCATTCCTTTGTTGAATCTTGGAGGTCCATGTTTGCTAGCTTCCATGCCGGCCGATAAAGCCGATCCCTTTTCTTCGCTCCACCATCGCCGCTGAATATCCAGTTTACCTCCTGTCTAATTTTCCCTTCTCTTGGCAGCACGGGAGCAGCCACGTTGGTCTCGTTATCTAAGACCAAATCTTAAATAACTTTGATTGATACCCCGCATTCAGTCAGATTCAGTCGAATCATGAGTTCGGAATCTTAGGTCAAATTAGCGTACAATGACGCCATACAGATGCATTTCAAGAGCAGCCGTTCTGGACAGGTTTCTCACGAAGCACGCAATTATAGCGAAAATCGCATTTAAAAGGGTTATAGCCTCCGCCTACGTACTCGTTATCGATATCCCCAGTCTCTCAGTTCATCGATGGCCAACTCATTTTACAAGTAATTCTCGTTTACTAGCTCTTTGGACCAATGTCTGAGACGCTTTTGCTAACAGGGAACCCGAGTTTGACACTATCCAGCTGCACGGTGGACAGAAGCCGGACACTGCGACCAACGCGAGAGCTGTACCAATCTATGCATCCACGAGTTTCGTGTTCAACAACTCTGCTGTACGTCGCCAGTTTTCATCGATAAAGATCTTCTTGTTCACCGTTACCTAGCATGGAGCTGACCTCTTCAACTTGAGGTATGGTTTCTGAATGATTACAGATGCTCGTGTAGTGATATGCGAGCTTTCAGGGCTACTGGGAACATCTACTCTCGGATCGGTAACCCCACTGTTGTGAGTGATATAGAAGACCTTCTTTTACGTGGCATGTCTCAGGTTCGATGTAGTCTGTTTTTGAAGATCGTATAGCTGCCCTCGAAGGTGGTGCTGCCGCTGTAGCAACCGCTTCCGGTCAAGCCGCCCAATTCCTAGCCATCTCAGCCATCGCTGACGCCGGAGACAATATTGTCTCTAGTTCCTTCCTCTATGGCGGAGTAAGTCGGCTTGCTAGCTTATCAGAACAACCACTTAAACTCCGAACAGACGTACAACCAATTCAAAGGTACGAAGGAAATTGGTCAGTTCTGGCTGTTACTTGTATCTTATCCGCTTCTACAGTGACGTTCAAGAAGTTCGGCATCGGCGTGAAGTTTGTCACGGACAACGACCCGAAATCCTTCGCCGCCGCAATTGACGATAAAACTAAAGCAATTTACATTGAGAGTATCACCAACCCTAAATACAATGTCCTCGATATACCCGCCCTCGCCCAGGTCGCCCACGACCATGGAATCCCGTTGGTTGTAGACAACACCTTTGGCATGGGCGGATATTTAGTCCGTCCCATCAATTTCGGCGCCGACATCGTTGTCCATAGTGCTACGAAATGGATTGGTGGTCATGGCACGACTATCGGAGGCGTCATTATCGATGCCGGTTCGTTTTTTTCTCTTCGTTACCACGATACGATTCCTTCTCACACTTTGAACAGGCAAGTTCGACTGGAAGAAGTCCGGCAAGTTCCCCGGATTCACCTCCCCATCTGAGGGATATCACGGTCTCGTGTTCTGGGACACCTTCGGACCGGTCTCTTTCGCAGCCAAAGTTCGAACAGAAGTGAGTTCTTTGCGTACGCGACCCTGAATATCATTCTGATTCTCGTGTCTTTAAGCTCCTGCGAGACATCGGCCCAGCCCTGAATCCCTTCGGTGCATTCCTTATCTTGCAAGGCTTGGAGACCCTCAGTCTTCGTGGGCAGCGCCACAGTGAAAATGCTCTGACATTGGCCAAGTGGTTGGAGAAGCAGCCACAGGTTACATGGGTGTCGTATCTCGGTCTCGAGTCGCACGAATCGCATACTTTGGCCAAGCAGCTTCTTCGGCCGGACACTTTCGGCGGGATGCTAAGCTTCGGGGTCAAGGGAGGAGCTGTTGCAGGAAGCACGCTCGTTGACAACCTCAAGCTGGCTAGTCAATTGGCTAACGTTGGTAAGTGATAACTAAGCATGATGTCGGCACTGGATTCTTACCACACTGGTGATAGGCGATGCTAAAACCCTGGTTATTCATCCTGCTACAACGACACACGCCCAGTTGAATGAAGAGGAGCAGAAAGATTCTGGTGTTACTCCCGACCTAATTCGGGTAAGTTTACGCTCGATAACACTCATTCTTCTTGCTAACTTCCGGTCTAGGTTTCTGTCGGCATTGAAGCTATTTCAGATATCATTGCTGATTTCCAGGCAGCGCTAGAAACTGTGTCAAAGGCAGTAGCATGAATGAGTTCCTTTAAGGGCATATCGAATGTAATAACTGTATACTTATTTCAAAGCTTTATGGGATGGCGGGCGATATCTAAACGGTAGAGCATATACCAATGAGATAATCCTGATACCCAGAATCCTGCAGATGAGATGCAGTTCCCAGTGTCGAGCTTAGAGTTCGAGCGGATAATGAGGATTGGCTCAAGTCTAGGTAGTCAATTGCACCCTCGGCGCCCACACGAGGAATTGTATAGTCAAAAGTGCACTGACGCATGCCGTGTTCATAGTTTACCGTTTATCCATTCGCACAGGATGGTTCGGTCGTTTAACTTTATATTCTCAACGATTGTTGCACCCCGCTTGCACATTGTGTAAGCGGTATGTGAAGGATGATATTGGTGGTACACTGAAACCGTAATGTTTGGACATACAGTAGAGGAACAGAGCGAGCAAGACAACGGTACAGAGCTAACAACGAGGATCGACGAGGTTTCTACCTAATGAAGGGAAGGGTCATATATGTATGCGGAGCGAGGGTGGGACGGATGGACGGAGTATACACCACATTCGACTTCGAAAGTCCGAAGGCGTGAGCATAGAGGCCCTATTCCAGTCCAGACACGTTGATCCGGCCAGGATCAGACATCCTCAACATTCAAAAATGGCGGTAGACCCGAAGGTATAACCAATTTGCCTTCGACCAGAGGATCACGAAGTCGCGTAAGGATAGACTTATCCCACTTCGTCACTGGAGGTAGGGCGTCGTCTGTTGCTTGAAGAGACTCCATGAGATATTGGAGAGTTGGTCGTTTCGAAGGTTCGTGAGCCCAGCATTGTACCATAAGGTTCCACCATAAATCAGTCTCCAACAGGTACCTCGGAAGTGGGGGATGCTCCTTCTGGACGCAGACATTCATGATAACGGCGCCATCAGGTAGGCTGCCCCAAGGTATCGACCCGTCGAATACCTTGTAGAGGGTCAGAATCAATCAATGGGTGTGAAGTCTCCTGGAACGCGTACCTCAAAATACGCACAAGCCAGTGAATATACATCAGCTGAAAAGCTGTTAGGATTGGCGTTGAGGACCTCTGGTGCCTGCCATCTTACGGTGCCACCCTTCCGCGATGACGATGAAGTTCCAAAGGCTGTAACACCCATCACGAAGGATATACCAAAATCCGCAATAACCGCCCTGTGGTCGTCGGTAATCAGGATGTTATCCTTAGTTCGGTTAAGCGCGATGGATATCTGGAAAAAATGCTATGAAACGCACCCCTTTTAGGTCACCATGAACGATGGACATTTTATGTAGGTAACCCATACCACGCGTGATGTCTAGAGCCTACTTATTTATTAGAAATATGTTGAGGAAGAAACGAATAACTCGATTCTTACGAGTGTGTGCCGATTAGGATTGGTAATATTGCTCAGATATTGACGGAGAGATCCGTTGGCCATGAATGGCGACACCAGACAGTAGGAAAAAGGAGCAGCATCGCGGTAAATGCCATAGAAAGGTAGTACATTGGGGTGATCGCACTGTCCCCATATAATGGCCTCTCGTCTTATTTTCTATAGAAAGAACCGTGAGACTGACTCTTTGATTCGTGAGAAGACGAGGCAACGCACCCGCAAAACTTCCTTGATATTACTATCACTTGTGAATATTCTCGCTTGTTTGACGGCAACTCCCATTCCGCCGACCTCGCCTTTCCACAACTCACCAAACTGTCCTAGAGCAAACGGATAATCTCCTGTCTTTCTGAAGCCTCTGAGCATAATACATCGAGGTACGCAGTCGTACATGCGCGATAACTTGAGGGAGGTCTTGAGAAAAATGTATTTGCATGACAATGGGAGACCCTGTATATCTAGAAGCTATCCGATGCCGAGTTAACGATAAAACTTTCGATGGAAAACAGCTCCTACATCCTGAAGAAAATCCAAAGTTGACTGCGCTTGCTTAACAGTTATATCTGATAATTGGTCATCTGATTTAGAAAGTGCCGTTACGACCTGCTCTGCCATTTTGTCTGTCGTAGCATCGAGAATGTGTATGGGTTCCGACTCTGGCCTGTACACGTCTAGAAGCGCGTCTACAATAGCCTGCCCCTGTGGGCAACTGGAGTATAAGAAATGTGAAGGGAATCTCACCTCGTCCTTCCGACTCTCATCTCCAACTAAAAAGAGAGTGCTGATGTTGGCTTCTCTCATGTTTTGCTCGACTTCTGAAGAGTAAGGGCCGAAATACGCTGAATTCCGCATGGCTGTATCAGACGCATGATGTGCGGTCCTGTGCTCGCTCAGTTCAACACCTTGAAAAGCATTCAAAGCTTTGGTGAATTAGGTTAGGTGAGTGCTTCGGCATATGCGAATGAAACAGACTAACCTGGAGAGTGACCATAATAACGGTCGTCGCTGTGGGGTGGTCGGAAACGGTATGTATCTGCAGGATACAGAACCCCTTCTTCGTCATCTTCACGTCGGACTCTGTCTTGACTAGGTGTTGAGTACGGGCTGCTTGGAAATGTGGCCTGCTTCGACGGTGTCTTGTGACTGACATAGACAGGTACACCGATAGCCTCTATGTGGGAGGGTTCCGTGGATGAAGTGGATCCAGGTATCCAGCTAGCTGGGCTTGGGGGAAGACTGAGATCCCGGACCAGCGTTGGTGATCGTCCATTTTCTTCCTCTTCAACAATGGTACTTATCTCCCTTGCTGACTGCAATGGATCCTGTACTGTCACCACATCGGAGACAAAGGATGCCTCCATCCTCTCTGGGCTGGCCCTAGTAGGGGGGAAATAACTTGGGGAGCTTCTTCTCCTCTTTCTAGGTACTCGCGCCGCATTACGGAGAACAAATGCCCTCATCTGCTCTGGACTCGGGCTGCTAGCAGGGGAGGGAGAATTTGGGGTCGTGTACTTCGCCCTAGCATCAGGCAGTCGTGGCTGAGGTGTTTGAGGTGATAGCGTAGGGGGTAAGGCGGAAGATAGTGGCGTCGATCCGGGAACGAGGGCATCGGTGTAAGTTGTGAGGTAATCAGAGCCAGAAGGAACGGGAGTATATGTCGAGGAATTCAATTTACGTCGCTTCCTTGTAGGTGTTGGTATATTCGTTACACGATCAGGATCTGCTTCTTTAAATCTCGGAGTCAAAGGATATCGATCAGGCAGTAATCGTTTGCGCAAAGGGGTGTCCTTTAAGACCAGAACCTCATCTTCTTCAGCTGTCAGGTCATGATCGAGTATCAGAGAGTTGGAGCCAATTGGACAAGGAAGAGTCATACGTACCTCCGGTGAGCACAAGTTTGTGCATTGCTACCAATCTGACTCCTGAGCGCAAGTTGCAATGTGGGTGTTACGGCTGAAGACCCTCCCGCTGGAGCCTTTGCCAGCTGTAGAAGTGATAGGGAATTACGTTTCTCTCAGTTTTCCGGCATCGACACGGCCCGTAAAAGTTGCCCCAGAAGTTTTGATGGAGGAACGAACAGTTCACTACAGTTTCCTAAATCTGCCATGATTGTAAATGTACATTCGTCTCTGTTCGCTCACCTACCAGCGCCCGCCAGCCTTGTAAAACCTGTCGATATCAAACTCCTCTTTCCAAATCTGCTGATCACTTACTTATTGGAGATTAGCGTCTGGCTGCAAAGCGCACCCCTTTGCGCAAACATTTCTTCGACCTGGGCTTGTCGCCGAGATCTACTAAAGAAGCGGATGCCTATTCGATTAGTAGTGAGAGTCGTATAACAAGTGCACCATCACCTACAAGGAACTTGAAGCTGTGGCGGTGCTGGTCATCCATCCTGCTACAACGACACATGCTCAACTGAACGAGGAGGAGCAGAAAGATTCCGGTGCTGTGACTCCCGATCTAATTCGGGTAAGTTTATGCTCGATAACACTCATTCTTCTTGTTAACCCTCAGTACAGGTTTCTGTCGGCATTGAAGCCATTTCAGATATCATTGCTGATTTCCAGACAGCGCTAGGAACTGTGTCAAAGGCAGTAGCATGAATTCCTTTAAGGGCATATTGAATGTAATAACTGTATACTTATTTTAAAGCTTTATGGGATGACGGACGATATCTAAACGGTAGAGCATATACCAATGAGATAATCCTGATACCCAGAATCCTGCAGATGAGATACAGTTCCCAGTGTCGAGCTTAGAGCTCGAGTGGATAATGAGGATTGGCTCAAGTCTAGGTAGTCAACTGCACCCTCGGCGCCCAGACGAGGGAATTGTATGGTCGAACGTGCACTAATGGAAGCACTGTAGTACTGAGCGGCCCTCTACCCCACATATTTGCGCTGTATTCATGGCACAAAAACGGTAGCTATTGATACGTGCGTTAGTGCACGTTCGACCATACAATTCCCTCGTCTGTGGCGGCCGAGGGTGCAGTTTTACCTTAGACTTGAGCCAATCCTTCATTATTCGCCTCCTTCATTTATCCTTGTGCAAGCGTTATGAGTGAGTGGAGAGATGATATTACCGTAATTTTTGGGAAATACAGTAGAAGAACAAAGCAAGACAGCCAGTGAACTAACGAGAATCGATGAGCCTTCTGGTATCTAACGAAGCTCAGGATCACGTATATATGGGGTGAGGGCGGGACAGATGTATGGATCACATCTCACTTTGAAGGTCCAAAGATGCGGGTACCAGCACTGTTCCGATCCCGTAACGCTGATCGAACCTGGATCAGTCAAGCGGGAGAGGGGGAGGCGAAAGCGAAGACAAGTAGAACAGTGGAAGAAACGGTGGGAAGGGAACCCGAAATACGGCCGCTTCGCAACGGCAAACAGGATCTCACCATCATTGAAGCCCACACGCCACCTCTGCGACTTGGCAGGCAAGCGCGAGTTATTCGGCCGGGTTCTACAATGCCGCATAGGACACGGATATATAGGCGAGTACTACTCCCAATTTGTACCATCCGAGAACGTTGACTGCCCATGCGGCGAAAGGTACCAGACGCGTGAACACATCATACGTGAATGCCCCTTATATGAGGACCAACGGGAGGAGCTCCGAAAAACCTCAAGGTCGCTATACTTGCCGGATATTCTCGGCACGAGGGAGGGAATCGAGGCACTAAGCTAGTTTATTGAGGACTCAGGGGCGTTCACAAGGACGGGAGAGCCACGAGCCCGAAGGGTGATGCCAGAATTCGAAGAGGACGAAAGAGAATGGTGGGAGGACGAAGAAGGGGAGTCGGAGGATGAACACGGATAACCCCCAGGAGGAAACATCCTCCCTGAGAGCAAACCATCACACCGAAACACGATGACGCTCGCTAAAACCACGGCCACGGCCACCCGCAGATCGAAAAGCACCCGCCCGAGCCAAGGGCAAATAAACACCTCACAAGTCCATTGCTATACTCCACACACAATGCCAACACGCCCGAGTTTGGAAAATAGAGTACTGAATGGAGGGATCAGGTGCAAGAGGGAGGAGGAAGCCTGAGCATCGGCCCCGCCACCGCGTCTCAGTAGATAGTTTACTTGTTGCGGTTAATTAAATGCAGAGTCCAAAAAAAAAAAGCGAGAGAGGGGGAATATTCACACGGTGGCTGTACGGAGGGCGACTTTTCAAAAACTGGGTGAAACGAACTGAGGCGTAGGCTTGGTTGCCGTTATCCTCTTTTGGGATTCACGCAGTGGCTATACGGAGGGTGAATTTTCAAGAACTGCGGGAGACACCCCCAAAAATGGTGGTAAGCCGGAAGGTATAACAAATCTTGCCTTGGAGCAGAGGATCGCGAAGTCGCGTCAGGATAGTCCTGTCCCATTTCGTCGCCGGAAGTAAGGTATCTTCTGCCGCATCAAAAATTCTGCGATACATTGGAGAGTTGGTCGATCTGAAGGTTCATAAGCCCAACATTTTTCCATGAGTTCCCACCATAAAGCAGAAGATTTAGTTGCCGCCAGGTATCTTGGGTGTGGAGGATGCTTCTTATGGACGCTGACATTCATGATAACGGCTCCATCAGTTAGGTTGCTCCAAGGCATTGTCCCATCAAATACCTTATAGTAGGAGGTCAGAGATCGGTGGGTATGGAAAGAAACATATAAGTACCTCAAAGTACACACACGCCAGCGAATATACATCGGCTGAAAAGCTGTTGGGACTGCCGTTGAGGATCTCTGGAGCTTGCCATTTTCACGGTACCACCCTTCCGCGATGCTGATGAAGTTCCGAAAGTCGTAACACCCATCATGAAGGATATACCAAAATCGGCGATAATTGCTCTATGGTCGTTGGTAACCAGAATGTTATCCTTATCTTGGTTAAGCACAATATATATTTGGAGGAAATGCTCTAGAACGCACCCCTTTTAGGTCACCATGAACGATGGACAGTTTATGTAGGTAGCCCATACCATGCGTAATGTCTAGAGCCTACTTGTTTGTCAGATACCAAAGAAACAGCGACTGACACAATTCTTACGAGCCGGTGCCGATTAGGAGTAGCAAGCATTGCTCAGATATTGACGGAGAGGTCCATTGTACCATGAATGGCGACACCAGACAGTAGGACGAAGGAGCGGAATCGCGGTAGATGCCATAGAAAGGTAGGACATTGGGGTGATCGCACTGCCCCCATATAATGGCCTCTCGTCTTATTCTCTATAGAAAGAAATGTTATGATGATTCCTTGATTCGCGAGATAATAAGGCGACAGACCCGCAGGACTTTCTCGATATCACTATCACTTGTAAAAATCCTTGCTTGTTTGACAGCCACGTCCATTCCTGTGATCTTACCTCTCCATACGTCACCAAAATGTCCTCGAGCAAACGGATAAGCGCCCGTCTTTTTGAAGCCTCTGAGCAAGAGACATCGAGGTACACAGTCATGCATGCGCGATAATTTGAGAGAGGTCTTCAAAAATGTAGACTTGTATGAACATGGAAGACCCGACATATCTAGAAGCTAACCGATGCTAAGTTATTGATCAAGTTTTCTGTAGAAAACATTTCCTACATCCTGAAGAAAGTCCTAAAGTGACTTGCGCTTGCTTGACAGTTAAATTTGATAGCTGGCTGTATATATCTGGTTTAGAAAGCGCTGTCACGACCTGCTTTGCCGTTTTGTCCGTGGTAACATCGAGGATATGCCAGGGCCCCGGTTCTCGTCTGCATGCATCTAGAAGCACATTTACAATAGCCTGTTCTTATGAGTAACTAATATATAGAATATGTGAATAGAACCCCACCTCGTCCTTCAAGGCATCCGCAAGCGATCCAGAGACACTGCCTGTGTATCCCATTCTTGCCTCAACACTCTGAGGAAACGCAGAAACAGTGGGGAGGGTTGGTAATGGTTTACCAAAAAGAGTACTATCCGTTCCACTACTAACCAGTGCTTCGTTGTCGGCCACTATCTCATTGTCTTGCGTAATATGGGATAAAGAGGCTTTATTTGATGCAACTTCCCCGGAAGGAGACGGCGGAGAAGAAAGCTTGCTGCAGGTATGGTATCGCGAGGCTGCATCAGGCGCTTGATGTTCAATTATGTCCTCGACGCTAAGTTCAGTATATGCACTCAAAAATTTGTCCGTATTTTGTGAATCTGACGACGTGCGAGGGGATAAATCATATGCGTCCTGCTGTACAAGTGATCCAGAGATACTTGACGACGGGCGATCCTCAAAGTCCGGTTCATCATTCTCCGAGTCCTCCTGGTCTATGTCATCGTCAATTGGCATGCGGGTTTCTGGAATTAGGTGAGATGAGCACTAGTGTCTGAGAATGAACATCACAAGAACCACACTGACCTGGGGAGTCAGTCCAAGCGATACGACCATGACGGCGGTCGTCACTCGGCCTATAGGGTGACCGAGTGCGATATGTACCCGCAGGATACAGAACCTCTTCCTCGCCATCTTCACGCCGAAGTCTGTCTTGACTAGGTGTCGGGTATGCGCTTGGAAGCGTGTCCCCTTGCTTCGACAGTACCCCCGGAATGAGGTAGACAGGTGCATTGGCAACTCCTACGTTAGCGGATTCTGCTGATACAGGCGACGGCGCGTCGGAAATATGTGGGACTCGTAAGGTATATCCGTCGATTGGTGTCATGTCAGGTGGGCTTGATGGAGGACCAGGATATTGGAACAACATTGGCGATCGTCTTTCTTCTTCTTCTTCAACAACGATACTTCTCTTCCTCGCTGGCTCCGATGGATCCTGCGCTGTCCTCAATTTGTCACGAGTAAGGACTCGGAGAAGCGCTGTGCCCGGGTTAGTCCTAGGGGGCGACCTCACGGGTTTATCAACCAAAAAATAACGTTTCACGCTGGATGGAATGACTCGCTGGGCTGAAGCCGGAGGTGTTGCTGTGGTAGCAGACGATTCATCATCAAAGGAAATGTCAGGAGGAGGGGGTCTATTGGGTGGCGGGATGGGAGCAAGTGCCGGCGGTGCATCATGTGGATTAGGCATCTCTTCGGATATCTCTGGCTCAGGGCCAAGGGGAAGCGACGTGACTTGAGGAGAAAACCCCCCCACGAATGGCGAGTTTCCATTAAGTTGTTCGCGAGATGACTGACCAAGACTTCTTCCCGATGACGACCCACTTCTTCGATAATCTCCATTTTCTGCAATAGTTCGCGATAGCTGACTTCGATGCGATGGTTCCTGCCGCGTTGCTCGATCGCTACGTGACGACCGACTGTCAGTCCTCTCATGGCCAGACTGCTTAGACCTTCGTCGATGGTTAGAGATAAGGCGCCGATATGTGGACTGCTTTCCCCGTAGACCTTGCAGCAGCTGGGTAATGATTTGTCTGACAGTCGGAAGGTATATCTCAAGATTTCCGGATGTAGGATCTTCAGCAAGACATTGCTCCAGGACTGTTCGCAAGTCGTCTGGTACAGATAGAAGCTCACTAGACACGGTGAATAGACATGACTGTGACTTCCAAAGCAGTACTCACTTCATATCGATATTGAACGCGGCGAACGCTGCCACTGCAGCATTGAAGTCGTTCCCCAACTGAACGTATACATCACTGACGTGGGTTTCGTCCACTTCCAAGAGACTCCATTGTGTGAGCGCCTCCAGCAGCATCTTGATAGACATCAGCAGACGTGTCATCGCAGACTCTACCGCTGGCTATATAAATATCAGTACGAAGGAAGATTCGTCGATTGCAGCACACTTACATGTGTCCGTGAACTACTTGTTCGCTCACTGCGTCCCGAATGGTTGGAGGAAATAGATTGGTTGTCGCGACGCGAGGCATGGCTTTGAGCAACAGAATTTGACGAGTTAGACCGACTTGACGACATTGTGGAAAGGGAGCGTTGGGTGTATGTGCATGAGGCACAATAAATGAGAGCAAGCCGAAAGTGGGCCAAGTTCTGTATCGATCAGTAGGAACTAGATTCCATTATTGGATAGCATCAGTCTCGGCAGCCTTGGCTCGACTTCCAACCACGACGTAGAGCATTTTCTCATGCTTTCACTTACAGCGGTCATAATACTGGATTTTTCACAGGACTCTGGAATTGTTCGTATGACAGCGGAGTATACCTATCGTAAGCTTACTAGTACGAGCTTAAGCACCTTTCGGGCGCTACAGACTGAAACTTGACCGGTCCTTCTCTCGGTAAACGTTGTCAACTAGCCGCCACAACACACGCTAACTGTGCGTCTTTCTGCACTACAACACTTCTCCTTCTTCATGTTTTACGTCTGGCTTGGAACTGATGCCTAATGTCCATAAAGACGAGTTCAGCGGTCTATATTTCCGGCGATAGAAAGGGCAGTAAGCCACCACTGATTTTGAAGCAGCGTTAGAACTTAGAAGCTGTGTCAAAGACAGTAGCATGAATTCCTTTAAGGGCATATTGAATGTAATAACTGTATACTTATTTCAAAGCTGTATGGGATGGGCCGCCGGGCGATGGGTAGAGCATATACCAATGAGATAATCCTGATACCCAGAATCCTGCAGATGGAGTCCACAAGTATACACCATGTGGTTCCGAGTGTAAAGACCTGGATGTTCAAATTTCCTTAGATGCTGATGGGTTTTGGCGCCTAGGAGCAAACTATCGGGTCGAACGTAGTGTGACAAACTGGTGTTGTGCTTCAAGTCTTGGCATGTAAGTAATACATCCATATAGCTCATCACTTATCCATCAGTGCAACGCAAAAGCCCGCAAAAGAATAGAGTGAACGATAATGTCGGTAAATACAGTGAGAGCAAGTAGAGAGGAACAGAACAAGAGGAAGACAGCAGTACAGAGCTAACAAGGGAGAACAACGCGTAAGTATATATGTAGGATGAGGGACAGGTGTATGGAGTGCGAAAAGATGTAGCTACTGGCCTTATTTCGTTCTACTTGGTAGTAATACTGTTCGGGGGATCAATCAAAGAGAAGATACCCTAAACGTTCAAAAATGGCGGTAAGTCCGAAGGTATAACTAATTTGCTTTGGTCTAGAGGGTCACGAAGTCGCGCCGGGGCAGATTTATCCCATTTCGTCGCAGGAGGTAGGGTATTGCCTGTCTCATGAAGAGACTCTAAGAGATCTTGAAGAGTTGGTCGGTCCGAAGGTTTATAAGCCCAACATCTCATCATGAGTTCCCACCATAAATCAGGAAGTTTAGTCTCCGCCAGGTGTTTCGGGGGTGGAGGATGCTTCTTCCGAACGCTGACATTCATGATAACGGCACCATCTGTTAGGCTGCTCCAGGGTATTGACCCATCGAATACCTTATAGGGGATCAGAGATTGATCAGCGGTCATGAAAGAAACTTATACCTCAAAGTATACACAAGCCAGTGAATATACATCGGCTGAAAAGCTGTTGGGACTCCCATCGAGCACCTCTGGAGCCTGCCATTTTACGGTACCACCCTTCCGCGATGATGATGAAGTTCCAAAGATCGTACCACCCACCACGAAGGATATACCGAAATCCGCAATAACCGCTCTACGGTCATTGGTAATTAAGATGTTATCCTTATCTTATTTAAGCGCGAGGCATATCTAGGGAAAAGACTTTGAACGCACCCCTTTAAGGTCTCCATGAACGATGAACAATTTATGTAGGTAGTTCATGCCACTTGTAATGTCTAGAGCCTATTCATTTATGAGTAATGCGCTAAGGAAGAAGCGAATAACCCGATTCTTACGAGTCCTTGCCGATTAGGATTATCATTATTGCTCAAATATTGATGAAGAGGTCCATTAACCATGAATGGCGACACGAGGCAGTAAGGTGAAGTAGCGGAATCGCGGTAAATGCCGTAGAAAGGTAGTACATTAGGGTGATCGCACTGACCCCATATAATGGCCTCTCGTCTTATTTTCTATAGAAAGAAACGTTATACTGACTCGTTGATTTGTGAGAGGACGAGGCAACACACCCGCATGACTTTCTCGATATTATTATCACTTGTGAATATTCTTGCTTGTTTGACAGCAACTTCCGTTCCTTCGACCTCACCTCTCCACAAGTCACCAAAATGCCCCCGAGCAAACGGATAATCGCCTGTCTTTTTGAAGTCTCTGATCTTGAGACACTTAGGTACGCAGTCGTACACACGTGACAACTTGAGGGAAGTCTTGAGAAAAGTGCGCTTGTATGACAATGGAAGACCCCGTATATCGAGGAGCTAGTCGATACTGAGTTATTGATAGAACGTCTGAGAGAAAAACAGCTCCTACATCCTGGAGGAAGTTCAACGTGGATTGTGCTTGGTCAACAGTTAGGTCTGATAACTGGTCGTATATATCTGATTTGGAGAGCACCGTCACGATCTTCTGCACCAATTCGTCTGTGGTAACATCGAGAACATGCCAGGGACCTGGTTCTCGTTCGCTTGCGTCTAGAAGTGCATCTACAATAGCCTGTTCCTGTGGGTGGCTGATATATAAGGTATTTGAATGGAATCTCACCTCGTCCATCGAGACATCTGTCAGGGATGTAGGGTCAGTTTCTGTGTACCGCATTCTGGGTGAGGGAGAAAAGGACGAGATTTTCTGAGGAGAGGCAGAGGCAGTACTGGAGAGGACCGGTGATAGTTGACCAAAAATCGTACTTCCTGTTTCGTTGGTAGGCAGTTCTTTGTGATCGGCCACCTATCTCATTGTCTTGCGTAGGACAGGATGAAGAGGCCTTATACGATACATTATCCCCGGGAGGAGACGACAAGGATAAATGCTTTGACTTTTTGGTTGTCAGCCATTTCCGTACAGTTGGTAGCTTTAAGTGAGCTAGATCCGACAGAAGAAATGTTAAAACCGTCCTGTTGACTCGATGAAGACGTAATAGGGACCTGTTCTCCCTCAACCCTACTGCCTAGAATACCGGCATCTGGCGCAAATGAAGAGCCATTGGCCCTGCCTTCATCTCGACGTTCTTCTTCCGGCTTCCTCATTTCAGGAAATGCGAGCAACGTAGACTTTTGATCCTGAGGGTAGTCAAGCCCCGAAGCAAAAGGGACCGATGACGTGGAAGGGGGCATCAACGAAGGCACAGAGGTCGGAGCAGGTGATAACTGCATGATCTGGGATTGCTGGGAGACTAACGTACTTCCATTGTACTTGTCCGTCCTGTTGACGGCAAGACTCGTCCCATATTCATGGCTGACACTGGAATATGTGCCTTCCTGTGGTCCAAAGCCATTACCATAGCCGGAGTCATCGGATCGCCGAAGACGATATGTATCGGCATGATACAGGATCTCTTCCTCGTTATCTTCACTTCGACCGCTGTCTTGACTAGGCATCAGGAACGAGCTGCCTGGAAATGTGTTCCGCTTCGATGGTGTCCGGTGAGAGTGGTATACACCGACAACTCCTGGGTGCGCAGGTTCTGTTGATATAGTCAATGGCGCTTCGGAACTATGTAGAATTCGTAAAGAGGATCCGTTAACTGGTGTCCGTTCGGGTGGGTTTGGAGGAAGATCTGGACACTGGAACAGCGTTGGCAATTGTTCATATTCTTCCTCTTCAATGACAACGCCTCTCCTCCGTGCTAGTCGATCCTGTGCCCAAGATTTTTCTTCCAAAGTAAGGGGAGAAGATGGTATCACTTTTGAGGATGTTATCGCTTGTTTCAGGCTTGTGCTGGTCCTGGGGAGACGAGTCGCGGATTTCGCCCTGGCATCAGGCAAAGTATCTGGATGATGCGGAGGAGTTTGAGGGAATGGTGTAAGAGGTGGAGTGGGTAGCGGCATCGGCGGAATCCTGGGGCTATTCATAAAGGTCGTGAAGCACTCGGAGCCAGAAATACCTGTAGTAGGAATGCGAATACTGGCCAAGGAAGGCTTTCCATGTCGCTCCAGTTCCATGATAGATGGAAATGTCGCTGCTGAACGATCCTTGCCACTAGTTGTCTCAGTATCCACTTCTTTAAGGAATCTCGGAGTCTGGGCACCAAGTAGCTGTTTGCGTATACTAAGGGTACGCTTGCGCTTAAGGGTATGCTCCGCAGCAAGACGTTCAGTCTCCAGGACCTGCTGGGATTACAACGAAGTTTTGTAGGTAATGGAGGCGGTGTGCAAGGCGGAGACAAGTAAGGATTGTACGCATCGGTACCTCCAATTTGTCCTGCGTATGGTGCTATGTGGACCGTCGCAGCTTGAACCTCGACTGATTGCCTTCTGGAGGAGGTAGAGGAGGTAGAGGAGGTAGGGGTAACGAAGGAGGTGGTGGGGGTGGTGGTGGCGAACTCAGTCTGTGATTGGGGACAGGCGACCTGACCAGCAGCGTTGGAACATATACACTACATTTCGGGGAAGAGTCGTTGAGACTAGATGGCGGATCGGTGATCTCGATTTCTTCTGTCAGCGGCTCCTGGAATTGGGCATCCACTTCATCTTGCAGCTCTATGCTCTCCGGCAGTGGTTCATCGATATCTGGCGTCTGGTCTCTGCTATCCTGCACACACTTTCCCTTGCTGACAGCCTCTGGTTGTATCTGAGGACGCCGGCCATCTTCTAACCGTGGTCGCGATGTTGCGACTATTAGTTTGGCGACCGCATGCTTCCGCTGCTTTATCGAATCCGAAATGCTGCACTCTCGTTTCTCATCGGACATCCAGGAATCGTTGGAAAGCTGCAGGGAGCACTTGTATCAGTATAGGTAAATCAAAGGAACAGGGGCGCATCGAGAAGAACAGACCTGGGTTAGCCTCTACTGCACAGAAATCAGAAAAGAAAAGGCATCAACAGTGGGTCCGATAAGAAGAGCGGCGTTCGTGTGGTTCCCATGAGGCGGACACCTTCCAATTGCAATCTCGATGTTGTCAAGTCACGCGCGACTTCCTCTCCTTTCCCCTCACACCTTATTCTCATTCCTATCTCACATCCTGCGACTTCCACCATTTCTGCCTGCAAAGAGCAAGGCGAAGCAAGTCTCCTCGTATGCCAAGTCGGCACCTTATGATCATTCGCCTCACTCGTTCCGCTATTGCTTAACGTCCAAGTTCTTTCATCAAGCTCCTCCCGTCCGTATACTCAGAGCCGGCTGTGGGATCTGGGGAAGGGAGACATGGAAAGCTCGGGGGAGGAGGAAGCTCGACGATGTCAAATAGACGTCAATAGACGCCAATACCAGACTCTCGACGGGAAACCGACAATTCAACTACGTCTCAAGCGGAACCGTGTACCCTCCCTAGAGCTGGTGACCGTCTTTCTAGTCACCCTTGACACTATGAGCAAGAAAGTGTGTCAGTCACGTCCTACAACGTAGAATCACATCGATGAAGGACAATGTGTATATGTGAACCTGAAGCTTGGCCGGCGCATTGGCCGGTACCTCACGAAGAGAAGCTAGAATCACCGAAAGAACTCTCGACATAGGTGTGGCATGAAAATCACGAGACCGATGTTCAAGGAACACTTTTGAAGCGTTACGCTATCAGCACCAGCTACGAAGAACGTCATAACAGGCCAGTCTAGCTGTGATTTCAGAATATATCAGAAATAAAGGATGATACAACGATACACGTCGTCCCGGCGGTAATAGGCTTCGTCATTCAGGAACATCCACAGCGTTCAAGTCGCGGTCACTGTCGGCGCTAGAACCTAAAGCGAGGTGCAAGCTTCATCATTACGCCCTGAATCAACGCTTCGCGGTATGTTTATTTGTATTGCAGGTTGACCAGTGGAGGAAGAAGGAAAAATGATAAGATTAAACAAAATGTATTGCTCATCTACAGGCCCTTAGCTTTGGCTGCCATCTGCAAAGCAAGTTAACTACATCCTGAAAAGCAGAACGTTTACGTACCAAGTTAAGAGCCGAGCCAGCCATGAACCATGCAATCTGTCCCTCATTGAAAGAATGTGCGAGGGGGATCTCCTACAAGAACCACAGGTAAACATCCAGTCGCAACGTTACTTGAATAAATAGATACCAACCTCCTTGCTTCCATCCTCGTGCTTCAACACGAGCGTCAAGTTCTTCCCAGGCGCAAACGTATCCAATCCAAGAATATCAACCTTGTCACTCGGCTTAACCTTCTCATAATCCTCGGGGTCCGCAAACGTCAATGCCAACATGCCTTGCTTCTTCAAGTTCGTCTCGTGAATACGGGCAAACGACCGCACGATGATAGCGAGACCGCCAAGATACCGAGGCTCGAGAGCAGCGTGCTCACGGGAGGAACCTTCACCGTAGTTGTGGTCGCCGATAACCACCCATTTGATGCCATGGTCTCGGTAATACGCGCCGACCTGGGGAACGCCACCCCATTCACCAGTGATCTGGTTCTTCACCTTGTTTGCCTCGCCGTTCTCAGAGTTGATAGCACCAATCAGACAATTCTCTGATGAAAATCGTTAGATCACCGCGTAGAAAGAGTAGAAATGAACGTACGAGAGATGTTCTGGAGATGTCCGCGGTATTTGAGCCACGGTCCACCAGCACTGATATGGTCCGTTGCTGATCACAGTCTTTGAGCGGCCATACGCTTGCGTAAAGAGATATAGTACTTACTGCATTTACCCTTGACTTTGATCAGGATAGGGAGGTCAGAAGGGGTCTTTCCATCCCAAGGTTGGAACGGTTGCAATAGCTGGAGACGGTCGCTCTTGGGGTCAACAGCTACACTAACGCTAGCACGGTCCGCGGGAGGAGGCTGGAAGGTATCTTGTCCTGGGTCATATCCGCGTGGAGGAAGTTCGTTTCCGGAGGGGTCAGAGAACTTGAAGGGCTTTCCATCGGATCCGATGAGACTGTCAGTGGTAGGGTTGAAAGAGAGTGAGCCAGCGAACACCATGGCAGTGACAATATCAGGTGATGCAACAAAGGCGTGGGTAGCAGGGTTAGCATCGTTACGGCCCGTGAAGTTTCGGTTGTAGGAAGTTATGACTACCGCAAGGCTCAGTCAAGCGCAATATGGATAAGGACGAGCTTACTAGAGTTGGGTGTACCCTTGGGAACATCCTTCCTGTCCCATTGGCCAATACAGGGTCCACAAGCGTTCGCAAGAACAACACCGCCAACATCCTCGAAAGCCTTGATCTGACCATCACGTTCGATGGTAGCACGGACCTGTTCTGAACCAGGAGTAATCGTGAACTTGCTCTTGATTGTCAGACCGTGGCTTGCAGCTTCATTGGCAATGGAAGCAGAACGTGACATATCTTCATACGAAGAGTTGGTACAAGAACCAATGAGACCGACTTTGAGCTCAGTCCTGGCCAGCCGTTCTTCTTGACCTCAGAGGCGAATTGCGAAAGGGGAGTAGCAAGATCGGGAGTGAAAGGACCGTTAATATGGGGTTCGAGCTCAGATAGATTCTGTGTTTCTAGTTAGGGAAAGTTGATGAGAATGCCAAAAAGTAGGGCTTACAATGTCGATGACCTGATCGTATTCGGCACCCTTCATCAGCCTTCAAGTTGTGAGCAAATCGAGAAGCATATTTCGCAATTTCCGACCGTTTGGTAGCATTCAAGTAATCCGTCATTCGACTGTTGAAGGGGAACATGGACGTAGTCGCGCCAATTTCCGCACCCATGTTACAAATCGTGGCCATACCCGTGCAAGAAAGGGATTCTAAACCAGGACCTCTATATTCAACGATAGCACCAGTACCGCCCTTGACCGTAAGAATGCCAGCGACCTTGAGGATGACATCTTTGACAGAATTAAGACGCATATATAGCAAGATGAACCGCGAAACTCACCCTTGGGAGTGGTCCATCCACCAATCTTGCCTGTCAGGTTTACACCGATGACCTTGGGACACTTCAATTCCCAGGGAATGCCAGCCATAACGTCGACCGCGTCAGCACCTCCAACACCACAAGCAATCATTCCAAGTCCACCAGCATTGGGTGTATGTGAGTCAGTGCCGATCATCAATCCACCAGGGAAAGCGTAGTTTTCCAGAATGATTTGATGGATGATACCAGAGCCGGGTTTCCAGAAACCAAGACCATACTATGCGCTCCGGTGAGTCGGGTGAGAAATAATACGTGAAGAGACGCACCTTGGCCGTAGCAGTTGCCAAAAAGTCGTACACCTCCTTGTTAATGCTGATTGCGCGCGCAAGATCCTTGACACCGCCAACCTGGGCCTCGATGAGATGGTCACAGTGGACGGTGGTAGGAACTGCTGCCGTGTCCATCCCGGCAGACATAAATTGTAGAAGAGCCATCTGAAACGGAAAAAACTCTTCAAGACGTTCTGTTCCGACAGAGTAACGGAAGGCACACCTGCGCCGTGGCATCTTGGCAGGCAACACGCTAGACAGAATGTTAGAATGAGCTCATAATGCCACGAAAGAGACATACATCTGGCCTCAGTTTGAGGTAGCTTACTCCCCTCTCGATATCCTGACCATGGGGGTCGTCCAAATGACCGTACAGGATTTTCTCCGACAGCGTCAGTGGTCGTCCAAGTCTATTAATGTCAGCCCGTACCTGTACGTAGAAAGGGAGGAAAATCACCTTTCGCGTACAATGGCCAAGTTATCCTCGATGCGCTGGTAGTTGATATATGCGCCCTTTTCGAGCAACGACATGGGCACCTTGGTGTCGCCAATTCGTGGTGCCACGGTGGCCATGCCCGCGGCCAGGCGCTTCATGTCGCGCGCAACATGAGCAGCCTTACTGTGAAGGTTAAGCATCTCGACGGCGTCGACGACGATGCAGAATCTAGAATGAGTCCAAGTTGTGTCGACCAAAGGGCCGGCTGTGATTGGTGGACCCCGATGCCGGCCGCGGCGGCTATTCCCTGCCCCGCCATTTTTACCCGTCTTTTCCCGCTGCAAGACCAGCGAAAAATGACGGAGTCCCGAAAATATAGGCCGTGGACTCGTGTCCTTATCTCTCTATATTCTCCCTTAGATTTATGGTACGCTTGTCTATGTAACGCTTCGAAGCATCTTTATGATCTATGATCTATTCCCAGATGCCTCTTAGTTCAATCACAACATGTACGTATCTGCTCAACTAATTCGTACATTGATGTTGCTGATACTGGCAAGTGTTCATTCTCTTTTGCCGATAATACCACTAAATTTACTCAGCTAGATTTCTACGGCTTGCTACAGATTTGCTGTCGTCAATCACTATTCTCGACACACAGGAGGTTATTCGATCTTCGCCGTTATTAGCCAAGCAGCTCCTAAGGAGCAGCATGTCATGATATCGGCACTCCGTTTCACGGCTGGCAACTAGTTCTTCTAGTATTTCCGTTTCGCCTATCATAAAAATTGGTTAAGGTGCCACCTGCGTGTCAAGCTACACGAGGATTTCCTTGTTGACTGCATCTCAGTGGAAATCACTCGTAATTTCCGCGTCCAGGATATTATCTGGAGAGCGCAGCCTTAAGTGCACAACATGAGGGTGACGAATACGATCAGGTCATAGACATTGTAAGCCCTACTTTTTGCATTTCCATCAACTTTCCCTCACTGGAAACACCATCAGTGCTGATGGACCATAGCTCAAGTTACCTTGGACATCTCCAAAACGTCTTTCATGCGTTCATATTCTCCATTTTCTACAAAACGACCTAACGATGCCGCTACTCAGAAATTTGTCTGATTGGCGCCATTAACTCCGAGAACAGTAAGATCAAGGTGAACTAGATCACCGGTGCCAGTGAATGGGGTAGTGCTCTCCAGTCCGGCGCGTACTATCGTGATCACGGGATCAAATGGGTACGGTGAACTTCCCTGAGCACGCTGCCCTCGAACCTCGGTATCTTGGTGGTCTTATCATCATTGTGCGGTCATTCGCGCGTATCCACGAAACCGACTTAAAGAAGCAAGGCATGTTGGCTTTGACGTTCGCGGACACCGAGGATTATGAGAAGGTTAAGCCGAGTGACAAGGTTGATATTCTTGGATTGGATACGTTTGCGCCTGGGAAGAACTTGACGCTCGTGTTGAAACATGAGGATGGAAGCAAGGAGGTTGATGTCCATCTAGTTATGTGTCATGATTGATGATTACCGTGGCTCTTGTAGGAGATTCCCCTCGCACACTCTTTCAATGAGGAACGGATCGCTCGCGTTGCTTGATGTCTATGAGTGGCAACAGCTCAATTAGCGCTAGTCCAAATTGGGACAAAAATCTTCTTTTCTCCTGGTTCAAGACCGGCTCTGCTCTTAACTTGGTACGTAGTAGATATTCAGCCTGGTTAGATGCGGCTGAATCCTTTTGCAGATGGCAGCCAAGGCTAAGGGCTTGTAGATGAGCAATGCATCTTGTTTAACCCTATCATTTCTTCTTCTTCCACTGGTCAGCCTGCAATACGAAGCCTGTGGCTTGCGACATGACGTGCATTGTTGCATCATTCTTCGTCTCTGATATATTCTGAAATCGCCAACAACGCCACTACATTGACCTGTTATCACGTTCGGCGTTATATTAGTTGATGGTGATACGTAAAGCTTCAAAGGTGTTCCTTGAACATCAGTCTCGGTTTTCGTTAGGTATACCGTTTCGAGCTTTCCTCCAGCGATTCTCAGCTTCACATAATGTTATCTTCCTTTCATCGATGCGGAAGATATTGGATGCCGTCCTTGCACATGGGTGCTACGTAGGCTAACTATATGCCCATAACGCCGATTTCAGTGCACGGTATCGCTTATCTTAGTGTGCGAGTGTGTCTACTTTCATCCAAGTTTCCGTGCTTCCTCTCAATTTACTCCTGTCATGGGACTGTTTGACGAATATGTACGTTGTGTATTTAATTAAACTTCAGAGGCCTAACCCAGCTGGTAGTCAGTGTAGGACTCTTTTGCTCTACGAAAATGACTTTCCACACGACTCCTTGGTGGTCAATCATGGTAGGTTCATGTCGCACCATGGGAAAAGAAGTCTGTTATTATCCCACATATGCCTTCGTTTCAGAAGACGGTACGCGGTGCAACCATAAGCGAGGCCAAACAATGATACTCGATGGTCCGGCCCTTGAACGCTTGCAGTATTTACGGCGATCTTGGCAAGACTCGTTCCGTAATCGATGCCCTCGATGAGCTTGCGGGGTGTAGGTTGAAGCTGTAGCGTAGAGCAAGTCCACGTCGGCTTCGCGCAATGAACCACGTCGCAGAGAAAAAATTAAAACGTAACGCGTCCACACTGGGTGTATCTTTATACCTGAGCACTACCACTGACACAATACTTACTTGCTTCTCATAGGAACCATTGGAGTATCCTACATCGTGTGTCTGCTTCTGTTCCTCCACTCCGGGTCAAACTCCAATGCTTTGGCTATTATGCCGTCCTCCTGTAAGCCTGTCACTCACTTCACAGTAAATATAGCACTACGATAACGTTCCAGCCCCCGTTACTCAAACTACTTCAGGGATGCCAGGAACGGAGGCGGCCATTGTCTTCCATCTGCAGCATCTTCTTCACAACGGATTCGACTCTCATTCTAGCGTTTCTTGCACTTGCCGTCTTGTTACATTACCTCCATTCGCGTAGCTCACTTACTCGTAAACGACCGCCGCTGCCTCCTGGCCCTAAAGGACTGCCACTTCTAGGCAATCTCTTGGACTTGCCTCCCGATTACTCTTGGCTCACTTATGCGAAATGGCATGCTACATACGGCGATATTATATATCTGGATACTCCCGCAAGCCCCACCATTATTGTTAACTCAGCAGAAGCAGCAATGGAATTATTCGAAAGGCGTTCCGTCAATTATTCCGATCGACCAGGTGAGCTCACTGGCACGTTTCTACAATATCTAGCGTCAAATCCTGATAATGTTTAAACTCATAGATTTTACTATGTTGAAATTATCGGGTTGGGATTATAACTTTGCGTTCATGAGGTACTCTGACCGATGGAGGTTTGTTGGGTCTACATCTTGTAATATGCTCTGTGCTCAACTTTTCTTGATCTTCATAGAATACATCGCCGAGTATTCCACCAATACTTCCAACCCCGTGCAGTTCCAGCATACTACCCTGCGCAAGTGAAGGCGACGTCTGTCATGCTTCAGCAGTTTCTCAAATCTCCCGACAATTTTGAACACCACGTTCGCCAGTGAGCTAAACGTATTTGCTTGGATTTTCTTTCCTAATAACGATGCACTCTTCCAGCCACTCCGGTTCAATCATCATGAAAACTGTTTATGGATACGATATCGACCCAAATGGTGACCCATTTGTGGATTTGGGGGATCGTGGTATGGAAAGCGTTCGCCGCACCGCAAATGTGGGATCATTCCTGGTTGATTATATTCCCAGCCTGAAATACCTCCCGCGTATGATCTCTCACTATTTTATATTTCCGACGCTCATAATAGCATGATGTTTAAAGGTTGGTCTCCTGGTACCCAATTCATGAAGATTGCAGAGGACTGGACCCAGTGTGTCGACGACGTGAAAGAGATGCCGTTTAAATTTACATCGGAACAACTCGCGAGTCTTTGATTTATGACGATCAAGATGGAATTGTAACTCGAAAGCACTAGGCTAACGGGATCGCACCATCGGTCATTCGTCTCTGAGAGTTTGGAAAAGATGAAAGACGCTGGGGTTTCCGACTCCCAAGCCGACCTTGAAATTTTAAAAAACTCGGCTGGAGTAGCCTTTGCTGGTTCGTTGTCTAACTTACATCGTTCGATGCACCGTGGAATCTGACAGACGCACTATTAACGGTAGCGGGTGCTGATACGGTAAGGCTTCCTTTTTCCGCGTTGCTAACGTTAGTCTAAATGACGATCGCACAGACCGTCTCGACTGTCCTTTCAGCAATTCTCGCCTTCATCCTTTACCCCGAAGTGCAAGCTAAGGCTCAAGCCAAGCTGGATATAGTGGTAGGCCAAGCCCGGCTGCCAAACTTCGACGACAGCTGCCATATATTGAGGCTGTTGTGTCAGAGGCATTGCGATGGAATCCCGTTGTTCCTTTGGGTACGTGCTCCTGAAAGTCAATGACTATTATTACCTGTTGAATTTCACTGTCTTCTTCAGGTGTGGCCCACGCTGCTCTAAAAGAAGACATATGTAAAGGCTACTACATCCCCGCTGGTACGTTTGAGTCGTCGATTTCAACTAGCAAATCCTCATCATCCTGTTCAAAGGCGCCACTGTTATTGGGAATGTGTGGTGAGTACCAATGTACACTGCAGTTCTCACAGTTGAGCACCTTGAGATTGACATATTATGTAGGGCTATTCTTCACGATGAAAAAGACTATCCGGACCCATTGGTGTTTAGTCCTGAACGTTTTATGCCAGAGGATGGAAAGGAACTCCCACCCGAGCCTACCGCTGCTTTTGGTTTCGGAAGACGGTACGTTGGATGTTATCGCCCCATTCACTTGATGATGTATAACATACTTCCCCAGCATCTGTCCCGGTCGTTATCTCGCCGTGAACAGCGCTTGGATTGGTATCGCGTCTATCTTATCAACTCTCACATTTTCCAAGGCCGTGGACTCCGACGGCCAAGTCATCGAACCTAGCGATATCTTTACCGACTCCTTTATTAGGTATGCTCTCAACATCTCATTGCGTCTGAGTTATTCTGAATTCCCCATAGCTTTCCCTTACCTTTCAAATGTTCCATCAAGGCCCGCTCCGCTCAGGCGGAAGCGGTGATAAAATCCAGCGGTTTGTAACGGTACAATAGCGACTTGAGTGGCCCGGCCTACCTACACCAAAGTTTGTATAGCATGATGTACTTATCAAGAACAAATTTCTAATCGGTTTGATTATAACTATCCTCTAGGGGGCGCGTTATTAAACTGAGAGCTGCGGCATCCAGACTAGTGACAAAATTTCAAACTCCTTGCGCGCCCGGCGCTTGTGCTTCTCTTCATCGTTCATTGGATAATCCATAATGATAGTGTGAACAGAATCCCAATAGTTACAAATGGTATGTGAACCAGTTGATTTGAAAGCCGAAGCGTCACGACGGGACTTCAGGCAGCGGTGAATCCTCAAGACCGAAAAACCGAGGGAGGCCCGGGGGAATGACTAATTTCCCTTGGACTAAAGGATCACGAAGTCGTTTTGGGACAGACTTATCCCATTTTGACTCCGTAATGGGCATATTCTCTGTCGCATGGAGAGACGCCATGATACTTAGAAGAGTCGGTCGATATTGAGGTTCATAAGCCCAACATGTCGTCATGACGGCCCACCACAGCCCAGCATGCCTGGTCAGCACCAAGAACTTAGGATATGGAGGATGCTTCTTTTCGAAGCATACATTCTTGATAACGGCGCCTTCCCTGAGGTTGCCCCAGGGTATCGTCCCATCAAACACCTTATACACGGTCAGAGTTCATTAAGAGTGGCACACTTAAGCGCATACCTCGAAATACACACATCCAAGTGAATATACATCAGCTGGAAAGCTATTCGGACTACCACTGAGGACTTCTGGTGCCTGCCATTTTACAGTGCCACCCTTGCGTGATGACGACGACGACGTTGCAAAGGTTGTGACGCCCATCACAAAAGATATACCGAAATCCGCGATAACTGCTCTACCGTCATCAGTGATCAATATGTTATCCTTGATTTGGTTTAGAAAGATACTGTCTACGAAATATACTCAGGAACGCACCCCTTTGAGGTCGCCATGAACAATAGACAGTGTATGAAGGTAGTTCATACCATGCATAATGTCTAGAGCCTCCTTATTTATCAGAATTGTTGATTAAAAAAGAAAAAAAACACTAGTTCTTACGAGTTTGTGTCGATCAGGATTATCAGTTTTATTCATATATTGACGAAGAGATCCGTTGACCATGAACGGTGACACGAGACAGTAGGTAGAAGGGGCAGAATCACGATAAATGCCGTAGAAAGGCAGGACATTGGGATGATCACACTGTCTCCAGATGATGGCCTCTCGCCTCACTTGCTAGAAAGGAAACGTTACACTGATATGAGTCGTGAAGGATATAAATCAATAGCAACTTACCCGCAGAACTTTCTTGATATTATTGTCACCTGTGAATATCCTCGCTTGTTTGACAGCAACCTCCACTTCTTCAACTTTTCCTCTCCAGAGCTCACCGAAATGTCCTAGAGCAAACGGATAATCGCCCGTCTTTTTGAAGCCTCTAAGCATGAGACACCGAGGTACGCAATCGTGAATACGCGTCAACTTAAGTGAGGTTTTGAGAAGTATGCGCTTGGATATCATTGATAGACCCGATAAATCTAGAAGCTGATCAAATTTATATTATCCAGAAAAAGTTCAATAGATGTGACTTCCAACGTACATCCTGAAGGAAGTCCAAAGTGCACTGTGCTTCCTCGACCGATAAACGGAGTAGTTGATCGGATATGTTTGATTTGGAAAGCACCTCGGTGACCTGCCTCACTACGTTGTTTATACTGATATTCACTCCATGCCCTGGATCTGATTTTGATCTGTCCAAAAGTACACCTAAGATAGCCTGCCACTGTTACAGATGCGCCAATTCTGACGGAGTAGGGGTAGACCTACCTCATCCCCTTGGTCATCATCAGCCCGTTTGTGCTTCAATCGAGGGTCGTGGTCAGGGTCACGAATGCTGCAGTCTTGTACTGGCACAGGGAGACGTTTTGAACGCTAAACTCATGAGTGATTAACAAGGTAGATATATCAGCGTCCATATGTACAGAGACGTACCAATTCGGTATAAGTATATAATGGTGGTAATGTCCTTCCAGGTATAAAGATGGGTGCGTTCGGCTGCGACCTTGTTGACACATTGGGACGCAATTCAGATCCCGAATCCAAGGAGCTGCGCTGTTGCTAATTACGCAAATCAGTGCATACGAATGGCTTGAACAGAAATGGCATTAACAGGAGGGAAACTAAGAAGACCAAGATCAACAAGGGAAGGGAGCGCTAATTCTCTTTTCCTCTTCAAATTCGTACTCTCGTCCCCTTCTCTTGCATAGTGCTCGACTCTTGGACTGGGACTCATTCTCTCCTGGGAAGGGAGGGGGAGAGGAAGAATACAGCAACTGAGAAATGAAAATATGACACGAACACGGTGGTGGTGGTGTTACCGGCGTCAGGCGTCAGGTCCCAATAAGCACGCAAATACCATGCCGTATTTTCTCATGGTTTGAGCACCCATGAGCGATACTAGGACCACAGCCCATAACACCCCTCTAAAAATAACGGTCAATGCACTACGGTCCGTGGCCTCCAAAATCCCCCGCACACCCTCAATGAATGGTGAAAAACGAGAAGCACTGGCCCCACCACACCACGCGCTCGAAGCACCAGCGACAGCCCTCCGACAAGAAGACGACGGAACAGCCGCAACAGGAGCCCGACCAAAAGCATAGCCTACACCAGAGAAAGTCGATACAGCGAGGAGAGGTCATCACTGATGCTCCTAAGCACAGTTTCCGAAGACCCATTCGGCACACCAAAGATAGACTAGACCACAACACGCCAAAACAACTTCACACTCATCCCGCTCTTCAACTTCCCAACATCCATAGTAACCACCGGAGATGGAATGACTGAAGGAGACGAAGGGCTGACAGACGAAAACGACGCGATGTCGCTGCTAACACCATCGGAAATGAAGGAACGACAGACGAATGTACAGTTTGAAGGACACATTTAGGGGGACACTGAGGGATATCAGTGATGGCTAGGCGGATCCACACAGAGTGCACGACTGCTGAGTACTGAGTCCCGTAAATTTATGTCTGGAGGAAACTGACAATATAAAACAACTCTTATATGAAACCTCAGGACAGAAATGGAAGTCGGGAGATATTTCTCTCGAAGATACAAAACGCCAACTCGAAGCCACCGTCAGAGAGTGCTCAGCCCTCGGCGCCCGACCTCAAAGACCAAGTTACCGAATTGACAAGGATATCGAACGCAAAGCTCGAGAGGATGGAACCCCTGCTCGACGCGCTGGTCCAAAGCAACACAACGCCGATACCAGCTATAACCACAAAATCCAGCCCTTCACAACCTACTACGGCCTCGAACAGCATCACACCGACGCAACAAACGAATCTCCAGCCAACGCTGATGCGGCACGGGACCTGGCGCCGGTAATGCCACCACCACCACCCGTCCAGCCTCGTCGTACAGATCCTCCCCAGCAGAATTCATGTCGACGAAAGGAAGGAGCCGTACAACCTACATAGTCAAAACAATCAACAAAGCTCTCCAAGACCACGTCGAGTCTAAACACCTGGTTGCCGTGTCAAGCAAGTACAACACTAACGGGAACGTTATCATCTGCACAAGAGAAGACCAAACCGCGGTAGAACTGGCTAAGTACAGTCACCTGTTCACCGAACTGATAGCTTCAGGTCGAGACGAGATGTCATATGCCGGCCAGATAGACGATGGTACAAGATACAAGTCAACAACGTCAGAGAGCGTATAAAATGACTTTTTGCGCTAACTTTCGATCAGTTATTTGAACTTTTTCACTTACTCTCCTGCCCGATTTGGCATGCTCACTTCGTTCACTTCCTCGCACTTCGCACTTCGCATTTGCCTTATACCACGGCGCCTACCTGTCTGTTGCTTACCAGCTCTTGCTACTACTACTTATAGGTTAACGCAGGTAGGTCATACTTTTGTCCAACAAACATTGTTCACACAACTTGCTTTTACAGTTGGCCAAGCTTACGGTGGTTTCAGGTCCATGGGTCGGAAGTAGGTAGAGTTAAGGCATCACATACGTGGATGAACACGTTAGGCATATGGATGTTCAGGTATGTGCCGGAATCCACTATCTTATTTCCTGATACAAGCACCGTTGTAATGCAGGTCCTATTTCCTTGTCGCGCTCTCTCATCCATAGAAGATCTACCCTTTTGGCATGAGAAGGGCCCTCATACACTTCATCTTCTGTATCGCTCGATACGTTCAACCATCTTAATCAAACATATGCATATCGGATTGTACAACCCAGAACCTGAACAAGACGAACAGGACTTAGCTATTCAGGTTATGATTGTTGTCACTAAAAGAGATTCAGATTTGCACAAACATAAACGTTTGAAATAAGCATCGTCTATCAATACATCATTCCTGACCTCATCGAGTACACACAGTGAACGGTCGAGATTTTGGTTCTTCAACTTCTTGAAGTACGGCTCTTCGCGACTGGATTTGTTTGATCGTACTATCCACGACGAACTTTGACATAAATTGGGCAGGACTTAGTTGGCTGTGCGGACGATTCACTACGCCCCCTGCCATGCTGCTCCGTACATGCCGAAACGCATGACCACGGTGAATCGTGATAGAGCGATTGCTGTCGCGTCTATCTTATCAACTCTCACATTTTCCATGGCCGTGGACTCCGACGGCCAAGTCATCGAACCTAGTGATATCTTTACCGACTCCTTTATTAGGTATGCTCGCAACATCTCATTGCATCTGAGTTATTCTGAATTCCCCATAGCTTTCCCTTACCTTTCAAATGTATCATCAAGGCCCGTTCCGCTCAGGCGGAAGCGGTAATAAAATCCGGTGGATTGTAACGATGCAATAGACTTGAGTGGTCCAGCCTGCCTACGCCAAAGTCTATATAACATATATAACATGATGTACTTATCCAGAACGAAATTCTAATCGATGCGAATATAACTATCCTCTGTTCGTCCTTAATTGGATAATCCGCAGCAGAAACAGAACTACAATAGTTAGAAATGGTGAGTGAACCAGTCAAGCTGAAAACAGAAACGCCGCAATAGGATTTCAGACAACGGCTCGACCCCCAAGATTGAACAACTGAGGGAGCCCCGGGGGAATGATTAATTTCCCTGCTAAAGCCTGATTACGAAGTCGTATTGGGACAGATCTATCCCATTTCGACTCGGTCGTTGTCACATTCTCTGACCCGTACAGAGACGCCCTGACATCCAGAATAGTCGGTCGATCCTCAGGTTCATAAGACCAACACTTAGTCATGACTTCCCACCACAACCCAGCATGTCCAGTAGACCCCAGGTGCTTCGGATACGGAGGATGCATCTTGTCGAGGCATACATTCTTGATGACGACACCATCTTTGAGGTCACTCCAGGGTATTGTCCCATCAAACACCTTATCAAGGTCAGAATCCATCAAGAGCAGTTCGCCTGAGAAACACGCACCTCAAAATACACACATGCTAGAGAATATACGTCAGCTGAAAAGGTGTTCAGGCCACCATTGAGAACTTCTGGCGCCTGCCATCTTACAGTGCCGCCTCTGTGTGACGACGACGTTGCAAAGCTTGTAACACCCATCACAAAGGATATACCGAAATCCGCGATAACGGCTCTACCGTCGTCAGTGATCAATATGTTATCCTTGGTTTGATTTAGCAAATATCGTCTACGAAGTATGCCCAAGCACGTACCCCTTTAAGATCTCCATGGACGATGGATAGCGTGTGTAGGTAGTTCATACCCTGCGTAACGTCTAGAGCCTACTTATTTTTCAGAATTATTGATACAAAAAGGGGAAACCGTTAGTTCTTACGAGTTTGTGTCGATCAGGATTATCAGTTTTTTTCATATATTGACGAAGAGATCCGTTGACCATGAATGGTGATACGAGACAGTAGGTAGAAGGGGCAGAATCACGATAAATGCCGTAGAAAGGCAGGACATTGGGGTGATCGCACTGCCTCCAGATGATGGCCTCTCGTCTTATTTTCTGGTATAGAAGGAAACGATAAGCTAACACATTGATTTGTGAATAATGAAGCCACACACCCGTAGGACTTTATCGACATTATTGTCACTTGTGTATATTCTTCCTTGTTTCACAGCAACTTCCATTCCTCCGACCTTACCTCTCCACAGGTCACCAAAATGACCTTTGGCAAATGGGTAATATTCCGTCCTTTCGAAACCGCTAAGCATGAGACACCGAGGTACACAATCGTGAATACGCGTCAACTTGAGAGAGGTTTTGAAAAGGGCGCGCTTGGATATCATTGGTAGACCCGACACATCTAGAAGCTGGCCAAAATTACCAAAATTATGAAAGGTTCCAAAGACATGACTTCCAACATACATCCTGAAGGAAGTCCAAAGTGCACTGTGCTTCTTTGGCCGAAAAACCGAGTAGCTGATCATGTACACTTGATTTGGAAAGGACTTCGGTGACTTGCTTCACCACGTTGTTTATACTGATGTTCATGTCATTGCCCGGTTCTGATCTTGGTCTGGGCAAAAGCACGTCTAGAATAGCCTGCCTCTATTATAGATGCACAAACTCTAGCGGAGTAAGTGTAGACTCACCTCATCCTCTTGGTCCTCATCAGCAGGTTTAACACGTTTATTTTTGGGTCTCGGTTTATCAGAGGGTGCTTGGCCGTTCAGCAGAGGGTCACGGTCGCGATCACGAACGCTCCTCTCTTGTAAAGGATTGAACTCTGGGACACGGAAGACGCCGTTTGCTTGTGGGGTTATCGAACGAAAGCCGAGCGGAGGATATATTGTGAGAGGTGGTGTGATGTTTGAGGGGTACGGAAGGAGGTTAGGGCCAAGCTCGCTGGGTGGCTTTATTATTCTTGTAGATCTAAAATTGTCGGGGCCTCCCGTCAACGTTCCCTGTGGGGTACTGATGGTGACTGTATTTGAAGATACGTCTACACAATACCCAACTGGGAGGAACGTGTTGAATCCTCTGATTAGAACAGGGTTCCCGTGGAAAAGTTGTGATATCCGTTGCATGACGCCGAAAATATCGATGCTGAGGGAGTAGGTGAGTAAAAATGTTGGAGTCAAATGCTACGACGCACTCTTGGCTATCGAAATCATGTATAAGCTTCAAAAATTGGCTGTAAACCTCCGGCTCGTCTTGGTACTGGACCTTAACTGCTTCCTTGTAGCTCAGCGGAATCGTGACGTTCAACGACATTCCGGCTTCAGGCGCTTTTGACTGTCCTGCAGCAGCCTCGCCTGGATGAGGAATCATCGCTGGCTTCGGTGTCCTTGATTTTACTTTTGAACTGGAGGAAACACGTGGGAGAAACGAGGTCTCTTCGCTAGTAGCATGCGCCAGGACCTCTGGTTTCAATAACGGGCTGTCGGCGTGCCCAGGAGGATGAAGAGGGTTCTCTGAAGGTGCCACAGACAACGATGATGGTTCAGGAATGGGTCTGATATCGGCGTCTGCGGCGCCAGTTCGAGAGCCATATTGTTGAGGGAAAGGTGTTTCCAAAGGTAGTACATCCATTGTGACAACGGGGTAGTGGGTGTTAGAGTCTAACCAGTCGCACTGTCAGCTGTAAGCTGATGACAATCGATCAACTAGTAAAGCGGTTGCCAGAGTTGATCGATTGTATCAACTGGTGAAGTGAAGACCGACTTGAGTCCACAGCTCTTCGATGTTGATCTGTTTGACTCTATTTGCTGCATTTCCTGCGATATCAAGCAACTGAACAGTCACCTAGAACACAACGTAGAATTTCACCCGATAGTTATACATTCCATAGAGCCGGCAAGTAGAAGAACACTGTCAAAACGAGTAGTGGCTGTGTAATCGTACAATACGGTAGTGACCCCCGCATTCCCGGGCCACCTATTCAGAACATCATTTAATATGGACCGTGGGATTACCCACATTCTGCGAGCACAGATAAGTATTTAACGACAGAATAGAATGACTGGAGACCTACAGGTAACAGACGGTACCTCGGGTAATCCCGAAGAGTGGAGAAATCGTCGCCAGAAAAGACGATTATTTCATCCACTGAAAAGCGACAGAATTGCTCGTTATATGTCCCAAAACAATATCTATGAGTCCAAGAGTGATACGAAAAGAAATGAAAGAGATACGGCGTGACGAAAACACAAGGAGTCAGGACGATGCGAAAGGACGCAAAGAAATTATCGGAGGCCCCAGGAAGCTCCCGCCAAGGTTTGTTTTTAGCATATTTTAGGCCTCCCAAAAGCAAGATCTTTGTCCGTAGAGAGCATATTTCAGACCCACCCTTTTCCGTATATAGCTGGGGGAATGGTTCCTAGTGGGATCTCCGTAATTGACGAAGCGCATCGCGAAGACTTGTTGGTGAAGTGACACCCAAATTTCATCCAGAAAATGTCGCAGACGACAATGGCCGAAATTTGTCCCGGTGCGGTCCATCCCAACACATGCCTTGGAGTCCTCGGTCGCGGTCTACCGTCTTTTTTTTTTTTGGACTCTGCATTTAATTAACTGCAACAAGTAAACTATCTACTAAGACGCGGTGGCGGGGCCAATGCTCAGGCTTCCTCCTCCCTCTTGCACCTGATCCCTCCATTCAGTATTCTATTTTCCAAACTCGGGCGTGTTGGCGTTGTGTGTGGAGTATAGCAACGGACTTGTGAGGTGTTTATTTGCCCTTGGCTCGGGCGGGTGCTTTTCGATCTGCGGGTGGCCATGGCCGTGGTTTTAGCAAGCGTCATCGTGTTTCGGTGTGATGGTTTGCTCTCGGGATTATCCATGTTCATCCTCCGACTCCCCTTCTTCGTCCTCCCACCATTCTCTTTCGTCCTCTTCGAATTCTGGCATTACGTGGGGCTCTTGGCTCTCCCGTCCTTGTGAACGCCCCTGAGTCCTCAATAAACTGGCTTAGTGCCTCGATTCCCTCCCTCGTGCCGAGAATATCCGGCAAGTATAGCGACCTTGAGGTTTTTCGGAGCTCCTCCCGTTGGTTCTCATATAAGTGGCATTCACGTATTATGTGTTCACGCGTCTGGTACCTTTCGCCGCATGGGCAGTCAACGTTCTCGGATGGTACGAATCGGGAATAGTACTCGCCTATATATCCGTGTCCTGTGCGGCATTGTAGAACCCGGCCGAATAACTCGCGCTTGCCTGCCAAGTCGCAGAGGTGGCGTGTGGGCTTCAATGATGGTGGGAACCTGTTTGCTGTTGCGAAGCGGCCGTATTTCGGGTTCCCTTCCCACTGTTTCTTCCACTCTTCTACTGTCTTCGCTTTCGCCTCCCTCCTTGTATTTGCCCTCGTCTTTCCTGTGTTCTCCACTGATTTCTCAGCGCCTCTCTTGGCTAGGGAGTCTGCTCGTTCATTTCCCATGACATCCTTGTGTCCTGGACACCATGCTATTTCGACCGTGTGTGTTAGGTCCCTGTCTAGGAACTCCTGGATGCATCGATGGAATACAATGCAGAAGGCTTGGCCCGTTTTGGGTAGTGGGTCGAAGATTGCCTCTATGGCGGATGTGTTGTCTGCATAAAAGTGTACGTGCTTCATGTCCTCGTCTTGTTTCGCGTGGTGTGTTGCTTTGGCTGATCCCATTGCCAGTGCTGCCATCTCCCTGTCGTATACTTCTGCCTTGTCGCCCAGCCCCATGCTTAGCTCGAAAGCTTGTGTCCCATCTCTGAATGCCACCAGGCCTGCTCCTACCCGTCTGTGTCCCCGTATATCCCGCTGTGATCCGTCTGTGTAGACCAGTAGGTGTTCTGGGGTTTTCAGCCGACGGATGATGGTGTTATGTTGTTGTGCTACTTCGTCCTTCGTCATTCCGTTCGTGCCCGAGATGATGAGTCTGTTTCCGTAGTCGCGTTCCGTCGCGGTCTACCGTCTGACGCTACCCTTACCCACACTCACAGGACTAAAGAGAGAGAAAGCAAACCGTGTATCAGTACGCATCTCTCATACTTGGCATATAACGTGCATATGTCTGGCCGACAGAATTTGGGCGGAATACAAGCGAAGAGTTCCGAGTCCTGTGTATACAGGTCTTGGTCTTATGCTGTCCTGAAGATTTCGGTGGCGGTGCAATTTCATTAAGTCCGGGCATGGTATCCGACGGCATTAGCCGATTTGCAAACCGCCTCCTTTGTCTTCAGTCTTCCGTATGGTGTCCTCTCAAGGCTCTTTCCGCCTGTCCTTCATTGTCGAGAATCTCCGCGATTTTTATTCAATAGCTTCAGATATTCTCAAGCGTGCTTCCCGAGGTACCCAGTAGGATTTGTTCTTGGCGTCCTGTCTTTGGCACGATAGCAACCTCCTGGACTTTGGGAATTCGGTAGGAAGGCTCGGTAGCTGAGAAGTGACAGGCGTAGGTCGGAACTTGAGCTTGAACTCGGAAGTCAGGCTTGCAGCTGGGGCCTTCACTCGCCGACTCTTGCTTGAGCTGTGAGGACGGTCGAAATGTCTGTGAACCCGGTGCGTGTTCTAACCTGTTTTCCCTTTCCATACTGAAAGAAATTTGCTCAGTGAATATAATGTACGGTAGCTGTGCCATATGTTATCTCCTATGTCGACCCTGCCCCAACTCCTCGATGCTATTACTTCTGTTCTCCGCGCCAGTTGCCACCGTCTACAGCGCCATCAAGTGCAACTAAATCATTCAAGTAACTGTATCATCTTTAATGCTGGTGAAGGTCCCAACCATCTCGCTGTGCACTATGCCCGTGTTCCGTGGTTTCCGATTTATGACATTGACTCTAGTGTCGATAAGAAGAGACTGTTGCTCGGCGATGCGGTCCGGATCGGCATGTCAAGGTTGCAACCGGTGGATTAGGACTTGGCTTGTTGTCACTGCTGCGCTCATGAAATGGTCTCGCTTGTGATACATCGTCTGTGCTAATATCCAGATGGTGACTTAGGTGTAACATTGAACAATGAGCACCCCCATTTTCTTCGAGGTCGGCATTTCCTCTTGATGTATTGGTCCATTGTCTCATGACCTTACAGAGCGCCATGATTTCTATGCTGGGAAGCTTTGGACATCGCCGTTTGCAGGCGCGTAACAGTCTACTTTGTCCCCAAGGATTTCAAGGAGGTTCAGAAGCAATCTCGGGGTTCTTCTAATTCGTGATGTGTTTCGTTTTCTGCTCTTTGCTTTCATTCTTGTATTCTCCTATGTCGTACGGTCTATCTAATCTAATATACATCTGTTCTTTGGCATATATGATTGCTTTGCAGAACTACTGTTCCCCGCTATAGTTCTCGTCTTTCAGCTGTCTTGTTTGGGCCTCTGAATGCAACTTGCCTAAGGTGCATACAATGATTCCGAGGCGCCATAGGGATGCACCTCTTCTGTCCATTTTTATCTATAATTGTGATTGTTCTGATTTATTCTGATATCAGCGGATAGTGTGCTCCGACGTTTCCTACAGTTAACATGTCTTTTGCAATATTACTGGGTACTGTTACTAGCACTTCCCCCCATTCACACAGGGCTCGGATATGCCACGCCTCGCGATGGCCCACCACTTCATACGTCCAGCCCCAATGGACAAGAATGCCAACACCGTAGCCATACAATTACCGTCCTTTATAAAATTTTATCACATATCTCATGACTTCGACCGTTTCCATTAATACGTGTAACCTTACTTACAACGAGCTACCGAGGTAGACTAGTTTATTATTTACCTGAGCTGTATCAGCAGGGGTGGCCAATCAATCTAGTTTCATAGTTTCTACCTACCGACGGCCAAGTCATCGAACCTAGTCATCACCGATGTCTTTACCGACACCTTCATTAGGTAGGCTCTCAAGATCTCATTGCATCTGTTTTCTGAATTCCCCATAGCTTTGCCTTACCTTTCAAATGTACCATCAAGGCGCGCTCCGCTCAGGCAGAAATGGTAATAAAATCCAGCGGTTTGTAATGGTACAGTAGTGACTTGAGTGGTCCGGTCAACCTACGCTCAAGTCTATATAACATATGTATTTATCCGGAACGAAATTCTAATCGATGCGATTATAACTGGGTACCTTAAGTTGAGAGCTATGGCATCCAGACTAGTGAAAGCTTTCATAAACTCCTTCCGCGCCCGATGCTTGTATTTTTCTTCGTCCCCAATAGGATAATCCACAGTGCAAAGAGAATTCCAACAGATAGAAATGGTGCGTGAATCCGTTCAGTTGTAAACAGAACTTACAGAAGCGTCACGATAGGATTTCAGACAACGGCAAGACCCTAAAGTTTAAACAACTGAGGGAGGCCCAAAGGAATGACTAACTTCCCCTGGGCTAACGAACGATTATGAAGTGCTGGGACAGATCTATCCCATTTCGACTCTGCCATTGGCATATTATCTGTCCCGTGCAGAGACGCCATGACACGTAGAAGAGTCGGCCGATCCTGAGGTTCGTGAGCCCAACACTTAGTCATGACTTCCCACCACAACTCAGCATGCCCGGTTGACCCCAGGTGCTTAGGATATGGAGGACACCTCTTGTGGATAGTGACATGCATGACAACCGCGCCATCACTGAGGCCGCTCCAAGGTATTGACCCATCAAACACCTTAGACATAGTTAGAAAGCACAATTCATTAAAAGCGGCTCGCCTGAAAACACGTACCTCAAAATATACACACGCAAGTGAATATACATCAGCTGGAAAGCTATTCGGACTACCGTTGAGGACTTCTGGTGCTTGCCATCTTACAGTACCACCCCTGCGCGACGACGACGACGACGTCGCAAAAGTTGTGACACCCATCACAAAAGATATACCAAAGTCAGCGATAACTGCTCTACCGTCACCGGTGATTAATACGTTATCCTTGATTTGGTTTAGTAAGATATCGTCTACGAAATATGCTTTGGAACGCACCCCTTTGAGGTCGCCATGAACGATGGACAGCGTGTGCAGGTAATCCATACCACGCGTAATGTCTAGAGCCTGCTTATTTATCAGAATATTGATATAAATGAGAAAACGGTCAGTTCTTATGAGTTTGTGTCGATCAGGATCATCAGTTTTGGTCATATATTGACGAAGAGATCCGTTGACCATGAATGGTGACACGAGACAATAGGTAGAAGGAGCAGAATCGCGATATATGCCGTAGAAAGGTAGAACATTGGGATGATCGCACTGCTTTCAAATGATGGCCTCTCGCCTCAGTTGCTATAGGAAACATTAAGCTGATATGAGTCGTGACAGATAAATTAATAACCTACCTGCAGGACTTTTTTATTACTGTCACTTGTGAATATCCTCGCTCGTTTGACAGCCACTTCCATTCCCTCGACCTCTCCTTTCCACAGCTCGCCAAAATGTCCCAGGGCCAACGGATAATCTTCCGTCTTTTTGAAGTCTCTAAGCATGAGACACTTAGGTACGCAATCGTGAATACACGTCAACTTGAGAGAGGTTTTGAGAAAGGTGCGCTTGGATATCATTGGTAGGCTTGATACATCTAGAAGCTGGCCAATGTTGGAATATCTATAAAATCTGGAAGACATAAGCTCCAACATACATCCTGAAGGAAGTCCAAAGTGCACTGCGCTTCCTCGACCGATAAACCAAGTAGTTGATCGTGTATGTTGGAATTTGAAAGTGCCTCGGTGACTTGCTTCACTACATTGTTTATATTGATATTCACTCCATGCCTTGGTTCTGATCTTGGTCTGTCCAAGGGCACTTCTAAAACAGCCTGCCTCTGGTACAGATACGCAAACTATGGCAGAGTAGGTGTAAACCCACCTCGTCCCCTTGGTTCTCATCTGTCGCTTTGGCCACTTTGTGCTTGGGTGCGTTCAACGGGGGGTCATGGACACAGTGATGAATGCTCTTCGCTTTTGCTGGGGCGCGGAAAGGGAGAGGGAGGTACATCGGGACTAGACGGGACATCAGGAAACACGGAAAAGCTGATTTGTGGGCGTAGCATCTTGCGAGTCAATTTTCATATTTCTCTACAGTCATATGACGTCATAAATTGACCTACTTAGTCCTGTGACAGTACCTTGTATGTTGCAAGTCACCTTGGTAACGACTTTGATACCGGTCTACTTTCGTATACATATTGATGCCAATGAATTGCTGAAAATTAAATACAAATACAAAAGTGGGAACAAACACGACTTACACGCAAGTTCTTTTGGTGGCGGAAGGCTTATTCATATCATTAGCCTCCCGTATTTCTTTTCCTGCTGGCTCTTTGCAGTCTGATGGGTGGATAACCGATTGAAAGGGTGAAGGAATATTATTAGTGAGGGTTTGCAGACACACCGTATCTTGGTAGTATTGAACGGTTCCTCCAACTCCGAGAACTGTCGATGGATCCGGAGTTTGTCGTAATATCCGGTTACTTTGTATCCTTTGGAAGCAGCACTAGACCTACAGAGACTTTGACAGGCAATTGTAAGGTAATCTCCTAGGATAGTGACGTCATCGAGGCCTGGTGATGGGCGTGTGCCTCTATTCAAGACAGGTCTAGCCTTCGGAGACTTGCACTGCGAACGTAAAAGTTTGAGTATGTCCCATAGAATACATGTACACGCAACCAGTGTCAAGATTTTAGTTCTTGAGATTTGTTTGATCGTATTCACGCCAAACGGATATAACGCATGGCCGGCTCCAATCAAAGCAGTAACGTCGGTGAGGACAACTGCCAAGGCGCTTATCCCCGATGTCAGTGTCATATGGAATGTTAGATTTCCACGTCCACATTCGGAGAATTCATGCTGTGCCGCAGTTCCCTGTCGTTGAAGCCGGTAAAAGATATGATTACGCCTCTGCTCTCAGTACTAGGGAAGGAAGCTCTTCGGCAAATATAAGTGAAAACATTTGATTTGCCTTGATTTTGATACAGCAATATCTTTCACATGCCCCGATATAAGGATCATCCCAAGCTCCGGAGCCTGCTCCCCTTCGGATCGCGGGGAACTTGGACAACGTTTTTCTTGACCATGAACAAAATATTGGGGAAACCTTATCGGAACGAGGTTTCAACGAGGTGGCAAGAAAAAGCATGGCCGAAATCCCAGTCAGCGTCAACTCGTCAATAGGACAAGTCTCGGTGTCAGCATTAGTGTAGGTAATGTAATGGAACTGGATACTTCAGCCTAAGTAACACGTTAGAAGGACCCAAGTCAAGGAAAGAAACGTCGTGATTGTGCCGAAGAAGGAAATGACAGAACATGACTAATCATCGGCACGCGATCCGAGCGTGGCAACAATCCTTATCTCACCCCTTTGAGCAGTGTTGCGTACGCAAGCTCTCTTGAACTTCAACTACCACCATCACCCTTTTGCCTATATTGCCCCTCCTTGCGACCTGCTACAACAACTAACTTGCCGTCCCCTCTTTCTCAATGCGTTGTTTAGTCATCGCGTCGCTGGCCGCCCTAGCGGTAGCCCACTCGAGTCACTCGAGCCCCACAAGACTACGGAAGTCGTTGGGATTCGGTCCTGTTCATCCTCATGCGGTGTATCACTCCAGTCCTTATCAGATTACCACGAACGGTTTCCTTCCGTCGGCTCTCATAGAAGACCCTTTTGAGGTCGCGAAGCTCTTCATAGAGGATATCCTGGTCGACCAGCTGTCAGATACCAGCTCTTATAGAATTCGGAAGGATTCCTATACCGACAAGAATACCGGCATTACCCATGTCTATGTTCGCCAGATTGTTAATGGCCTAGAGGTTGTTGATGGTGATATGAACATTAATATCAAGGATGGTTTGGTGATATCATACGGTAACTCGGTGAGTTCTGCGTTCTCTAGTCTTGAGCTTCGCCAAACTTGTCTTCAGTTCTACAAAGGTCCGATTCCCCAGGCCTTCTCGAATCCCGACCTCGATGACATCCGTCACCCCCACCGAGAGTACTGCGAGGAGCTCGAGGTCGAGATGAAGAGTCGTCTTGATTCCTTCCTAGGACAGTACGGACAGACCGTCATGGAGGAATTCGGTTCTTGGGAATCTCACCCTAAATTCCGCTCGTTCTTTGGACCCCTAGCGCATATACACACATCCAACTGCCGTGCTACGCATCTTCCTTATGACATGGCCTCCTCACCCGAGGTCGACTTCGCTGACGTTCGACCTGCTCTTCTCCAATTTATGCTGGCGGCAACCCCTAATGACCATATGGTCAATGACATTCTCGCCAACTATGACGACTACCTCGCAAAGATGTCCATCTCTCAGGAAGATCACTTTGTTAGTCCCGATGAACCTGTCGTCATGTCTATCGACAACGTCCCGGATACTGTCAATCCCTGTGAGGTCGAGCTTGACCTACATTCAAGTACCTAGCAAGAAGGGCGACAGTACCGACCTCAACCTAGTGTGGAGGGTAAGTGGACGATCCTTCTTCAATCGTAAGTCGCAACTTAATACAGCCCATAGTTCGAAGTCGAGATGGAAGACAATTGGTATGATGCCGCCGTTTCCGCTACTTCCCCTCACCGTATCATCTCCGTGGTCGACTGGGCGTCGGATGCCCCTATCCCTACCCCGGAACCCTCCGTCGAGCCGGCTACTTACAACATCTTTGGTTGGGGTACAAATGATCCCGAGGAATGGTAAACGCATCCTCGTGAAGGAGAACTTCGACATTTTGGCATCCCCCGCCGGTTGGCATGCAATTCCTTACGCCAACGACCCAGTCTCTGAAAGGCGTCAAACTCAACAGCAAGCAGTTCTGGAGGAACACCACAACGACCTGGGGTAACAACGTAAGTTGTGCTCTGATATAGATGGACTACTAGCTGAGGGTCCGTAGGTCTTTGCGCAGGAGAACTGGGAAGGACAGAACTCTTTCATCGACAACTACCGTCCCGATGCAGGTGTCAATAAAGTCTTCGATTACAAGTACGCTCCAAAGGCCACCGAGAAGGTCGATGCGCAGGACGAGGCATATAGTTACATCAATGCTACTGTCACTCAGCTGTTCTACACTACCAACATCATACACGACTTCTACTACAGGTGCATATACTCTCTCCTGTAGCTTCTTCCTTCTAACTCGCTTCTTCAGGTACGGATTTGATGAGGTGTCTGGCAACTTCCAGCAGCACAACTTCGGTCGTGGAGGCGAGGAGAACGACGCCGTTATTGCCAATGCTCAGGACGGTTCCGGTTATAATAACGCTAATTTCATGACCCCGCCTGACGGCCGTAACGGACGAATGAGGATGTACTTGTGGAACACTGCTTTGCCTTACAGAGACGGTGATATGGAAGCAGGCATCGTCATCCATGAATTGAGTCATGGTTTGAGCACTCGATTGACTGGTGGACCTGCGAGTTCATCGTGCTTGGGCTGGGGTGAGAGTGGTGGTATGGGTGAGGGCTGGGGAGGTAAGCAAGGCTGTTGTCCTCATCATCGCGCCATCGTTAATCATGGCATACAGACTTTTTGGCTACTACCATCCGAAGCACGAGCAACTACTCTGACTTCCCTATGGGTGCATGGGCCGCTAATCGCGCACAGGGTATCAGGAACTACCCCTACTCCCTCGTACGTTGATTTGCAGTCCTTTCTCCTCGTCATTCCAACATACTTTCGTAGAACGATACCATCAACCCTTCGACCTACCAGACTCTGGACAAGCCCGGCTACTGGGGCGTCCACGCAATTGGTGAAGTCTGGGCTCAGATACTCTGGGTTGTCGAGCAGCGTCTCATTGCCGTACACGGCTTCAACGATGACCTATTCCCTCCTGCACCCTTGGCTGATGGTACTGTCCCCGAGGGCAAGTTCTACCGACCCCGTGTTGGCAAGAAACCTTTGGTGCCCAAGCATGGTAACACGTTGATCGTCCAGTGTGTCTCCCCTTTCCTTACTACTCTTCGCGGGACTCATCTACTTCTGCGATTAGGCTCGTTATCAACGGAATGAAACTTCAACCCTGCCGACCGGGCTTCTTCGAAGCTCGTGATGCGATCATCCAAGCTGATGAGCAGCTCACTGGGGGAGAGAACTTCTGTACGCTGTGGAATGCCTTCGCGGAGCGTGGGCTTGGCGTGGATTCGAGGGTTGACGGTAAGACTCCTTGGGGTGGAGGAATTAGAACGAATGTGAGTTGGTTTCTGCTTTCGTGAAGGATGTTACTGATGGAATCATAGGGTTATGCCGTTCCCACTGCTTGCCAGTGAGCGTTAATGAACATTCTAGATCACCGCTATATCTACTACACATCTATACACCCCCATGTACAATTAGTTATAACTACTGTTTTGGTTTCAATGCGTGTGCGATCTCGACCGAAGTCGGTATACTGGAGGTGCGTTATCGACCTTACGGACTTACGGACTACTGTCACGGAATTTTGAGTCTGAAATCGGGGGTGGAATGTGTTTCTATGCGCATTGCGCAGATTCCTTTTGATAGAAATACTTTAAACTTGGAACTCTGATTTCCCGCGCTATATCACGTGAAGTGACATCATGGAGTCAATTCAACCGTTCGAATCTCTGAATTTTTTTGCCTGTTACTGCTGTTGTATCATGGGTTGAACGTATGTCATGATATCCGTGGAGCATCGTTTCCACTTTGTGATAGACGCCTTAAGCTGGACCTGCGGAACACTGCCTTATTCCCAATGTCTTTTCTTAGCGCGGATTGTGGCATGTCAAGTTCCTGCTAACCATCCCTTGCTTACCCTCCTTCTAGTGACAAAGACCTTTAAACTGTCCTTCTCGGCTATCTCCGAGCTTCTGGGAATGTCGGTTCACGGTTCCACATTACTGTCCCAGTTTTTTGCGGAAATTTTGGTTATACAACGCGTATGTGCCACGGTCTATCCTTTTTAAGGCCTTTATAACAGCAATGCATCCAGGCGCGTGCATGAATACGATGTGTATGCTAACAAACTCTCGGAAGTACGCCCCGACGTCGTCAAGCCCGACATATCAGTTTTCCAAGACCTGATACGAGGGGAACTGTGGCCAGGCACCCAGCGGGCGTTGTCCGAGGCAGAAACGTCTTTTGGGAAGCTGCAGTATCGGGCCGAAGAAATTCTCAGTGACATCATCTATGCTGTTAATCTCCCGAAATTTCAACGTGATGGATGCAAATCCATCCCGATCGAATCCTCTTCGATTAACCTTCTTATCAAATACCTCGTCTTTCTTCGCTTCAGGAATAGCCCTAAGTATTCTGAAATCGTACATCGCCTTTTCTATGATTCCGACACAAAAGGAAGACTGGACTTCACTCTGTTCGGCCATCTGTTTTCCCAAATTCGGTGCATGGTCTTCCTCAAGTCCATTGCCAAATTTCTTCGTTCTGACTCAAACAAGAGGCCGACCACTTGGGACATTGAAGATCCGTTCAAGCAGGGTAGGAGTTGGCAGATGCCGAATGTACGTGCAGACGTCATCGAAGAAGCCATTAACTTGTACTGCTGGAATGTTGCCGATGGCTCGAACATCGTCGTCGGCGTCACATCCGATGAGAAAGTCGAGTTCCTGTTGTCAGATGGGTGTTATGGGACGCTGGATGAGAGCTTTGGACTGAAGGTCGGAGATGACAATGTGTAGGTCTCCTTCCAAGCCTCAGCAGTGTACCTTGCTCAACGATATTGCAGCGATGAACGCGATTTTTTCTTCCCTATCCTCCCCACCGTTGCTGTGTACATCCTCGGTACAATCACCAGATCCTCGCATCCGCGTCCCGCCGAAATTGTTCTTGACCACGAGTCCGAGATCGACGTTCACCTTCGGAACGCCATGACCCTCTCTGCCGTACCACGTATGAACCGGTCGTCATCTTCCCCGAAGCTATACTTTTCTTCCCTCCCCTCTATCACGCGTTCAATCTCATCGTACGACGAATTTCGATGCAGATGGATTCCTGAACTCTTCGTGGACTACAGTCGGCTGAAGCAGCGGTGCCGGCAAAAGTTCCTACAAGAGACTATTACGAAGATGCTTGTGATCAAGGGCGACATAGCTGTCACTGATCTAACGGATGACGTGACACTGATAGGTAGAGATGCAGTGGGCGGTGGTGCGTTCAGTGATGTATGGAAGGGGAAGTGGTGGGACCAAGTAGAAGGGAAAGAACGTGCCGTCGCGGTCAAGCTTTTACGACTTGTGATGGTTCAGAATGAGAAGGAGAAGCTGTTTAAGAGGTTGCATGCAGAAGTGTTGACTTGGCATTATTTATGCCATAGGAACGTGTCGCAACTGTACGGGATTATGCAGAGTGAGACCAGTGTTGGAATGGTTTCGGCGTGGTGCGAGCATGGGACCATCAGACACTACTTGAAGAGCGTCAATCCGAAGGCGGATCGAATGAAACTGGTAATTTTTGCCTTCCTCTCGCAGGCGTTTGCTGACACCAAGATATAGATGCATCAGATCGCATCTGGTGTCGCTTATCTTCACGATTTCAGGCCTACCATTATCCATGGTGACCTCAAAGGGGCAAGTATCTTATTCGTCATTTTGTTAATTTTTTTTCCAAGTCTTATTTCGCCGATCACAGAGCAATATCTTAATTGACCACCAAGGCTATGCGATCATCTCCGACTTCGGTTTGAGCAAGGTCATGTCAGACTTCTCGGCTTCTTCGTTCTTTGCGGGGTCGATGCGGTGGATGGCGCCGGAGATTGTTCGGGCACTCGTTGAAGTTGGGTCAGAGGCTACCATGCCGCAGGTTACGACTGCGAGTGATGTATATGCTTTTGGCTCGGTCTGTCTGGAGGTTCGTTCCAAACTCCGATTGCCTACGAAATCACTGATTGTGTTCTTACCCGTTTTGTAGGTCGTGACCGGTGCTCTGCCTTATGCATATCGAAAACATGATCCCGGAGTGATGTTTGATATAATGGCAGGGGTAAAGCCGTCAAGAGGCTCGAATATGCCTGATTGCAAAGCTTTGAGGATGCTGTTGAATAGGTGTTGGAACGAGGCGCCCGCTCTAAGGCCCAAGATGGGGGATGTGCTACAATGTCTAACGATATTGAATGCTGAAGCAGGTCTGTGAGATGTTTTTATATGTAAAATTCAAGATTCTTTGTATTGTAGCTGCATGTTTTACCGCTTGTTGTCATTCTGAAGTAAAGGATAGATAGCTCGGCTATGACAAATTTCTAGTCCAGTGGAATGTATTTTTACTTTTTTGAACTGGTCGGACGATTCCAGGAAGAAACTGATATAATTTTGGGTGTCCTTTCGCGATGAAAATACTCTGTTATTTATCATATGAAAGACTTATGAATTATTCGTGGAGGGAAGTTGAAACTGACAAGGATTTCATAACGAAACGATGACATAGGCGAATCGAACAATTTTCTCTACGGATATACATAAGGAGCAAGTTCAAGGGAAATGGCTACTTCGAAGTATCGAACGACAGTTAAACACGCAGCCTCTTCGGAAAGAATAAAAAACTAGGCATACTAGTCAAATCACGAACCATTTCCTGCATGATCATCCATCCTTATGAGGCATTTCAACACCTCACCCATCTTAGGCCTCAACGCAGCTTCTTGTCTCCAACAAGCATCCAACAGCATACTAAACGCCTCGGAATCTGGCAGTTGGCGCGCCCCTGGACGGCTTGATCCCTCTCATTATATCAATCATTACTCCAGGGTCATGCTTCCGACATGGGTAGGGCAGAGCACCAGTCATAATCTATGCAGCGCGCAACATACAAGTCTGTGACTCTGGCAAGTAGAATGGAAGATATAGAACGAACCTCTAGACAGACCGAGCCGAAAGCATAAACATCACTCGCAGTGGTCACCCGTGGCACCTTTGCCTCTGACTCGTCGTCGACAAGGGCCAGAATCATCTCCGGTGCCATCCATCGCATTGTCCCTGCGAAGAACGAAGAACACAATATCCCATCGGAAGTTGAGAAGTCTGACATGACCTTGCTCAGACCGAAATCCGTGATAATGGCATAGCCTTGATAATCAATCAAGATATTTCCCTGTCGTTGAGAAGAAGAGATATTGAAAGGGTAAAAGTCAAGGCAAGGAACCTACCCCTTTCAGGTCACCATGAACAATGGGGGGCTTGAAGTCATGAAGATAGGCTACGCCGGATGCGACTTGAATCATCTGCACTCAGCTGTTAACATAATTCCGCAGTGGGAAAAGTTGAAGAGAGTACCTACCAATTTCATCCGATTGGCCTTTGGATTGACGCTCTTCAGATAATGCTTGATAGTCCCGTGCTCGCACCACGCCGAAACCATTCCCACACTCATCTCGGTCTGCACGATCCCATACAACTGCGACACGTTCCTATGGCATAGATGATGCCAAGTCAGCACTTCTGCTTGCAGCCTCTTGTACAGTTTCTCCTTCACATTCTGTACCATCACCCGCCGTAAAAACTTGACCGCCACGGCCCTTTCCTTCTTCTCCACTCGATCCTACCACATCCCCTTCCATATGTCGCTGAAAGTACCACACGCTACCGCATCTTTGCCTATCATCGTCACATCGTCTGTCAGGTCAATGACAGCGACATCGCCCTTGACGACGAGCATTTTTGTAACAGTCTCTTGCAGAAACTTTTGCCGACATCGCTGCTTCAGCCGACTGTAGTCCGCAAAGAGTTCAGGAATCCATCTGCATCGAAATTCGTCGTACGACGAGATCGAGCGCGTGATGGAGGAGAGGGAAGAAAAGTATAACTTTGGTGAAGATTGGTTCGTACGTGGTGCAGCGGAGAGGATCATAGCATTCCGAAGGTGAACGTCTATCTCGGACTCGCGGTCAAGAACAATTTGGGCGGGACGCAAATGCGAGGATCTGGTGATTGTACCGAGGATGTACACAGCAACAGTGGGGAGGATAGGGAAGAAGAAATTGCACAGATCGCTGCCAGATCGTCGATGAGAAGGGTACACTAAACGTAAAGCACGAGCTGCACTTACACATTCTCTTCCCCCGTATCAAGTCCAAAGTTTTCATCCAGTGTGCCATAGCACGCGTCTGACAATAGAAATTCGACGTTCTCATCAGCTGTGACACCAACGAAGATCTCCGACCCTTCAGCAACGTCCCAACAATAGATGTCAATAGCGTTTTCGATGACGTCTTGACTGATAGGTGTGTCATCGACTTCCCACGTAGTGAACTTCATATTCGAGTCGGAACCAAGAAAACTTGCAATGGATTGGAAGAAGGTTCTACATTGCACTTGGGTGAATAGATACCGGTACGGCGCGACATCCAGTTTATGGTCTGTTCTGGAGTTATATAGAATCCGATGGACAATTTCAGAGTACTGGGAACTATTCCTGAATCGCAGGAAGACGAGATATTTAATGAGAAGACAGGATTTCAAGGGATCGAGTGGAATAGACTGCCTTGAGCAGTCACCTTCGGGTTTAGGCAGGCGAATAGCACGGATGATTTCTGTGAGGATTTCTTCGGCTCGGCATTGCAGCTTGGCAAAACATGCCTCTGCATCTGCAAGCGCGCACTGGGTCTCGGAATATAGTAGTTCTTCCCGAATCAGGTCTTGAAACACGGACACATCAGAATCGAAGCCATCCAAATTTACCTCCGTGAGTTCGTTCGTATACACATCGTATCTGTGCACAGGCGCTGAGCAGCAAGAACGATGGTCACTGTCAAGAAGTCACTACGGTGAGTTGAGGAAGTCGAGCCATGACACGTGCACGTACGCGTTCAATGTCCAGAAGTTCCGCAGAAACTTGGGAAAGTAATGTGCAATTGTGACCGACATTCTGTAGTGATAGATGCGTGAGTGGAACGGTAAACGCTGAATGAATACTTGCCAGGCTCTTCCCCATGCCAGAGGACATTCCCCGCGGTGTAATGGAGGCGGAAAAGAGGTGAAAAGTGACAGTGACGTAGATGTGCAGAAAGAGGATCATGGAAACCGGGCATTGGACATCGTACAGCTTTATATCAGGGCTGCACCTGTACGTACCCCATGGCCAAGGCACACGACCAGCGCCTATCAGAGAGTAGCAACTTCGTCTCCACCGACATCAGTTTGCATGTTGCGTTTTCCCCATGACGCAAATCCCCATGATAGTTGCCGCGAAACTGAATTGGAAGGCCGCTAGCGTGAGTTCTAGGTCCTGAAGTTGGGCCTCGCAGATGAACAGCCTATATCATAGCATAGCATTTCATCATTGCAGTTCTTCTGATACTTTTGAGGCTGTTGAGGATCGTGACCTGGGTAGACGTGACGTTGCTGGTCAGGGTGTACAATTACACGTCATCTACTCAGACGCCGCGTCGTCACTGGAATGGCTGTGTAGATAATGCTTATCAGCTTGCGAAGATTCGAAAACGACAGTAGGATATATCGGATTTACTTACTCTACGAATCAAACATCTTCTCATGAAATTGTGCATGTCCCAAGCTGACGCCTCGGGAGAAGTTTCCACGACTGCTCATATGCCAGAGCTTCGCCCACAGAAACAGCAAAGATGTCCGCGACCCATGCATAGCCCATCTAATACATAAAAATATGAAAGAATTCAGTCGATATACTTCATCATCATATTCGTCCTCGGCCTTGAGAGCAGTTGAGATACAAATGGTTCAGATTTGCAAAGGTATCTGGAAAGAGTCATTTAAAATCGTTAAATTCCAATTTGCGTAGTCTTCGTAGATCAAGTGGGTGAAAAGTCGAGTTGACAATATCGTCAGATTTCGTTGCGTAAGTAGGTGACGTAGTTCAAGAAATGTTTTGTCATGTGGCGATGGCTCCGCGGGGTCCGGACCGGAGTTCCCACTTTAGCAAGTTGTGGTCAAAGTGAAAAACAGACGTTGATAAGTAGAATTGTCGCAGCACATTATGACTCTTCCTTCTTGTTGTTCTTAGAATTTGTACATACTTATATGCGCCAGAACCAAACCGAAGCACGCGCGATCATGCATCCAATCTTGTCGGTGAATACTTGATCACCAGGTAATAAGATCTATCCGAGCGTATGGAGTCAATTCACACCGAAGATTCTGGTCCGGAAGCTTTATTGTCCTTTATTGAAGACATATATTGGTACAAACGTTAGTCCCATGAGTGGTGCTTCATCGGCCCCTTAAAGCTAGTTACTTGGATAACTCGGGCGTCGCCTGCAACACAGATGACATCCAGGCTGCTGAATACCTCGATCCAGGAACATCACTTTCCTCCGAGAGTTTACGGATAGCAGCAACCTCATCTTGAATGAGCTTGACCTTAGCTGCTCCCAGGTTTTCTTCCAGATACTAAGGGCAAAGGTGAGCAGAAGACAATGCCAGGATATAACCGCACGAATACCTTGATCTTCTTCGTCCCAGGAATAACAACAAAATCACCGCCTTGTGCAAGGATCCAAGCAAGAGTGACCTGACCAGGTGTCGCGTCATGCTTCGACGCAATCGCTTTCAAATGTTCGACAAGGCCAGGAATCTTGGGAAAGTTCTCCTTGGAATACCTGTGGAGACTTCATCATGATTGCGCTCATAAACAGGTGAACTCAAGGACGCACTTGGGAATAGATTTCCGGAAATCCCCTTCTTCAAAGTCATCGGGGGACTTGTATTGACCCGTGATGAGGCCCCTAGCCAATGGAGAATACGCGACGACGGTGATGCCTAGGTCTCTGGCCGTTTGCAAAATCGCGAGCTTCGGGTCTTCAATGTAGAGAACGAGGGGAGAAAATTCGACCTGAATGGCAGAGATTGGATGGATAGCATGCGCTCTACGAAGGTCCTTGGCCGTACACTCCGACAAGCCGAGATACTTCACCTTGCCCTCCCTGGCAGAGTATTTGAGCGTCAATACAAGTATAAAGCAATCGAAAAATCCTGAGCGCACTTGACGAGCTCAGCCATCGCGGTAACGGTATGCTGAAACATAGTCAGATTGAGGACATCGAGATGAAAAAAGAATAGACCAACTTCGATTGGTACGTTACGATCGGGTCTATTCAACGGTCGGTAAGGCACTACTGCAGCTCCGCTCCAATAGATTTCTTACTTGTGCTGATAGTAAAGGTCGATGTAATCAACTCCAAAGCGCTCAAGGGATTTGACGCATTGCTGTTTAACGTACTCGGGATCGCCCCGACCTCCATTCGCGGTAATGCCAAACTTGGAAGTAAGGAAAATCTCATTTCGTTTACCCGTCCGCTTGAACCTAAATATAAGCGCGTTGGTCGCACAGTCCGTTTGCAAGTGCAAATGCTGACATACCATTTTCCAATGAGAAGTTCGGAGTCCCCGTAAATGTCGGCAGAGTCCCAGTGCCTGCAGCCTTTCTCATACGCGGCATCCAGAATCTGTACTGGGTGTCAACAAGCGCCCGAATGAGCGAGAAGGGAACTGACCTTGAAACGCTCCTCGTCGGAGTCTACTTCTCTTCTCTCGGGATCATGACGGTTCCATCACGCGGCATTTGCCGGAATCAATGTCTCGCGTGGCGTCTGAGAGACGGTCCTCAGGCCGTCTCTCGTGT